TACAGAAGGAATAAGCCTCAGTTGCATACTTACGCAGAAGCCATTAAAGCTAACATAACAAATGAATTGATTCCTTTATTTAAATCAATAACAAGTATTAAATTTGAAAATAAAAAATTGGAGAAATTATTTCAAGCTATACAAATTATTTATTTTATTTGCGATTTTTTTTTGGGGATTTTGTAAAAGTTTCTTAAGGAAATGTGTTATCGTGATAATATCAAGATCTACAATCTACTTTATTATCAATTTTACAAGCTGATACTAAATTTGAATTATGAAAATGAATAGAACTACAATTCTTTGCCTTAGTTTAAAGGATAATAATATTAATTTTCATTTTTGGGATATGCTATGAGATTCTGGCGCTAAATTGTATTTGCTTCTATTGTAGATGGGAAGCCAAATAAACTTGGCAGGCTATTATTAGACAGTTTTAGGAATGTAGAAGAGAAAGATATGGAAATCGAGATTTATAAATATATTATAGGAGCCATAGATTTATGTTCAAATGAATATACAATTCATTGGATAGGCCATAGTAAAAATTTTTAGATTGAGAAATTTATAATTGATATCTCTAATAATGAGTTGAATACAATAGATTTAAAGAATAATGCTTTTAATTAGTATCTATTGTAAGTGAATGAACAACTAGCTCAATTTGTTTCATATTATCCAACATGGATTTATGAAATTTATTATATCCAATATTCTCTAGATTTGAAGTTAAAAAAGTTAATGTCAGAAATAAAGGAAACTTATAAATTTGGCAATGAATCTCAAGAGAAGGGTTTAATAACATCATATTCTGAATTAACTACTGGATTTGGTATCTTTTCGGAAGATGATATCAATGATTAATGGAGAAGAATGGATCTATTGATAGAATTAGATGCAATGGTATCCATAAAACCCTCTTATCAAAAACCCAATGTTACAGAGGAGAATAAACCATACAAAGATATTTCCATAAAATTTTCTTCTTAATTAAAACCAATCAATGAAAAAGTTAAATCAATTGATAAGCAATATTATTAAGATCTTAATGAACTTAGATAATAATATTGGAAGAATTTACGCAATATTAGAAAAAGAAATTATATATTGGAATAAAGATTCCGAAACAGAGAAATTGATTAAAATGGAACCCCTTACTAATACAATAAGCGATAAGAAGTGAAAAACGAAAATTTAAAAAATTTTGTGTAGTCTTTGAAATAAATTGAAGATTATAGATAAATCAAAGAAAAGTTTCTTTAGCAGGTTGATTTACAATTAAAAATATGACAATAAATTTATTATCAATTTTTATAAATCACCAGTAATGATAAATTAATAACAAAGTTAATTCATAGAAATCAAATAGAGACCATTTTCTAATATTTTTCACATAATCTTCTTTCAATTAGTTAGAGATAAAAATTATAAATTCCACCTCAAAATCATTCATTAGTGTGAAAGAAATATCAATACAAAGTTATTCCTAGTAATTTATAAGATTTAAGTACTTTCTTCACAATTTCATAAGTGTGTCTAAACATTTCATAAAATTAGGAACAACAATTTAATAAAATTTATTTCTCATGATGCATCAATTGATAGTGTTTTATATATTAACATATATGAAATATTTTTCTTATTATTAAACATACAATCATTTACACATACTTTCAGATATTATAGAGTTTTCTGATTTTCTCCGTTTAATCTAAGATAAATCTAGAATCATTACAATTTTTATTTTGCATAATTATTTTATCATAATTATTCCAAACATATTATCTAATTTAATAATCTCTATATGCTATAGCCCCATTAAATCCAAAAATTAAACATAACTCCTTACTAAAAAAGCTACTCTTGAATTTTATAAGGTTGGTGTCATAATAAAATACCAATATTGGCAGCAAGGAATGTTCTTAGAGCGAAAAATCTGTAATTCTAAAAGTTGATTCTATTCAATCGATTTTTTTTCGGAGTACTTAAATAGTTACATCAGAAGCCTTTTTCTCTATGTTATATCATTTTTTATAATTAGAAAAAGATGTATAAAGTATTCATTCTTAAGAATATATTTGGTTAATATTATTTCTTAAATATTTATAAAAATAAGTTCTCAATTTAGGTCCTAATTATGTTTCCATAATTTCATAAGATCTCCTTTCAATTTTTAATTTATCTTGATTAATAAATAGATGTTTCTTTTTCAAAATCGTCACTATTGTCTAGAACTATCTTGTTTAATGATTATTGCATCATCTTTAATCAAAGTTGCATATTTAGGTTGAAGTAGTGAGAATTCTCTCATTGAACTTTGTCGGAATTTAGATTGCTGACTAATTCTTGTATAAATCTATTTATTTATTTCTTTCTATGAATAGAAAATTGTGTTTTTTGATATCAATGTTACCTTAATAACAGATTCTCTGTTTCCCTTCTAATTTGCGCTTCAATTGATTCATGAATTGCATTTTCAATGGTCTTATAATTTTCTCTTATTGCTAAATATCTTTCAATAATTGTACTCCTCCATAAGTAAATCTACTTCATACTAAATAAATTCAACTACAGTTGAAATTCCTCTAAGTTGGCTGAGATGCCACTTTCTTAGAACTGTTGAAAATATTTTTCTAGACTAATACCATTAAGAATTGTTTTATTTTCACTTTAATTCTTTGTCATAGTCTTAATTTATAATTACTTTAATATATTTCATATTGAATTTCTGGATATCAAATTTTTCTGTTCCTCTTCTGGTGCAAAACGCTATATATATTGAAAACTCTATTCTAACTGTATTCTAATTAATCATCAAATGAACTTACAATAGAAATTAGACCCTTCATAATCATCTGAATTGAATTTAGAATTTCTTATTCATAATTAAATTAAGAACATCCTCCATCAACAATTCATTTACACCTTCCTCTATTTTTTCTCAACTGAATAAGCAAAGATTTTCATTATTCATTAAAGGATAAATTAAACCAAAGTTAGGAAACCAAAATTGATATTAAATTGTAAATATTATAAATATCTTAAAGTATAAACACTAAGGTTTTAGTTAAATTGTATTTTAAATTAATTCTGAGAATTGACTGTTTGACTGCTAAACTAAAAGAGGGATCTAAAATAAACTGATTAAATGCGTTATCAGATTAGTATTAATTGATCTTTAAATTAATGATAACTGATCTAATTTTTTGCATTAAAAGTTCAACTCAATTATGATTTATGTAATTCTAAATATATTGAAAATCTACTTATCAAATTTCTCCTTGATATGAATAAAAAAAGGTATGAAACTCAATCAATATTATATAGATAACAAATTACTAAAAATGTCATGGCTTTAAATTTATAATTCATTTGTTTATAGGTATGAAGTAGTTCAAGTACATCATAATAAATTTAGACAATATAAAGTATGATAATTCCTGCTAAATTTTCATCTAAAATAATGAAAAATTTATATATTTTTAATTAATGTCTTCACTCAATTAATAGAGATAATATTAGTAGTAATAAAAATAAGAAACTTAAAAGCGTTTGGAATAGTACATTTGTGCTGTTAAAGTAAAATAGAGATTAATGGTTTTAGGATTTATAAAGCGAGATTAAGGTTTATTATGGAATGTTAGAAAGAAACGAAGAACCCACTTCTGAGAGATTTAAATAGACTGCCTTCAAATTTTTAAGGCTTGAAAAGGAAATGAATAATTAAATTGAGGACATAGTTTCCAAAATAATTAGCTAGAAAGCAAGGAAATGAATTTTAGTGTGTTTATTTTAATAATAAGAATTTGATTAAATTTTTACAAATTTTAAGCTATGAATGTGTTATTAGAGAAAGAGCTTTAAAAATTGGCAGCAGGAAATTACCAAAGAGCATCTGATATAAAAGATTCAATTGAAAATATTCTTTTTGAAAATTAATTAAACCATGCTGAAATTGGGTTATGCTCATCCAAAATCATGGCATCAGAAAAAAGTTTCTTAGAATTTCTAACAAACCATGTTCTTGATAAAGATACTTATTATGCTCAAACCAAGAAATCCTTGTATTAAATTTTAGCAAAATACATAAAGAATTATGTTCAATATGTATCTGAATATTTGGAATCAATAATTGTATATGATTTAAATTATATATAATTAGAGTACTTGTATTTAGAATTTTAAAAAGGAAGAGTCAGGAGTGGCAAAAGAAGCATCCCTATTACCCATAATGAAAATCTATAAACATTCTGATTAATAAATTTTAGTAATAATTCAAAGATATTATAATATTAGGTAAAGCTTTAGGTTCACAAAAATCTATATCATATCTTGTTATAGGAATGTTTGGAAACTAAATTAACAGCTGGTGTAAAGGGAAGAATTTTTTAGACTCTCGGAGTCTTAATAAAGAGATTTAATAACGATTTAGGGGAACAAGGAATATATTTGCATGCTTTCTAATCAATAATTAGTTAGATAAAGAGTAGTAAACCTGAAATGGTTATAATTGAAGGGATTCTTAAATTCTTTAAATAATGTTTAATGTATCATCAATTTAATCAAGAATAAATATCTTTATTATATTAAGCATTAGTAACATTTTGTAAACCAGTTGAGGATTTGAGTACTTTTAAAGTACCAATAGCTGCTTGTAAATGCATGAAATAGAATCTGGATATATTTAGTCACTATTTGATAATAAAGACTAATGCTTTGACTTTGTTTGATTAATATATAAAGATTTTGCAGCATCGAAATAGAGATTTAAAAGAATGTGTTTAAGAATTGCTTGAATTATTTATATAAAAGATATCTTAACAATTGGATCATAGTATTAATGATCATAAAGTAAATTTTAAAATGTATTTAGATCATATTTAATGTGATTTTAAACAAATTTATAGAGATTTTGAATGATAACAAAGCCGATATGTTTCTGATGACTGTCATTATTAGATCTGTGGGACACTTTGCAAAGGCAATTGCGAATCTAAGAGGGGAGAAACAATTGGGAGATTTTTTTGATAAGTTAAACGATTTAGGTTTTGAGAGAGTTTTATAGGTTTATGAGGATTTTTATAAGGAGGAAGAAGGAAATATGAAAAGAGGAGCATAATTTAAGGTTTTGCTTTATAGATAAAAGTAATTAAACTCATTTCTGATATCATATGCTAATATCATTAAGAATCTCAGTAAAATATCTGATAAGCAAATTCAACATTTATTTGCTTTATGTTCTTTATGCATTAAATAACATTATAATTATTTTGAAAATTATAGACCTTATTTATATGATGGTATGGCAAACATCATAATCTCGATATTTGGACACTAAACTATAGGCATACAATTTGTGGGTTCATTGTTATCAAAAGGAGTGATAGAAGGATTGAAATTAGGATAAAATTAACTTGATGGAGATTTGTACATTAAGACCTGCTAGGAGATGTCAAAATTTTGGATTGGAATTATTGAATAAAAAGTATGGACATAGCATTATTTAACAAAATTTGTAAAACAATTATTTGATTAAATCGCATAATTGATTTAAAATTGTAATTTTGAGTCAATATAGAAGGAAGTTAATTAAATAGATGAATAAAATCAATAATAATACACATTAAAAATTTAGGAATTTAGAAATTTTGCAGTTAATCCAACTCAATTAACTTAATTTCATAGATTCATTTTAATGTTATCAGCTTTAATCCCTAAAATTCCGATTGAATCTGCTGTGATCTCCATTTTGAATTTACTTAATTTAGTGCTAATAAAGATTAGAAAATACCCGAAGGCATTATTGTTACTGATATTTGCCAGGGTCTTATTAAAATATATAAAAGAAACCTAATTAATAAATTAGTAATTTTTTGAAGCAAGATAAAAATAAATATTGATTAATTTAATATTAAAATTAAAGGGATTGATTTAGAATCATTTGAAATCATATAGTTCATAATTATAAATTGAGGCGTTAAATGTCTTATTAACAATTCCTGTTGAATTCATTGTAAAAGATAACTATTTATTACTAAAATCAGAATACATTCAGATTATTATTAATGCCTTTTAGATGAATAGTAATTCACTATCATGGAGTGCCATCGATTTATTGATACAATTGATACAGTCAGAATACAATTAGAAGAACCAAAAGAATTTAAAATATCTATTGAAGATATTAAAGAATGTTATTCCTAAATTATCATCATATATGCAATTAGTCCCAGAATAAGAAAAGCCATTTTATACTCCAATCTAATATATAGATAGTATTAGTCCAAACATTTTGTTGTCTGAATCACATATAGATCAAAACCATATAGTCGACAAAGTTAGATATTTCTTGGGTTCTATTGGAGGATTATGTCATCTGATAGTGGATGAGACGTATAATGAATCCCTTTTGGCCCTTGATTACAATAGCCCAATAACTATAAACATCCCAGTTGGTTAAAGGAAAATGAAACTTCGATTTGGACAATTCTTAGAAAGAATTTTAAGTTTGTGTCTAAGTGCCCCTTTAGAAAAATCCAAAATTTATGCTTGTGAATTATTGCAAGCCTTTGCTATTTACATGATTGGTGACCAAGCAGTTAATGGAACAAAAGCTGTGGCTCAAAATACGAAGAAGAAATTTGAGTATGCAAACATTTATAAAAAAATGTTCCCTGTTATGATAGAGATCAGCAACACAATGGATCATCCATGTAGAACATATTTTAAAGAACATCTTACAAGAATAGTTCACTGGTTTGCCAATTCAAAGTAATATGAAGCCCCAGATGTGGCATAATTATTAGATTGTTTATTTGAATAACCAATAAATAAGGAGGACCCTTAATTAGAATAATTTTGTTCTTAATTAATAGGAGAATTCATCTAATGGACTTTAAAATAGACAACTCCAGATTAGTTGAAGTTAAATTACTCAAACATCAAAACTGTAATGAGAAGGATTATCACATATGCTAATCATCCTGATTTTAGATATAAGAGTATGTCATTAGAATGCATTTTATAATTTGTTAAGCACACCCAATAGGAAAAGTTTATAGTGTCGAAATATTTCATTGAGATTGTAGAACAATTAAAGTTCATTTTTATAGTTGAGGATAAAGACATCAGCAGAATAGTGTCTAATACAAATAATATTATAGACATAATAAGTAATGGATTTGAAAGATTTACCTAAGATTTATTATAAGAAATGAAGGGAAGATAAGGAAAAAATAAGACTTTGTATTCCTTACATGAATTCTTATTGAATGAAGCTATGATTGGCAAAGACGGAGGATGGCAATAGGCAACACTTAGTCTCTGGTATTTGAGTGTTAGCAAGACATAAAAAGTAATTAAGAAAAATGCAAGAGAACTCTTGGTTGATTAGATAGCTGAGATCGGGTAGAAGATGAAGTTGTTTCCGAAATACCCTATAAATAGATTACAGGGAGAGTAGAATTATACTTCTCTTCGTTTAGACGCTGAATCACTTTCTTGGCAATGCAGAATTTGGCAATTTATTCATGATCGAAACTTATTCACTTTAGATGAGATCATTCAATTTGATGATTATCTGATAACAACTTACAATATTCATCAATTTCTAAGATATTTTATTGTCAAAAACTAAAAACATTTAATGGATGAATCCCCTTTATTTGATATGATCATGACATTAACATAAGATAATTTCAATCCATCATAGAATTTCTAGAATGATGCAGGCAATATTGACAATTGGCTTGCCACTTCATTACCTGAGAAGTTAGTGGAGTAACTAATTACTACTTTTGAAAGAGTATATAAATTTGTAAGGACATTCCATATTGATGTTGAATAATACTACAATCTAAGTATTGGAATCATTATAAGACCCTCTTATTTCTTAAAAGGAATTCAATTGGATTTGTACTTTGGATAGGTTGATAGTGTTGTTAATGAAGCATAAAGGTTATTATAAGGAACTATAAAATTTACTGAATTTCGATAAGTCTTAAATGAAATCTTCGATAATTAATTCGTTTCATTTGCGTAAACAATTACTAATAAAGATTTAATCAAAGACATTAATGAATTGAAATTCTTCTTAAAGGGATTGAAATGGATTTCCAATTAATGTTCCGATGATTAGGATAGTAATAATTTCTTTTAAGAGTGCATCGATTAACTTGGTTAAGTGGTTATTAATTTTGAATAGGGAAATGATTAAATTAATAATATCGAATATGTTACTCATCTCTTTGAATTCTTACTTTCAGAGTAAAGAGCCAAAAACTTTGTTATATCTAATTTAATAAAAGCCTCTGACTTTAGATAAAAGTACGAGGAATAACTTATAGCCTTTGTCGCTAGAAACTTTGAATCTATTGGTCAAATCTACTTTTAGTATATTTGTAAGGAGACTCATTTATTTAGATAGGGAATATTATTGGTTAACAAAGTACCTTAAAATTAAGTGCATCATTTTTTCAAGTTTCAATTTAAAGTAAATAGAGAAAACTCTGCTCTTTTATTATTGGAAATTTAAATCAATAATATTGTTCTGAATCAAACCAAAAACATTAATAGAGAATATGTAAAAGGTTTATTAAAGGATGGACTGAACACAGGTAGATCAATCGAAATTCACATTGACGCTCTAATATTATTTGGATTGTATATTAAACATATAGATACAGATTTACCCAATTATCTAAATGATTTGGCGAATAAGTATTTCCCCATTAAGATTTCAGACTTAAAGAAAGGCTCAGCAGAAGAGTTGAATTTCAAAACAATTCTGAAAAAATTAACAGAAATGATTAAGCTTTGTGGATAGATTTAATATATTGAAGTATTATTTCCACTGTTAAGACAAGATTTAAATTTTGACTTGTTTATTTAAGAATTCTTATAAATTAACCAAGAATCTTACCAATAATTGAAATGGCTCATGTTATAAATAAAAGACGAGCAATTAGATACTAGCACCCTCAATAATGTGAGAATAGCTTTGGGTAATAAATTATTGATTCCTCTTTTGAGTAATTCCAACTTATTGTTAGAGTTCTATTCAGAATTCACACCTTATCTTTTGTAATAGTTGAATGTAACATGGGATGATAATTGGAAGAACATGTTGTTTCAATTACAATGGAGAGGTCTTATTTTTGATCTATTTGGAATAGCCTACAAGAGGATGTCAACTGAATAAATAAAAAAACAATTACATTAAAATCTGAAGTTCTAAGCTGATAATGAAATAACCAAGAAATTGATTGTAGATTGTAACAAAGCTAGCAAATTCAAATTTGAGAAGATTAACATTTTGAATATAAATCAAAAGGAAATTCTCTCTTAAGTGAATTATCTGAAAATAGTAGAAGATTATTAAAGCAGTGCCTTTATTACATACATTTATGTGTTGATGAAAACATAGACTAAGGAAAACATATTTTATGCTCATTTATTCAAGAAAGAAAGAGATATATCTTATTGGGATAATTTCATAAATAAAGAATGGTAATTTAATTTTTAAGTTGAGACAAACTTTGAAGAAAAACCACTGTATACTGAAGTCAAGAAGTAATAGTAGGATTATTTCTAGGAGAAGATTGTCAAAAATTATCTATATACAGCTTCATTATCAGTTGAGTAAGTTACAGAAACCACAATGGAAATTGAAGAAGAGAATGAGAATCTGTAAAGTACAGTTGAAGTGTAAAAGATCGAGATGGATGAAGTTAATAAGCATAAATTGATGATACCAATGTTATCTTTGATAGATTTTATGGCAAACAAACAGAATTTCTAGTAATAGATAGCTGGGTAATAGCAAACTCAATAGACATAACAATAGGAAGAAGAAATGCCTAGCTGGATGACTGCTATTAAATAAGTATTCAATGATGATAGTCTTTATTTGTCATTGAAGATATTCATGTTAAAATTGATAATCAACAAAAGTGATATATTTAATAGGTATGCATCAGGATGGATAGGAGTTTTGCTAGATTATTGTACAAAAGAGAACAAAATCAATGGTGGCAAAGGATTTCATTATTTCTTGAGAGATGTCATTGTAGTCTTGATTAAATTTTCATAGAAATTAGAAGTTAGATAGGAGTATCTTTAAATGCATCCATAATCTAGAAATAAGATATGTTCAGTCATTAACAATTTGATAATGTTATCAGCAGATAAAAATAGAAAAATATTTGACTAGAACATTGAAATTATTGGGATGTTTGTTTAATTATATAGAGATTCGATGTACATTTGTGATAAATCAATAGTTGATATGATTTCCAAAAAGCCTGATCAAAAGAACTAATAATTAGATCCATAAGCAGAAGATACTTCAGTTTTATGGTAGGCAAATGGATTAGCCATATTACATATTGCATTGTTAAATAATGTGGTAATTTTATAGGATTATCCAGAATTTGTAAGAACTGCTAATTCATCACTTTATGAGAAATATAGATTTATTTTATAAAAGCAATCTCACAATATTAAATTCCCAACTGAATAAATTAATAGATTGGCCTGCACATACACTACAAAAAAGCATGTTCTCAAAGGAATTGCAAATGTCTATGGAAGTGTATTGTAGTGTTGTCAATATTTAAAGGTTTCTGGAAATGATTATGAGTAAGAAATCATAAACATTGTTACTGGTATTAAGGCTGACAATCGACCAGGTTATGGCAAAGAGAAGTTCACTACATTCATGAAGATTCTGACTTTTGTCTACCCAAAAGTTTTAAGCAACAATAAGTTGTTCTAAGAAACAGCAAATTTAATAGTTTAGGCTTCAAACAAAGAAAGAGCAGAGATTTTGAGAATATTTAGTGAATTTTTAGAATAGATTGAACAATCTACTTAGGATCCAGAATTTTATATTAATGAAATTGTGGTATCAATTAGTGGAAGTATTGATAAGGTAATTGAAGATCAAGAGGAAAGTGTACATTATGCATTATTGAATTTGTTAAAGTAATTAGTTTAATTGAAATGTTTGAATGCTTGCACTGACTTGATTTTACATTGTTTTAATTAGATTTTAGACAAAATAGATTAAAAATATGGAGTAGATAGAGATATAGGGATTGTAAAAATTTATTAGAACATTCTGAAATTGTTACATGAGTACTTAATAAATTATGATCATAAGGAACTGTAAGGCAAAGTTACAACTTACATCTTATCATTATTTACATCTCAACATATTGAGATTCGAAACCTGTGTTTTAAGTACTTGCAGGATGATTTAGAACGCAAAGCTATTTAATTATAATACTAGGCTGGCTAATAAACAACTTAGATTGATAGAGTGATTTCTTTAATGAAGGATATTTATTAGCCATCAAAGGAAACCTTGTGGTTGAAAGGAGCAGTTCCTCTGTTATTAAGTCAGAGTACAAAGACACAAGAGTATGATGCATTCATGTTTGATAAGAATCTAAGTGACGAAGCTCATTATTATGATTAGGAATTCAACAATAAGAAATATATCAGATAAAACAATATGTCTTAGATGGCAGGAACTCAATTCGGGTCTTAATTCACCTCATCATCTTAGCTTTTAAGTTAAGCCATTGGAGCTAGTCAAAATAATCCAGGGAACAAGAATCCCGTCAATTAAAAATAATTGATAAGAGCAACTCAAGAAGTTATTTAATAATCATAGTATTTTGATGAGGAAGGATTCAGAATTCCAATGAAATCAAATAGATCTCATCTTTCTTAATTTCTTTAAGCAAACGAAATAAGTTTCTAATAGATTCAACTAACATCAAACAATTAGATCAGATACAAACCAGAGTCTGCCACTAGTCTAAGAGACCCAACCAAAAAATACTATAAGCTTAAATCACAATAACCAAGTTCATAAATGTACACTTCAACTTAGGAGGGCTTTGAGAAGTTTGTTTAGAATAGAGTTCGTAAATATAGAGAAGGAGATTTGCCAGACATTAAAATAAAGCATAAGGATATTATTGATCCTTTGATCGTGTTATGTTTTGAAGATGAAGAATTGGCAGGAAGAGTATTTACAGCTCTTTTTTAAGAATTGTATGACAGAAACACATCAGCTGAAACTCTGTATGAAGTTCTATTAGGATTATTATAGAGATCGTAATGCAAGACATTCATCTTTATCTCAACTGTCTTAAGAACTCTCCATTAAGTCTTATGCAAATCAGGAATTCTATTGCCAGAAAATAAGATTGTCAAAAAAATCGGATTAGAATCTTTGGCTTATTATCAGAGTATGATTTTGACTGAAGAGTGCATTTTGAGATTGTAAGAAGATAATGAAAATTAAGAAATTAGAAAATCCTTCTTTTGGATGGATCTTATGGATTTGCATCAAAGTTAAGGCAACAAGGCTTAAATTGAGGGAATTATTAACGAATTGTTCAAAGATAAGCCAGCCTTTGATTCCATTAAATAGGCTATGGACTATAAACATTAGTATTCATATGTAAGAGCCAATTAGCAGTTGGAAGAGTTGTTAGATGAAATAAATTAGGAAGGGTATGATGAAGACACAATAGATGGGAGAATGGTTCATTACTTATAATAGGAGTTTGAAGATACATGTATGAAATTGGGGTAATGGGAAAAATTGGATGCTTAATTGAAAGATGTAACTTAATTAACAGATCGAGAATTAAATGCAAATTTACCATTAATAAGAAGGACATTCCATAAATATATGTCGATCAATAAAACTGGAGAATTCGATCTTCAGAAAGCAAAGTATTTGGAAAGAAGAACTGAACATTTGGCTGATGAATTTTTATTAGAAAAAACTCTGATTCTCATCTCAGAATAAGACATTGATTAATCTAGATACTTTCTTCAAAAGGCGTAAAGGAGATTCTTAACGTAATGGTCAAGTTTACTATCTTAAAATGAATTGCTATCTAAATAACTTAGACATAAACATTTAGAATAGTTGCAAATGATGCATGAAATGGGGGAAATACAGAGTATTTATAGTGGAGTCGAAATTGATATCGATAAAAAGATGTAAATATTGAACACCTGGGCTGTTCGATCTCCATCACTTTAAGATAGTTTATATACTTGGAATAGGATCTATTAAAATCGTTTGATCATGGCAAATCAAACTCATCCTGTATTGGGAATGTGGGCATTACAATTTGCCAAGGGAGTTGTTTAAATGAATTATTTCTAATAGGCTGCTAATCTATTGTCCATATGTTTCAAAATTTACAAGTGTGAAAATTGGAGCACTTATTCAACTTTGGCCAAATTGAAACTAAAAGAAGAAAGATTCGAAAGTGATTAAAGGGATTTAGAAACCATCTATTAGAAATTAAATGACAATTTTGATAGATACGATCAACATAAAAAATTAAAACTCTTTTTCAGTCAATAAGCCTAAAAAAACACTGAAAAACCAGTATAATTCAGATTTAACATGCTCCCCATCATTAGTAATTAGCATTATCTAAAAATCAATCAAGATTTAGTGTTCATGTTTAATTAAGAATCTAGAAAACATAACAATCGTTACGATTTTAATCCCTTTTATTAACGTTATGCTGATGCCATAATGCAAACATTTAATGGATATTTGGAATTGTAAATACAACTACATGATGAAAATATTAATCAATCTAAATTCTATAATAAAGCAGCAATGTTTTGTGAAAGATGTTTAAGAGTAATTGAACCTGATTCTGGTGGCTCTAATGATTTAAGAAAGATCTTAGAAAATAAAAATATCAGCTTAGATATGATTGCTGATTAATTTGTCAGATATACAATCAGTTCATTTAAATTCAATGCTAATCAATTAAATAAAATAGAAACACTTCTAATTAAAGTACTCAAAGTTGTCTAAAAGTTTCCTAATCAAATTGGCCCTGTATTTTAAGATGCTGTGGAAAAAGGACATCTAAGTACTTGGATATTCTTACAATACCTACCTCAATTAATACATTTAATTAATGACAATGTGAGATTCTAATATTTCAAGAGGATCTTTGATGATTTCATTAAAAAATACCCTCAACAATTTGTTTACTAATTTAATGTGACTTATTAAACAAGAAAGGAATTCAAACCAGACTCTGAAGCCAGTAAGATGTTCGATAAATTGCATCAATGCATTCCCAAGAATTATGCCTTTATTGAAGCTCTAAATTAATTGACACATCCAGAACATAGATTATAAGCATATCTGAATTAGATTAAAGATAATTCTGAAGACATAGATACCGTTATTGATAAAATTCAGGAAGACTTTTTCTCCAAAAGGGAAGATTTCTATGGAAGTTACAATTTGGCATTTATCTAAAAAAAGAAAAATCAACTCAATTAAATATTAAAGAATAAAGCTGATTCACATACTATTAATTAGTTCGCATAAGAAATATCAGAGGAAGCAAAATAGATTCAAGTCAAGAACTAACAAATGATCCATGATATGTCTCGGTGGTTCTAAAATTATAATGAGGAATCAATTGATCAAGTTGGCAAATAAACAGAAATTCTAATTCCTATTCAACTTAGTGGAATGAATGAATTCGATATATAAATGATACCAAAAATAGCCAGTTTTGATTAGGGGATGCTTGTATTATCTTCAATTAGGAAGCCGAAGAGAATCAAGATATATGGAACTGATGAAAAGCAGTATCTGTTTTTAGTCAAGGGAGGTGAGGATTTGAGATTGGATTAGAGAATTGAATTGTTGTTTGATGTCATGAATAAAATTCTACCAGATTCTGATCTAAGTACTTATGGAGTGTTCCCAATGACTAAGTTATTTGGTATGTTATAATGGGTAGATAACACTACAGTTATTAAGGAGATCATAGAAAAAGAACATTAAGAAGAGGAAGGATTGGAGTTATTTAAAAACAAAGCACTATCTAAGAGGGATGAATATGCAGCTAAAGCAGCTAAACGATAAGGATAATATAACGAAAAAAATAAAAATTTTGAAGTTATTGGTGTGTTGTAATGTGAGAATGCTACTGACGTAGTTTCAAATTTTAATGAATAGAAAAAGTATGTCAAGGATACATTATTGAGAAATGGTTTAAGCAAATTAAGTGCAAATTTAGAAGCTTTTGTTTTTATCAGAGATAAATTCCTTATTAATTATGCAGGTATATGTGCTTCTGGTTATATTCTTGGTATAGGGGACAGACATTTAGAAAATATACTATTAAATTATTCAAATGGTAATTTAATCGCAATAGATTTTGGATTCTCTTTTGGTTAAGGATTAGCTTTGCCTATTCCTGAATTGATGCCATTTAGATTGACTTAGGTTTTTGAAGGATTAGCCAAACCTATTGGATTGGGTGGATTGTACAAGAGTTAGTTTGTTAAGATAATGAGTGCTCTGAGAAAAAAGAGACACATTTTACTTGATTTCTGTGAAGTATGATATACTGTATATTTTAGGTGTTTATTAATGATCCATTGATTGAACAAATTAAAATAGGAAAGAATAAAGGAATGTCGGATGAATTTAGATAACGTTTAGAAGAATAATCAAAAATTGAAGAGTAAGTTTATAATAGAACTGGAGATTCTCCCAGTATGATATCATAAGATTAACAAAAGATAAAGGAAACATGGTATCCAAGAAAGAAAATTGATATTGTTCATAAGAAATTAATAGGAGTTCATTGTTCTTTGATACTTTTGGAAGAATTTGATGAATCTAGACATTAATCAGCAAGATATGCTGATAATCTAAGAAAGGCTATTTAAGGAATTAATCAAAATAGGTTAAGGCATTAATACTAAAAACATTAAACTTTGTCTGTGATTCAATAGGTGGACTGTTTGATTGATTTGGCCACAGATCCAAATATATTGGGGAGAGCTTGGAAGGGATGGGCTCCATTTATATGAAGAGTAATATCATTAATTTTAAGTAATTTATTTCATATTCAATATGCTCTACTCTACTAATTTAACCATCTCAATTATATCATCCAATAATTCATTTCGATACATTGCTTCAATTTTCAATTTAGGTCCACATTTAAAACATTCTTTTTGATAACCCTTTTTGCATTCAAAACAATAGGAATGACCACATGGTATAATAGTGACAGGTTATTTGATGAATTTATTGCAGAAAGTACAAGCAAGGCCTTTTTAAATTTCTTTCTATAGAATATAGGAATCATATTATACATGAGTCTTCTCCAAGATTGATATGGTTTCAATTACTTATGTCATGTTCTTTGGTTTAGTATCTCCTAATTTCTTATTGCATTCTTCGATCTTTTAATTTAGTAATTTAATTTCTGTTTACTAATCCCTAAGTTTTTTTTCTAGTTCTCCAATGGCTTTTGTATTTTATTCAACAGAATTGGTTTTTTCATTTAAGTTCTTAGAGGTTGTTTCTATTTTTTATTTATATTCTTCAATTTGATGTGTCAATTAATCAATGTTTTTGATTTACATATCAAGATTTACTTTCCATTAATTTACTTCTTTCTTAGATAAAAATAAATGATTACATCTTTAGATTTATTTTGCTCAGCCAATTGTTATTTCAACTAATTTATTCCTTCTTATAATTTAGTATTCTAATCCTAAATATTAAGAGGTGACTTTTTTGCTTGTTCTTACAGCTGATGCTTTTCCTTTTGCAATTCCTTGACCTTATTCTAATTATTGTTGAATTCTGATGACAGACATTCCTCCTTTGCAAGGTACTCCTTTTTGTATTGATCCATTTAATTTTTGATTAATAACTTTTCAGCAGATATAGATTCTAAATTCTTTTTCAGTTCATCCATTATGGCTTGTGATTTATATTTTTTCTCCTTTGAAATATATGATTATTATAAGTTACTTCGCTTTTTCTTATTTAGTCTTTCAATTTTTTAGAGTCATCTGGTAAATCTTCTTTGGTTTTTATTTTATGAGTAATATCATTCAATTAGGCATTGAGTGAATCTATAGTTTAATATAATTAATGTTCTTTTGCTTGAATAGTCTTTTAAACGGTTTCTAATTGCTGGATTTTGTCTTTATCCTTATCTTATCCTTATTGTCCAATATTTTTGTTGGATTCATGGATGGACTTGAGTTTGGATTGAGCAGCCTGATATTGTTGTCCTAAGTCCTACAATTGTTTAGTTTTTTCTTCATTCAATATTTTCTCTTTAATCAATTCTTGTCTCACTGATTCAAACCCTTTTTCAATAGTAAAAATCATATCATTGCGTTGCTCAATATCCTTGTTGTATTGCTCTAATTTGTTATCAATTTGCTTAATGAATTAAGACTCAGCCATAGGACTCTGCTTTTTTGATTTCTTATTGAAGTTATCAGTTGCTAAATTTCACATATGATTGAGTTGTATACTTCCGAATTTAAGTTTTCGAGATTGTGTATGCAAGCGACCTGGAAATTAATCATCTTCTGATAGCCTTGGTAATTATTGTTGTTAGCGCATTAAATATTAATCATAAATCAATGAGTCAATACGATCTAACTTATAATCAGATATCTGACAATAACATCATAGAAACATTGCAAATGAGAAAGCGAACTTCATTTATCTAGATCTGAGCCCCTACAAGAACATACAAGAAATAGATAAATGATTTTTGTATCCTTGATAATAATTTAATACCAATTAAGATTACTACAATCATTTATACTATAAAAATTCAATTATCTATTATGTAGTTCTTCAAAATGATCTCCGATTCTGCTTTCTTAAATAAACAGATTTTATAGTTTATTTTATAATCAACTAATGCATATCATAAATAATTATTCATTCATATATCAAATCATTAATTTGACTTTACCATTCTCCAATTTAATTTAATCGGTCTCCTCCTTTTCTTTTAAAAATACGTCATCTTACAAGACTTTCACTTATTCTCCATCTTTGAATGCAGGCAATCCTAAAATAATTCGCATTCATATTACCTCTGAATGGGCAATTTGCACATCTAAAAGCATCTCCTAGATAACAACTACCGCAACCTTTTACAGAATTATTTTTTAATTATTCTAATAACTATTCTTTATCTTATTTCTCTCTAAAATTAATATCATTGTTATTTATACTCCATCTCTTTTCTTCCACATGTGCAATTTGCACATGCTCTGGGCTTTGATGCACAACTTTCCACTTATTTCACTTCAACACCATCATTCAATAATTCATTTTCATCAATGGTTTCTTGGTTCCCTTTGAGATCAACTTATTTGAAAAAATTGATTTGATTTTAAAATTTTTATTCAATGTAATCGTATTTCCCATAGCAATTATTGAAGTCTTATTATGGAATATTGATTTTCTTAGTTTATAATGTTCTTTTTATAAACTACCCTTAACCTTAACTGTACAATCCACAAGCTTCTAAGTAAGTTGTAATTTATTCATTAATCTCTCCTTCATAATTTAGGACTCCCTCTTATATCATAGGAATAATAATTTACAATCATTCAAAATCTACGAAATCTGAACTGCATCTTTGAGTGTTATTTATTAATCACAATCAATCTTATTGAAGGTATTATCTCTAAAGATGAGTAATTATTCTAAATTGGCTATAATTAGTTTCTCACTTATTGAGGCTTGTTAATTGATGGTGATTTTAAGGTTCATTTATAATATTTTTAATTTCAATGCCAAAAGTAGTTGATAATTATGTATTAGAGAGATGTATAGGAAAGGGACAATTCGGAGAAGTGTTCAAAGTGTACAATAAACAAACATAGGAGGACATAGCAGTAAAATGTGTAAAGAGGTTTTGAGTATATTGAATATTTAGGGAACTGTTGAAGGGGAAATTTACAGAGTTATTAGAAAATGAAATTAATGTGTTAAGAACTTGCAATAATGATAATATCATAAAATTATATGATATAAAGAAGTCAATCAACAATATATATCTGATAATTGAGTACTGTAATGAAGGTGATCTATCATGTAATCATAATTTAATCGTAGAGTATATAAAATAAAAAAAGTTTTTAGTGGAAGAAGAAGCAGTTGATTATTTACTTTAGATATTGAATGGTTTTAAAACACTTGTAAAGAATAAGATAATGCACAGAGACTTTAAATTGGAAAATATTCTCAAACATGATGGCAATATCAAAATAGCTGATTTTGGATTCTCAAAATTGTTGAATGATCATCAAGCTTTAGCAAAAACAATGTTAGGATCTCCTCTTAACAAGGCTCCGGAAGTGTTAAATAACTAAGAGTATGACAATAAAGCAGACATATGGTCTATTGGTTATTGTTTCTATGAATTATTATTTGGAAAATCACCATTTACTACTACTAACATGGTCGAGTTGCTGGAGAACATTAAAACTTAATAGTTTGTTATCGATAGGAAGGTTAATAATATATCTCCTACAGCTGAGGATTTATTAAATAAAATGCTTGTAGTTAATCCAAAAGATAGGATATCTTGGCAAGATCTCTTTAATCACGAGATAAATTTCTATCAAGAGGAAAAGTTGAAGAAAGATTTAGAAACTGCTCTTAAGGGGGGAGAAGTAATGATGAATATGAGAAAATTCTATATCAAAAATAATTTGGTTTTTGATCATCCAGCTGATTTAAAGAAGAAGGAGGACTTGAATAATTTTGCCATTTAAATAGCCTAAAAGGGTCCATAAAATCAATATTAATAATATGATGGCCCGATATTAAAGAAACCCTAAGAGGAAAACAATTTAATTAGATAGGATCAAGTCAAAAATGTCTAGACTAATCAAGGGTCTACTTAAGATATTGGTAATGATGAAGTGATTGATAAGGAAACACAAAGAGAAAAAGAAATCAAGGCTAAAAAAAGAAATGCCAATAGGATTTTGCATGAAAGAAATATTTATGTATTTCTAGCATCTGTTGCTGAAGAAGCAATGAGCAATTAGACTATTCAAAATTATGATGTGACAGGCTTCCTTTTGGTCAAAAAGTTGCTGTTATAAATTGATTTCCTAAAGACCTTTCTTCAAAATAAATAAAATGTCTATGGATTGGAGTATTTAATTAATAATATCATTTATATTCTAGGTTTTGGGAATAGTTTACTTTGAGTAAGGATTATAAGGATATTCACACACACATTTCCAAAGAATTTGATGTTTTCAAATCCTACTTTGATTCAATCTATGAGAAACTTAGTGTATAAATTCAATATAGTACAAAAGTGGATGATACAATCAAACAGTCTATTAATAGTAACATTAGATAAAGCAATCAAGAGATTTTATTCAAATGCTTGGTCGATTATTTAAATTTATTGATTGATTCTCTAAAAAGTTTAATATAGGATCAAGTAAATGTGTTAATTTATTGAAGTATCGATAACATTGGGTTCATGCTGATCGAGTGTTGGATTGCATTCGATTAGAAGAGACATTCTAATTTGAGGATAAAAGTACAAACTAGCAATTTAATTTCAAATAATATTATGAAAAAGACAATTTATTAGAAATAGAAGCGCTGGCTAAAAAAGTGTTATAAAAGTTTGAGAAACTAAAGTGAATTATTCGTTGACCAACATATATCTAGATTATTTATAAACTATTAATTAATATATAATTAACATTATGTCCAGAAAACGAATTGAAGCACCTCCTTTGACTGATAGATCGTAATTCCGAAGAATCAGTTAAAAAAGTGTAGATGATTTGAATTAAGTACTCAAATTAATTAAACTAGACTCTTCATGCTCGGATCAACAGCATGGTAGGATTAGATGAGCAATTGTCCACCAAAATTAAATAACTTTAAGTTAGCACTTTCACAACTAAAGACTTAACATCTATAGGATCATCTCTCCAAGACATGGTTACTACATTGCAAAAAGTTTCATTTAATGAAATCATGTACAATCAGCTTCTGAGAGACAACGAAAAGTTTAAGAACGAGCAATCATATTTAAAGGCTTAACTATTTAAACTTAATCACCTTAACTCCAAATTCCAATAAGAAAACTAATAGCTATTAGACAAGATCAGAAGCTAAGAAGTTGATATCAATAACCTAAATAAAAAGTTAACTGCTGAACAAAAGCTTAATGAGGAATTATGTATCAGCACTTTATTAATCCTAGCTAAAAAATTGAAGCGGTCTGAATAAAGAGTGTAAATAATTTTAGAATCCAATATTACAATATAAAAAGATTAATTGAAACATAATTTGGTTGAAGTTCTGACTGAAAATGAACATATCAAGAAAGATGCCATTCAAAAATAGAAGGATTACTAAAAGTACCTAATTAATTATAATGTAGACTTTAAATGGTTAACAATTCTCTAAACTAAAAATTATCGAGATTGAATAATAGGTTTTAAATTAGAAGCAAAGTTTAAAGTGAAGAGGACTTTATAGATCAAGAGAAGATGGTTATAACATTTACAGAAATACCTAACAACTTCGTTTTTAGACATGTATTCTAAAATCTAGAATGCAAATGTAATAGTTAATATTCAAACTAGAGTTTATCTAATCAGTTTTAGAGTTCTCGACTGAAGACTTTTTAGTCCACATCAATTCAGTTAATCCTGAAACTAAGAAGATGTAATTGACATGGCTCTTTAATTATATGATAAACTACAAAGATTTCAACTTAGCTCATAATGTCTTTATTATCAAACTATCCAAATTGATGCAAATTTATTCCTATGATGAAATGTACAATTTCTTTACTACATTATCCTCCTTCTTCAAAGTCTCTCACATCTATTTATGGTTACGAGATTTCTAAACAGGATTCTTTATCAATTAATTAGATGGGAAGTAAAAAAAGATTATTTGCACAAAAGGAGCCTTTAGAGATTGCTTAGACACTCGGGAATCTGTTAACAAGCTCACTGCTCATAAACACATCATGTATTAAAATGATTTGGGAGAAGACATATATCAAGATAGTACCTACATCTTCCCTATTATAACTGAAGCTGCTCTCCCAGCAGGATTGATTGAATTTCATCATCCCATTTAGAGTAATAATTTTAGTGATATCTAATATTTCGCTTCGATTTTAGGATTGTATACAAAGATTCAAATCTAAAAGATTGATGAGGAGATACACAAAAACTCGTTATTGAAATAAACTGACATTTTATAACTTCAATTTTTAAAGTTAATGAAAGCAATTGATAAATTCCATTTTTGTGAATTAATGAAAGAAATGCAATGTAAAATTATGCAATTATCAACATCTGAAATTGTATTTGTTGAAAATAATGGTTTATGGAAGTATCATAATTAAGAAATAAGGAAATTGGATAATTTAGCTGGAGTATGTGGTTAAGTGGCTATTAGCAAACAACCTGCATATTTTACTAATATTTCAAAAGAACTTAATTTCAATCAAATAGTCGACATGTATTCAATCGCTCCTTTGTTCGTTTATCCTATCGTTCACAATAATCAAACTTATGCTCTAATTTAAGTATCACTTACTAACAAGCAAATCGATAAATATAGGTTTAAAGATCCCTTGATCAGTTTATCATCGCAATCCAATTAAGCAAGACTGTTTTGCGATTATGTTACTACTGCCTATATACATAAGTTTTTATGAATATAAAAAGCCTTATTAAATTTTGACCAATATATATATTTAAATAAAAATTAATGTAAAGGACTGATGTTTTAGCTAACAGAACAAACATTTTAATTGTCTTTTTAATTATCTGTTTCCTTGTGGCATTTTATGGAAGACAATCATCGGAGTATCAAACAATATCAGAGCGTTATGAGCCTGAAGTGACAGAATCAGAAATTCGATATTATTTGGAAAATGAATTTAATATTAATGATAGTGATCAATTTGGTATTCAAACCATATAGGATTGGTTACCTATCTAATCTGAATTAGCCCACCTCAATTTGGCATTGGAGTATTTTTCACGCTTAAATTTGGAAAAACTCTTGAATAAACAAGCCTTATTGGAGGAGGAAGTTAATTTATGTTTGAATTTACATTTGAATTAAGAATTAGAAAAATATGTGAATGAAATTAATTAAAGTCAAATAAATCAAACGATCAATTAAGATGTACTTGTAAATTACAATACCTTGTTTGAAAAAAAAATCTCATTAAATGATGGAATAGCGCAGAAAAAAACTGAATTGGATACATTGTCATTTGAAGAGAAAGATTTGAAATAGCTTACAATCCAATTTTAATTAAAAGAATTCGAAACTATTAAACTAACAAACAAATAGAAATAATTTCAAAAACATACTGATGATATTGCTTAGTTGGAATAAGAAATAAAGGAACATAATGAAAAAAGGATAATACATTTGTCGGAATTAAAAAATTAAGAAGATTTAACAGAAGAATATAAAAAAGATTAAGAATTGGCTAAAAATATGAGTAGACTCTTCAAACCTGCAGGTACAAAATCTGTAGAAATTCATGATGAAAAATTGGGAGGAATTGTTAATGTGTTAGATTAAAACATTAAATAATATAATACTACTGAGGTTTTCTTAAATGGGTTGAATTTTCATAGGGATATTGAGTAAAATTATTTAGAAAAAATTGAAAAAACCATTTCAAAATGTTAGATGTCTTTGGACAGTAAAAAGAAAGAAAAGGCCAAATTGGAACAAGAAATTGAAGATTTAGAAAGATAAAAAAAAGAAAAAAATGAAGTTTATTTGAATGCAGTTCACAGATTAGAAGAAATAAGAAGAAGACAAAATGATTTGAGGGAATAAACTTAAGTTGAAAAAAAAATGTTGGATTAGGTTATTTATGAATTAAAGTATTACCATCCATAAAGCGAACTTTAAAATAATGAGAAAATCGATGCGTAAAAGAAATTTAAAGGTAATTAAGTATAATTTATTATAAGAATATTTATATTAACATTTGAGAGAGGATTAATTATGCGTTGAGAAATGTATTGAATACGATTCTCTAAATCAATAAATTAACATTGCAAGATATAAAATTTCTTTGAAATCAATTTAAAAGCATTTCTCAGAATTGGAATTGAAATTTAAGGAATTCAAAATTTGAATTTTATAAAGATTTAAATAAATATTGATGTCAAACTTTACATCAAACTAAACTTTAAAGCAATTTATTTTTTTTATCAATTTAAATTTATTGTGCTGTTTATTATCCTTTTGTAGAACTTTATCTTCCTTAGGGTCTTCCTTTGAAGTCACTTTAATCATTATTTGTTTCTGATTCACTCTTTGATTCTTTATTTGTGTCTTCAGAATGTATTTTTAGAATTCTCTCCTCTTCTTAAGGATATGAAGATAACAATTCATTATTGTCTTTCTTCATTTTTCCAAGCACAGAGGGATCCTCTTGCAATTTTGTAGAAATGGTTTTTCTCTACAGCATTTCCCCAATATTAATCTTTTCTTCCTAAAGCAAAGCTTATTTGGCTTTATTGACAGATTCTTTGGACAGAGGATGAATTTAGTTTGAATTCGAATTTCCTTTTCTTAGATCAGTGGCTTAAGATAAAATCAATTAAATACCAAGTTATCTTAAAGCAAATAAAGATGTTTCTTATTCCTATGTCAATCCTAAGAATGTAGATTATTTATTGACAATTCTGGGAGTTCCTAAACATAATGTTCTTTCTTTGTCACTCATTTAACTTAAAACATTGTTCATTCTATTTCCTCCAATTGTTTTTTCAAACATTTATTTATTTTTTTCAATCTATTCCTATTTATCTGTAGATTCTATCTTTCCATTTTTTGTATTTTTTTATATGACATTTAAAATACTGCTGTATTCTATTGAATACTTCTTACAAATTCTATCCTAGAATTCAACAAAATCATCATCTTCTTTCATCTATTGACATTTATCTACTATTGATTTATAGATAATTCTCTTAGCTAAAAAACCTGCTCTTAAAGATTGTATGCAATCGTCTGGCAGTTTAAATACATCTTCTGCTTATAATTAATAAAGCTAATTTTAGATGTATTTATACAGTAGACTCGCATATAGATATACTTCCATATTCTGATCCCTATTCAAATAATAGTCTTTATTCATTGAACACTCCTGTATTTTGAATGCATCCAACAATAATTAAATTACGACTCTTTGTGGATGTAAAAATCAATGTTGTCCCTTTTGTCTAAAAATACAAGCTGGCTGTTCCTCCTTCTGGAACTGTCATTATACTGCCAAACTTCTTTTTAGTTTCCTTAAATAATGGTAACATAGTCTATTTTTTTTAAATGTCAAAAGATCTAATCGGAATGCAACGTTATAAATTTTGTGATTTTAATTCTAATTCCTACAATTCGGTGCTCTTTTTAATTTTGTACAAATAAATAATACATTTTTAAAAGAGTTGAATAATTATCTGTCGACCTAAAAAGCGATAGCTCCATATCCAAATTCAACTTCTTCATTCTAAACCACTTCTGCTTTTTTGTACACTCTTGTTTTTGAAGTTAATTCACCTAATTATAATGTATTCTCGTACCTTCTTAAACAAAGTATATTGGATTTGTTCCATCATTACTTGTAGCTATTTTCATATGCCTTATTATCTTAAGTAATTATATATTATAAACTTCATTAATTTGATCTCCTTTAAGGTTACTTTCCAACCACATGTATGCAGTTGGTCCACTAAAATTTTTAATACAATGCTTTAGATAAACAACATCATCATCTGTCATATTTGAACCTGCACATAATATGATTCTTAAACTAAATACCTTGCTCTATTATCTATCTCATCTATTCCTTTCTAATATCATCCCAATTTGTTTTTGTGTTAACTTAAGACAATTTTTATTACATTTTAGCAATAAAATTAATTAATCAAAATTTATACAACATTAAAGATACTATTTGTTTCTCTAGTGCATATCCATGAGAATAAATCAATCAAATGTAACACTCTATTAAAAATTAATATCTAATTATAAGTGAAAAATACGAAATTTTATCATTTTTAATAATTAATTAATCACTATAATATTAATTTAATTATTGCATATATTTTCTTTCTACAATCTATTGATTCTTAAATTAAATTCTACTCATTAAATTTCTTGAATGCATTTGGGTGAAAGTAAGATTTGATTTGAGTAAAATACATTAATATTATTTTTTGAGGAACTATTTTCATTAGATCTGTAATGTATGTTTGTTCAAATGTATTAGAGTATCCATCATTTATAATAGGTTGAAGTATTTTAAAAAGTTATTTCTAAATTTTGAAAAATTAAGAATAATATTTATTAATAAAATTAATCTGTTAATTTCTAAACAAATATCTATATTTGCAAATGTCAATCAAAGTCAAAATTTCTAAAAGAGGACAACAATATGAATTGTAATAGAAAGAAAATTACAACCCATTTGGTAATTTATCACTTTGCCCTAAATCAATAATTGCATTGGCTTAATCCTCTTATGATTCATAACTTATAGAATTTACTCTTAATTAACTTAAAACACCATGTAACTTAAAACATGAAACTCATTTACTAAGAATGAGATAAATAGCAGATAAATAGGAGACATTTGTATATGGTTAAATGAACATCAATAGTCAAATTGAAACATAAGTATAATACAGTGATCATTCATTTTATGATTAAATGGACACAAGTCACAGAAAGAATAGTTTACATTATTTTGATGAATCTCATCAACACTTTTGATTTTAGTTATTATAAATTATGTATTCTAAAAATTCCAGTTTTTCTATCTGTCAATCAATCTAATTTAGGAATGATATCATATAATTTATTAATTTATTTGTTAAATTGTATTAATGGATATGAAAACAAAATTTCCATAAATTTGGAAGATAATTTCTACAAAGAATGAAAATAATTATACATATATTAATAATACTTCATGAAGGTTATAACGATTAACCAGTTTTGTTATCCAAAAATTGTTAAGCTGCATCGTTTAATGGATCGACTATTTGGATTATAATATATAATACCTTGAGAACCTTCGTCAAGAAATTTCAACTTGATGGTTCCATTATAGATTAGATTTCCTGTAACCAAAACAAAGAATCCAATCAACTCTAAAACTATGGCTTCCCATCTTGTATTTTCCCATTTTGCTTCTGGATCTATCCAAGTGATAGCCAATGAAACTGCCCATATAATTAAAGTTCTTGAAACGTCAACAAGAGATCTAATTCATAAAAAGGAATGATTACCTGGCCAAAGAAGATACATATTTAGTAACTGAAACACCACAGATATTGAATGTTGCAATTGTAAATATACCTAGAATAACCCAGAATAGTAATAAGCCATTGGCAAAGATTTGCAAGAAATACAAATCCGCTCTTTCAAAATAAAACATGTCTGTCATTTATTTTTATACACAGCTGTTATTCATGGAAGTTGGACATTAGATAAAAGTCAATGCTATTGCCAAAACTACATAGACTGAAAAACCCCACAATCCTTCAATACCTACGATTTCAAAAGGATGTAAATAGTAAACATCAAATAACTTCTCTTCAGACACAAACTAAAGTCCATTCATCACAACTGACAATAACAATAATCCAACTGATATGAAGTAAGCTGCTCCAATTTCAGAACTTGAATCTGGATCATCATTATCTTTTTTTGGAGGGAAGAAAAATGAACTCATTCCTACCAAAGTTATACCAACCAAGACGAAACCGCATCCAAACCATTAATATCTTTTAATATGTCTCTTTAAGAAACATGTAGACATTATTGCTGTTGAGATGATTGCTCCTCCTCTCAACATTTGATAAATCGAAGGGGGAATGTAATTTAAGGAAATATAAGCTAATGTTGATGCAGTTAAATCACACATTGCTGGAATCGCCACCCAACCGTAGTTAACTTTTGTTTTTAATCTATCAAATGTCAAATTTCTATATATACCCTTTTGCTGCTGCTTCAATACATCCTTATTTATAATCTGGCTTCTTCTTAATATTTAGAAATAGTAAAATGCACAACGACTCCCCCAAAAACATTGTGACTGCTTGCATAAAAGGATGATTGAAATTCGTTGCTTCCCATCCATCAACAGTAACCTTGCTTGTATTTTATAATTTATAGACTGTTAATCATATAGCCATAAACTAATACCTATTGTATTGGCTGCCCCAGAGAGAATCATGGCAGTGATCAAAAGTGTAATGAATGACGACTATTTATCTCCCATTTTATTAATAAAATTGATTAAATCACCATCCATAACAGATTTTTTTTGCAATTATTTACGAATAGACGAAATTCAATACATCATACGACAATTATATAAAAAAACTTTTATAAAATATATTTTCTTTAATCATTCTTGTGATTAAAATAATTATTTAAATTAGATTAAATATCTTTTTCTTATCAAATTTTATGAAAATGTTATTACTAAATGGATTCCATTATGGTTATCCTCTTGATTCTCAAAACTCAATATTACATTTTATTAGACAAATAAATTATAATAAATATTTTGATCAATATTTAACATATCGTTTTTATTGTACATTTGTGTTTAGTAATGTTATCAAAACTAAATAAGTCTAAAATTATGAAATATTTAGATTAGCTTAATCTATGGGGTTGCTTATCATATCATTAATAAGTCTAGTCTGTTCTATTTCAATTTATAACTGCTAATCCACGGATTCATTAAACATCTACAAATATGATGACGAAATGATTACACTCACAAATGAAATATATATGATTAATCATCTCTTGAGCAGGTTTATCATTTATAAGCCTTTACGAGATCTCTTCTATCATTTTGAAATTGCTTCAACATTTCTATTGATAATTTGATAATTCCTAACACATAAACTAATAATTACATAGCTAAGAAGTAATAGGGAATGTAAGATTTAAGAATTTATAAAATAAATAAAAATAAGGAGGAGAGCTTTAAAATACTTAATCTATATTGTTGATTGATTCATAATCCAAACAACGATTTGGTTCTATTTTAATATTTCAATTAAAATTTACCAGTATTGAGTAATACAAATCAATTGATTGAGTAATGTTAAGACAATAATCATTATCTTAAGCAGAATTTAATATGATGACTAATATCATTATTACAGGGAAGTGTTAAAAGAAAATTATTATATGAAATATTTGGATCATGACGCTTTATTCTTCTTTTACTATAAAAATCTAAATACGGAAAAACCTAGGTTCTCGCTCTAACTTCTTATTCTAACATTCTTAAAATTATTTTTTGAATACATATTCTTTCAATGCCTTTAAACAGGGAATGTGATTAGCAGGCCTAAGTTTCTCATCAGTTTCTGACTCTTCAAAAATGACATCCTCTGGAGAATAAACTGTCAATTTTTATTATTATATTTTTGGCCCTTTAGGTGGCTCGAGGCTTAAGGGATCGAGTATTTAAGGAGACTCTTTTGGTCTTTGTTTTTTAAAACAAATACCTAATATAAGGTTTTGGAGGTGGCTTATCATAGGTATCTAAATATTCTTAATAGGTCATGGAGGAATGATATCTCTATCGAATTTCTTAAATGTAAAGATTGTCCATAATTTTTAAATATAAATAATAAAATCTAAATAAATACTCATTATTTATTTATTCCTTCTGGTTGTATGAATTCCACTTCATCCAAAGCATAATAAAATAAAACACAAGGGTACAACGCCTGATCAGATTTTGGAATATCAAGTTTGAAAGTTGTGTTAGACTGAAATATATTAAACATTTAACCTTTTGTTTATGGAATATAATAGTTTAGTTATTTGGATCATAAGTGCAAACAATAATGTCACCCTTTCCAAATTTGAAGCATTTAACAACATTATTTTGATTCGAAGTAGTACTTGACCAAGCACCCCCATTTGATGACACCATATAACCTCCATGTCCAAGTGATTGAAATGCAAATCCGAATTATTTGTTTTACACTATAGATAAATCACAGACCCCAACTGCAATCCAATTACTCTAATGAACACACTATAAAGTGTATAATGACAATTTACATTTAATTTGAAACCAAATACAGTAGTCTAATTTTTGTCTAAGGATGGAGTCATAACAGCAAACTTGTATCCATGAGTTGAATTGCTTGCTTTAAATAGTTATATATAGACGTACCTTTTACAATCTTTGGCTATAATATATCAACTTATGGATGTTTATTGTTTGGTAAAAATTCAAATTGGCATGCTTTTTAGAATATTGTTTTTTATGTTTTTGATTATAACAATACAATTTGTTATTCAATACCCTAAATAAGTTGCGTTTCTAATTAATGCAAATGATCTTTTTGATCTTTTATGTGAAAATCAAAAATCCTGCTGATTTCTTCATAATTTAAATCTTTTTCTGGGATTTCCTACACTAATGTGTCAAGCAAAATCTTAACTGATTTACTCAACATTTCTACATTTGTTTGATTTTATATTATTGTTTCAATAACTGTAACTATCTCATTCAAATTTATAATTACATTAATTTCCATTGCTAAATTCTCTCATCTTCACAAATTTCCTTAAATTTTCAAAAAACTCCTGTTCTAAAGTCAAAATCTTTGATAGTTTATTGTTTATTTGTGCTTTCAAGTCCTCAATGTAAATCAACGATTTTTCTTCTTATTCATTAATCTTCTTAATGAGGAAATCCTTTTCATTTTATTTTAATGAAATATTTTAATACTCTCTAGAATTTGAAAAAGAATATACCTTAATTATTAATCATATTCACACAACAACAGTTTTAATGGTTTTAATTAATGTCCTTTATGAAATTCTTCTTAACATATACAACAGCACAAAATTTGGTTTTATAAGCAATCCTTTTCCAAACATATTAAACTCATTGATTCTCCGCTATGATCACCTCCAAAAGGACATTGAGGATATTAAAGACTTGAAAATTTTTTAATATTCACTTTGTCATCTGACTTATTCATTTGTTTATAAGTCTTTACCATATTTTGAAGCAATTATTTCATTTTTTTATTTAAAAATAAACTAACAATGAAAGAAATATTGCTTTTATTAATGTAATATTGAAAAAGAAAGTCTTATCATGACTAAAATAATATTTCATTTTCAAGATAGATTTACAAATATTCATTAAACTTCAATTTATCATAGAAGGTTCCAAAATAAATACTTCAAAGACTTTAGTAATCAATTTGGGTATTATGGATACTAGATGAAGTTGATATTTGTTAGCATTCATTTTGGTTTAATTGAATGATAATTTTCATCATCAAGATCGCTAAGAATATGACATGTGTATTATTAGATTAAGTTTTTTTAACAAACTTAATCTCAAGAAAGCTATTATTTAGAATTGATGGAAAGTATTTTTAGAAAAAATTGATGAATGCAGAGTCTGCAGAGATATATGGCTTCTTTAGTATATATTCAACCAGCAAAATTGTTCAGTTAAAATTGTATAATTTGACATGAACCTAAAATTTTAAAAAAGTAAAAAGTACCTAACTCAGATTGTCAAAGTTCATTCCTTCAAAACTTCAGAATAAATTGAATTTGATCATATCCTAATTAGATAAATTATAATGGCTATTAAATATCTTCATAAACGTTGCTGTATTAGGTATTAGCTATATTATCACAACCTCTTATTTCAATAAATAAATTGAATTAGGGTATTTTAATCTGCCAAAGGAAAATTAACATTTGTTTTACGAAGAAACATTGAAGTTAAATAAAACTTAAACCACAAAGTTCAAAGGAGTAATAGAAAATCCACATAATTAGATAGCTATAAATCTAAAAGGCTACAATTTCGATTAGATTAATTGTAATATAATAGTTACAATTTTGATACTCAAATGATACAACATTAATATGATTTTATAAAATGTATATATTTTTATTTGTTATGCATTTTTAATTATCTTAAAACATGGGCTTAGACTTAAGAAGTCCTATAGAAGATGGTGTTGATGATGATATAAACTCGACTGAATAATTAAGCGAGGATTCCGTTGAATCATTAGAGGACTTCCTTCCTAAAATTCATCAAAAATCAAATCCGTCTTGCATTATGGAAGAAAAGATAATTCAGTATCTCAAGCAGTTAAATTTGTTATTTAAAACTGATCCAAGAAAAAAAGAGTTTGAATATTAGTATTTTTTGTTTGTTACACTAGTGAGAAATAAAAAAAAACTATACCTGAGTTTTTAGGTTCTGTTGAGGGCTCGCCTGCTATAAAAAGTATCAAATTAAAAACTAAATAAATGATACTATAAAAAAAAAACTGAAAACAAAGGCCTATTACAAAACACAAATATAAATAAATGATGACTTATATTACGATCAAGTAATTTTATTTGAAGTTTTCAGTTTTTATTTACTGTCTTGATTACTTTTTTTAAATTATTACCCTCTGGTTTTATTTGGAATGGCAACTTTATCAAATCATAATGTTCTTTGATTTATTAATTTCAAAGAACCTAAATTTACAGAATAATCTAAAATAACAATTCCAAGAAAATTATCTTTTTACAAGATGTTATCTTTTTATTCATTTGATATGAAGATTCTTCTGATCAATCTTTCCTATGCTGTTACTTTTAACTGATATTTGTAGTCCTTTTTAAAAGATTAATAAATTAAAAAAAAATTAACAATATAAGCTCTATTTAAACATTTAACTTTTGTATACTTTTTTTCAATATTATTTATGTCTTAATCAAATTATTCACAACATGTTTAAAAATACTATAACCAATATTTGATGCAAGGACAAAAATGATTTATTTATAATTGACCATTTTTAATAATAAAATAAATATGTACTACAAATGAAGTCTCATTGTCATTGCATATAATCAATATATTTCAGAATATAAATTATTAAAATAAATTCTTTCTTATATCCTTATTGCTATCTCAAATTAGTTAATTATTTTTTATTTTTATATAATAAACTGTTCCTTCATTTAATATTATTATTCAAATTATATCTACACTCCTCTATATAAATATATTTTAAAAAAATTAAGCTTATTGTGTTTGTAGAATGCAAATAAGGAATTATTAAGTAACTGCATTTTTTATCAATATTTAATGTATATAATTAATCTGAATAATATAAAGAATATAATTAAATATAACAAAAGAATTGTAATTTCTATGCAAAGATTGAAGCATAATAAGCATTTAATATAATATTTTATTAAAAATAACTCCTACTTTAAATTGTACAGTGAAAATAAAATGTCCACTAATGTGTAAAATGAAATACCTAACTTCGAAGGAAAATTCACAAGACTAGCATCTCAATTACTAGATTTTAGAAAATGGAGTAAAATGGATCGCATCATATTTAATTAACTTGATGACCCTTCATTCCTAACTAAATTAATTTAGAATTGATAATTTCATAATTTATATAAACTCAGAAGAAGTTCATAAGTTTAAAAATAGATTTAACTTTACAAATATTTGAAATGTAATCCATAAATGTTGCTTGCTAATTTCTTAATAATAATTATTCTAATTTTTATATTAATAAATTGACTTTATATTAGATATACAATATAAAATTTCATCATCACGATATCCTCTATAAAGAGCAATATCTTGTAGATTCGTTTTATTTCTTTAAATAAATCTCTAATTTTGAACATTGTTCATAAAAACAATAAGATAGTATAGGAAAGAAATGTTCAAATTCCTCATTCCCTTAAAGTTGTTTTATTATTAAAACACAATATCCAAGATGATCATTAATTGTAGACATTTATTGATTTCTCAAAAATAAAATGTTTGACCGTCTTATTATCAACTCATTCAAATTTTATAATAAAGCCTAAGAAAAAGCATATTGTGTATCAATCAGTTCAATTTGTTACAGTAAAAATTCGATTGTCGAATCTCTCTAATGCTTCAATTCTTATTTAAAAGAAGTAGGTAATAGCAATTAAGAATGATTGGATTTATCATTTTCTTAAATCAACAAATTGATTTTTCTTCTATTTGAACAAACTAAACCCATCTTTCTGTATGATTTTTAATTTTATAAAATAAACAATGAACTAAGTAAAGAAGTTCTAAATTACATATTGCAAATTCAATTTAGTTACATTATTATATCTAATATGACGATTATTCTTTTCATAATTATATTACTTCTATTTCTATTATATAATGCATTTATTTATATCGATATATAATTGTATTTGAATATCATGAGCTTTGATTGATTGTTGAAAAATATTAGGTTTATTAAGATATTTAATAAGATTCTAAAAAATATTATTTTATGTTTTTATAAGATAATTAATTATATATTTATATAAATGAATTAGTAAAATTAAGGTCCTTCATTTTTAAAGTTGAATATTAAAGAAAAGGCCAATAATAAAGATACCGCAGATTAAATTCAAGAAATTTAGTAAATTAAAATTATCAAATAATACCCTCATAATTATTAATAGAATAATGATAATATTAAGTATTTACAATAGGCAACATCACAACTATATTATGCAATGTTTTAAATAAAGGATAAAAGTAATTTGTAAATGATACCATTTGCTTAAGAGAAATTCGATGAATAGAATTGGCTTTATAAGGCTATTATGAATATCATTAAAGAAAAATAATAATTCCTTGATGAACTTAAAGATGAGGAAAAAAACAAATATAAATAGGTATAAATCGAATGTTTATATAAGGCAATCAGTTGGACCGAAAAAATTTTGGACTAATAAGCAGCGTTTGACGAATTCTATTTATAAATCTTAGAAGTTTATAAATAAATTAAAAGACCATAGAATAACAACTTATTAGTTTTACAGCAAAACTAAAACAAAGATTGTAATAAGTTTTTATACCCATTTTGCTTTATTCAAAATTTAAATTTAGAATAAAACTTATAACAATCAATTTAAGAATTAGATGATAGAGGCATAATTAATTAAAGTTCAATTCAATCTGAAAATTTTTAAAAGAAAAATTTGTTTCTTAGTGTTGCATCTGACATTCAATAAATAGATATCAACTTTTGGACATTTTATTTGAAAGACTATAAAGAAACCAACAAATTAATCATTTTAAATCCTATTACAAGTGTCGAATAGTTAAATAATAATATAAGCAATTCAGGGGAAGTGAAGCAAAATAATACAAGCTAAGAAAAATTAAAAAATAATACAAGAAATGAAATTATTGTTCCAATCATATATAAGGATCCAGTTTCAGACAACCAAATGAAAATAATTTATAATTCAATCCTTGATTCATAGATTAAGAATTTCAAACCCGATTGCATTTATTTAGAATTTTAAATATCAAATGATTTCAAATTAGATTTCCCTGCTCTAGAATATCTTATTAGAAAACTATAAAGGAATGCAAGATTAACTATTCATTTTAGAATTAGCTTAGACAAAAACGTTTCAGAATAAGATCTATCACTTTATTTAAATGCAATAATTATGGGACTGTAAGGATTCAGACATCCAGAGAGAAAATTTATAAATGATAATGACTATAAAGGGTTGGTAGATTGGACATCTAAAATGACGAAATTGAAAGATTACTAAAATAAAAATACCAAATAATCATTCCAAACTACATTACAATAAATTTAAACTTGCCTTCAAAATACATAAGAAAAAAATTTTGGAATTATATAAGGAAAGGATGAATTTAAATGGTTATAGAAAGATAATTGTAATATTAATTCTTAGCATTTGGTTTTTGAAAAAAATATTGTGGTTTATGATAAAACATAAAATAAAATTTGGTATAGTAGTTATTCACCTAACCTCATGAACGATAATTCTGAAGGTGTTCCTTTAAAACTTTAATTGTATATATTAAATTTAATCTAAGCTAAGTGATCGGAGATGATGATCATGAAAATCCTATAGAACCCAGTATAATAGAGCTAAAAAATCATTTGATTATTGCCTATGGGCACACTCAAAATGATAAACATTTTTCGGATAAAATATGGAGATGCGATTTACAAAATAAAGACTATAGACCTATTGAAATGAATCGTAATGAGGAATACTAATAATTTAGACATACTTACTATTAAAAATTTAAAGATTCAAATGAGATTGTAAATAAAATTAAATGGAGAAGGGCTCCATAAATTTGTAAGAACAATTTGTTTTAAGATAACGAAAACTTTTTATCTTTCCTACTCATAGGAGGGGAAACTCTAGTGTAAGAAAAGGATGGGTAATCCAATCCTAATCTAATAATGAATATAATAGAAGTTGTGATTTTGAATCTGCAAGATAATAAATTTTGCTCTTTCATCTTGAATAAATAATCATAAGGTAAATTTTCTTCTTTAAAACCTTGGCCATATTAAACTGTTCTTGAAGGAAAATTAAATAATGCATGTTTTTATTTGATTTTAAATGGAAATTAAAATATGAGGAAAAATTATTACTCTTTTCCAAAAAACCCACAATATCTTAAGTAAGTATAGCTCATAGTTTAATCAGAAAGTTCATTCTAACTTTTCTTCCCATATATAAAATTTACAGAAGATTTGATAATCTAAATAGACGAACTAATTGATGATTGTAAAGTTTAATATTTTGATGAAGAGTCAAGTGGGGAAAATTGTTTTGTGTGGAAACTTTTAATCACTAGATATGTTTTCAATGAATTTTCATTACCAAACCATCCCTTATTTAAGAAATTTGAAGAAAAATTGAAAAAGATGTAGTAATAGAGTATTCAGCATTGTTTGGTGTGCTTTTAAGTATCTGTTAAACTGAAATTATAAGTTTCAGAATAAAATCCTTAAAATTACTAAGACTCTATTGTAGAAATAGAATATGAGAAAATCGAAGTTTTGCAGTAAAATAATAATAACAATTGATTTTAAATATATTTTTTTTGTTTGGGATATTAATAAAGTTTTACCATCTATATTTATAAAATTTACTCTATTTTTTAAAACAAAGCCTCCTCTTTTAGTATTTAGATATTATTCAAATTATCATTAAATAATCTAGAAGTTGTTTAATTGGATTTGTAGAATTTAATTTCTTTTAAACTAGAATAAATAATAAATACTATCTTAATTAAGAGGAATGTTTCTTATAAACTTAGAGGATTGAGTATAGTTCAAGGATTTGAGTTAATATTGGCCATCATCTTTCTTTATTTATTAATGACTCTCTTTTCATTTTCTCTCAAAATAATGATAATCTAAAATTCCATTGTAATTCGAGATTTATTTTTATATTTCTACATAATTTTTAATAGAATATTCTATTAAATTTGGATTATTTATGCCTAATTTATTTCTTTTTTGTTTATTCATCTCGTCATCCAATTTTTTCATATCATCAATGAATTACTTTTGATATTAGATTTTACTTTTTAAGCCAGTTAACCATTTCATACAAAATTATTGGTTTATTGTAGTTTATTCAGCTTAATTATATGATCGATGTATTGAATGACCTAAGAGATATAATTAGATATTCGAAGCATCTTTAAACATAAAATAAAAAATATATGTATAACATTTGCTGATTCCTATGAAAAATTAAATTTTATTAAAAAATAATTATGCTCTAACTGGAACTGTCAGTATTTATTTTTAACTTGTTAGATGATAGCTGATGTGAGATTGATTATTATTTGTAAGATTAAATTTTATCATTATTCAAAATATTTTATTCTCTCTTTTTCTTCTTCTGTAATATCATCAACTACTTACTCCTCTACCTAAACTTAAGCTGGCCACGATCTAACCATTATAGGTCTTCCAGTTCTTTTATGAACAACTTATTCTTTTTATTGCTCCTTTTGCTTTTTCTGTTGATCTAATAAATCTTGCTCTTATTTCATTTACTTAACTATATCTTTTCTAGCCTTAATACAATTCTTTTCTTTTTCTAATACTAGCTCTGGAGCTATTTATCTAAACATTTTCAAATCATTTATTCTCTATTCTAAAAGTTTTTCAGTCTCTTTAAGCATTTCAATCCCTGTAATATCTTTTCTTGGTTCAACATTAACATCAGATCTGTATATTTTAGCAATTTAGTTTTCTAAATTTTTTAAAGGTTCAAAAACTTCGCTATCACTTCTTATAGCTTTAAGTGCTTTGATTTAATCATTCACTTAATCAATTTATTTCAAGAATTCAGTTTTTGTTTGTAAAGCAGTTTTTAATTTATCTTCTAAGGTTTTAACCTTTTGATTATATTTATTTCTTAAATCTTCCACCATTTATTCTCTTTCCTTTGTATTTCCAATAAGGAATAAATTTTTTTCTTCCAATTACTAGAATATTTCTTCCAATTATTTTGGTTAAGTAAAATATGTTACTTATTCATCATCTGAATCATTCAATAGTTATTATAATTCATTATTCATTTAATTATTTTGATTATTTCTTGATAAAACAACCTACTATTGCTATTATTATTATTTTGGTTGCTTTTACTTCATTTGAAATTCCTTTGGAGTAATCTTATCTAAGAACTTTTTATATTTTAAAAGATCTTCTAAATTATCAATTTTCTATTAGATTTTAGTCATTAGATCTGTCCTGTGTTCTTATAAAGCTTTGATTTCATTATTTTTTTCTTACTTTACTTTAGTCTCCTTTTCTGCTTCTTTAATAGCTTCTCTTGAACTCATCTTATTTTGCTCCAAAAATTTATTAAATAAATCCACATCTTCTTCTATAAGTTATTCGCTTTTTTCTAAACCCAATCTATGTAACTTAGTCAATTTCTCAAATTCATCAATCATGCCTCTCTTATGATCAATCAACATCTAAAATAGCAGCATTTCTCGTTTTTTATCAATAAATTGATACATAGGTTCTTTTTATCGAACTCTATTCTTAACTGCGTTGTCAGCTGCATCAATAATGTTTCTTAAATCAATCATATCAATACATCTTTGCATTATATTCCTTGTCATTCTTATCTTCTTCTTTGCCAATTTCATTAATTTCCCTTATACTCAATTTTCCTTTCGACTTTATACCTTTTTCGTGAACTCTAAGATTTTGAAACTTGATTCTTTCTTCCATTTTGATTTACTTTTCTTTTTCTTTCATTTTGAAGATTTCATATTCATCAGGAACATAAAACGGGTTTTCAATACTTTAATTTAATCTATCCTATATCTTTGGAAGCTATTATGCCATTTATAATTAATTTTTAATAATAAGAATATTGCTTTTGTAATAATATAATCGATTATTGAGAAAGCATGTTTAATGATGGTCATAACCAACTTAGAGGTATTGAAAATACACCCAAAATCAACTTAAATTGTTAAAGAATCAATAGAAAAATATATGAATTAAACAAGAGATTTATGTTTTCTTAATGCAAGGGAATTACCTATACTATTTTTGCATTTAAATTCTTTATAAATAGTTATAATGTTTAAGATAGAAGAATTTCCTCAAAAGAATCTAAAACCTTAGATATATATATTAATTTAAGAGAATAAATTAGATTAGTAAAGTCACTCAATTAATTTTATTCTGCCTACTCCCTTATTTTTTGTAATCTTTACTTTGATAAAAGTAATTTAAATAAAGAGTTTATAAGTTTATGTATATCAGTAAATTTGTTGGAAGATCTTATTCTTTTTTCTAAGTAAATCATTTAGGAATGATTAAAATTACATTGAGTATAATAATAAAAATTTGCACCGGTAGATGCATTCGGGTTTTGAAGATTATTAAATTATCCAATAAAGTTCTCATCGTCATATCTCGTAAAGGTGCATAAAGTTCGACACACCCTTAATTGTTATTATTCATAATCCTGGAAGTTGTCACACACAACTAAATAGATTAACTAAAAATATTTCAGATATTTAATATAGGTAATTAAAGTCTAAATTAGTTGTGGATGGTTCTAACTGACCAGTAAAAGTAAATATTTTATATTCTAAAAATCATGGATCATTTTTAGAACTAATATTAAATATATTGTTAAATTGTTGTTATAAAATAGTATTTCTTAATTTATTCATAGTTTAGTAAAATAATTGACAGTATAAACATTATTAAATTGTATTTCCATATAACTCTATATTTTACATAAAAAAATCAAAAAAAAACATATTTTCACAAGAGCAATACCTGATTTAACAAAGTTCTTCCTCTTTATATCCAGGTGAGTGATATTTCAAAAATGGATCTCATTTGTGATATTTCAAAAAGGGATGTCTTAAATAATTCAATAGGATAATAGTGAAATAATTTAATAAAAAAATGATTATGATTTTTTACTGAGATACGAATTGAAATGACGATGAAATAATTAATTTATCAATAAACGAGTTATTAATTTTACAACAGTTTTCTATTTTCTATATTTCAATTCAAGAATAATAAATTATAGTTATTTTAGTTATTATATTATTAATATTTACATGTCTGCTAAGGATTTATTGATTTAATTATTTGGATTGCCTAAAGGAGAAATCATCTTTTAAGATTATTCTTGCGCTTTAAAAGGGTTAATTTCAAAATATGGAAGAGTATTTGTAGCAGAAAATCACATTTGCTTTTATGCAAACCTCGCAGGAAGCAAAACAAATTTAGTGATTAAATTAGATGATATTTCTAAATTGGAAAGTAAAAATAAGAGTGATATTGATATAACTTTAAAGGATGGCAGAATATTTTGTTTCAATGGTTTTCATGATAAAGATTAAGTATACAATTTAATGAATGCTTTAATATCTGGATAGCCATTATCAAATTAATAGACAATATAAACTACTACAGATAGTGCTCGAGATGATGATTCCTAAATAGAAAATGCTGAAGTAGAAATCTAATTCCTCTAAGCAGGAGCATCCATGGATTAAGAGATGTGCAAATTTACATTTTCATTTAATTTAGATAAATTTTTTGAATTCTTTTTTGCAGATGATGCTCTTGTGTATTCAATTGCAGATCATAGATAATCTGAAAAAGATACAGATATTTAATTATCTAAATGGACTCCAATGGAAGATAATCCAGCAATGTTTCAGAGAGAAATGAAAAATGTTATTAAGTTAACAGGAGTACCTTTCAAAGATAAAAGTAGAATGCATAAGCTTTTTACTTACAAAAAAGAGGCAGATAAAATAATTTATACTTGTACTACTCACACTTTAGATGTTCCTTATGGAAATTGTTTTTAGGCTGAAGAAAAATGGGAAGTATCATCTTTAGAGGATAATAAATGTTTATTGAAAATATTTGCTTCAGTTGTATTTACAAAATCCACAATGATGAAAGGCACTATTATGAGTAAAACAATGTCTGGGTTAAAGGAAGATTATGAAAAATGGATTAACAATGTTAAAATTAAATTAGAGGCGATGGCAAAATCATAAAAATCATAAGCATCCAACATCAATCATGAATTTGAGGAGTAAATATTATATCTTACATTAGCTCTAAAAAATTAGATGATAATATTTTAAACAAAATAATGTAAACAAATTAATCTCAATAATAAAAGTTAAATACTTCCCAAAGCTAATTTTATTAAGGGAGAAAATCGGAATTACTTTATTTATTATCCATATTTCTTTTAATTATAATAATGCTCATTTAAATAGGGATTTTAAATAAATAATCATAAAAACTTGAAAACTTAGAATAGTTGGTATTACAATTATAATAAAGATGATATGTATTATTTAATATTTTGATTACTTAATCATTCTATAACTTCTCCTTCTGTTGTTTCTTCAGTTATTTCTTCTGTTGTCTCTTCTGTAGTTTCTTCTGTTGTCTCCTCTGTTGTTTCTTCTGCAGTCTCTTCTGTTGCTTCTTCTCCTCCTTTTTCAGTTGTTTCTTGTGTTGTTTCTTCTTCTCCTTGAGTAGTTTCATCAGCTGTTTCAGTAGTCTCTTCTGACACTTCTTCTTCGCCTGCTTCCCCTGTTTCGGCATTTGAAGTTTATTCATTTGAAGATGAATCTTCGCTTGATGATTTTGATGAGCTTTCGTGTGATTCTACTTTTGCTTTCGATTCTGAATTACTTTAGCCAGCTGCTTAAGTGGTTTCAGTGGTTGTTTATCCTTTATGATGATGATGAATAGTAATTTCATGAGTTTCATCATCTTAAGATGTCACTTTGACACCAGTTTAAGCTCCATTACTTGTGCATCCTCCTCTTATTATTTCGAGATCCTTAATTTATCCTTTGATCTTGATGACTGTAATTGGAGTGCTTCTGCATTATTATTTACAATTATTAAGACTATTAATATATTCTCTCAATAATTTACATAATTCCTTTTTAGCTGCTGCTCTATCTTCATGATCTATAATAATTATTTTATTTATACTTACTTTCAGAATCTAAGGCATGGCATTATTCCCTTAAGGCCTTAACTTGACTGAGACCAATTTGGCTTTTTGTGAGAGGTAATTCTAATTTGTGTAATTTTTTTAGCAACTTCTTTCCTGAAACAGAGACTTATGCTTCTAAGAAAGAATGATGTTTTGTTGTTAACATTTTTTCCATTTATTCAAGGATCTTGATATCATGAGAAACTGCTTTTTGATGAACTAACAAATCTTCCCATTGCTTCATTTATTTTTCTACAAAAGAAAATTAATCAGATCTTGAGCAATCCATTGTTTTAACATTAAAATTGGCCAATTCTTCCAAAGACATCATTTACTCAGTGAATGCAAAGGCACTCAAAGCCAAAACCAATAAAATCAAAGCTTTCATTAAAAATAATATTCATAAAAACGAATTCACAATATTCCTTCTTAAATTATTTATTTAAAATATCAACATCTATAAAATAATAAAGATTTTAAACAAATGACATGAAGTCATAATCAGTGTTATTATCTCATTTAATTTTAAAATAAATTCTAAATTTTTAACACAACAATAATGATTGATTTTCTAATGAAATAATTAGCTATAGATTTGAATAAATATGTCTTTTTAATATGAAGGATTTTCTTGAATTCGAATAGTTTGTCTCACAAAAATAATTTAGTTATAATAATCTACTTCAAATTCATTTTTATTTCTGATTAAAATTGGTAGATATTAAAAAGAAAGCATATTTGTAGAAATTAATGGAAACTATTTTAATAAGAAAGAAAATACAAAAAGCTAGAATAAATTTGATAAATATTTTTTAGTTTAAAATTAGGCTTGATATCATTCACCTTATTTAAGTATCCAATCCCAAGAAATATCTGTTTCAACTAACCAATCCTTAGAAGTAAATGGTAAACCATCTATTCCAGTTCCCTGAATATCCTTTTCATATTCTTCATATTTTAATGTGATAGTAAATTAAAGGGATACTAATGTTCCATTCGAAACATCATGATGTATTAGCTTACCTTTGTTTTAGTTTTATTTTACATCTTAAGAAATGTTTTAGCGATTTTTTTGTTTATCTAATTATTCATTTTTGCTGTCTTTTCTAATTTAGGTTTTTTATGGAATTTAATTAAATTTTGATGTTTTATCAATTAACTTCAAATTTTTTAATTTGATAAAATTAGTAAAAACTGCTTTCCATTGCCATTTATTGATTTTTGATTACTAAATTTCCATCCAATTCACATCTTAATTCATCATCTCCAAAATATTAAGACGATATTTAGAGCTTTTGGGAATCTTATATCGAATATCGAGGAAAATAGTTGTTTAGGTTTATTTCAAAAATATAACCAACTGTGCTTTTGTAACATTAGAAGGATTAAGCATTGCCTCATAATAATTATTTTTTGTCTAATTAAAGGGTCTTAAAATTAAATAGGCACATTTTATTTCCTTGAATTAGCCTATGTTTGTTATTGGTAAAACTAATTAATACGGAGATGGCTTAAGAGACCCTTTAAATGGGTTTAATGATCTTCTGATATATTTAGAGTAAAATAACTTCTTTTGTAGGTTAACAAAAATGTATTAAATTAAATTCACAGGTTTAAAGGAACTATTTATAAATAAAAAGTTACTCAATTAATTCACCACCAAATATACTATAAATATCATAATCTTTAACACCCTCTTAAATGTGTGACTAATAACAAACTGTTTAGCCAATAATTTTTTATTACTTATCAGATATCTTATCAGGTTTTTCAATAGGTTGCTCGAAAAATTTGTCATTATATTGTTCCCTATTGTCTTACTCTCTCTTAATCTTATCCCAATCTTAATTCTCTAAAGAATAAATCCAAATAACGTCCGTTTCATCTTACTTTAAATTTTCTTGATTTTCAAAGATTGGAAAAGCAAATAAAATATAAGATTAGTTTATTATTACTACTGCATTTTTCATTTTCCCTTATAATTTTTTGTTTACCTTAAATTTAGTACTAGTTGATATTTACTAATTATTACAAATTAAATGTTTCATATTCAAAATAATTTTGGTCTCTGATATACTCTTTTAAATTTGTAAAATCATAATAATAGAACTATTAATTATTAAAATCTAATAAAATAATCAGTTTGTGTTAATATGAAATGACACATCTCTAAAACTCTATTGTGTTATTTTCTTCGTCCTTATAATCGATAAAATGGTTCTTATTCTTCCCCATTAAAATAATTTTATACTGTTTTTTTAAATCTTTCAATTTTTATAACTATTTATTCAAGAAAAAAAATTAGATTTACATATAATTCTTAAGTTAAATTTAGTTTAAAGAATCAATTATAAGTTTTATACTCTTTATATCTTTATCTAATTTCAATAATGTTTTCTATGTTATACATTAAACTCCTGAGAGTCCAAACAAACAAGCATTAACTGTTCTCATAAAGTCTAATGTTGAATTTTCTAAATCTTAATTAGTAGCATTATATTTAATATAAATTACAACTGTACTAATCTTCTTTAGTTTTCTTACAAATTTAGACAAAGCAGTCAACTCAATTGAAAATTCTTTAGTGTTTTATACATGTACATAAATAACTGTTGGTTTGAATTATATAAGCTTATTCTTGATATGATAATTAAAAATGAATTTCATCTCGAATTCTGAGATACTATTATTATAATATGGAATAGTTGTTTATCTATTACATTACTTTAAGGGTTAATGTTGTCCGTTTCCATTATAAATTGAAAAGTATAAATAAAAACTTTAGTAATAGTAATTAATGTCTTAAAAGAAAAACAAGTTTTCTTAAGTTTCACTGCCTGTTAGGTTTATGTAGGCAAATTTGGGGAATTCTAAAATGATGTTCTCTTCATAATCTTTGTCTTTAATAATAAAAATACCTTTACAAAACATAGATTAAAGTATTGATGCGCAATGCGATAACTGATTATATTGAGGGTGGAAATTTTATTGTAATAGAATTACACCAAATTGACTTTAAAACAAATACTAGTTTTATCTATATCGTTTATTACCTAAGTAAAAATCTAATGAAGCTGATAGACCTATTATCTTAAATCTTAAGTATCATCATCCATTAAATCATCCAGGAATGTAAGCGCTCTCTAATTTTGATCTTTTAGCCATTAAGCCATTTTTTTCAATTATCTTTCTTTGTAAAAATTGGAAGTCACTCAACTTTTGAAAGAATTTCCTATCAACGAAGCAATACTATGAAAAAGTAATGTTGGTTCGTCTTTTCTTTAATGATTCATCTTTATTCAAATTTTATTGATCATTTTTATTTCTCTTTTAAAATATTTTGGGTACTTCTAAATTTGATAGTTCGTCTTCATTCAATTTTTAAAGGTATTTGAATAGATTTAATTTTTATGGATCATCTTTGATTAAATTTTTAATTGTTATGGATGCATCTAGTTTTTATAGTTGTTAATCATTCATCTTTTCAAAATAATTAGCTAGATCAAACATTGAAGGATCATTTTTTATCCACTTTTATATTATTTTAGGTATTCCTAACTTAAATGATTCGTCTTTATTCAACTTTTAAAGACATTTGATTAAAACAAACCAATTTCTATCACCTTTGATCCACTTTTGAAGTATTTGAGGTACATCTAATTTTAATAGTTCTTCTGGCTCCAATTTATCAAGATATTAAACAAGATCTAATTGCTTCGGACTTTATTGAATCAACACTTAAAGTGTTTCGGGCACATTTAATTTTTTTAGTTGCTCTTCATTCAGTTTTTAAAGATATTTGACTGGATCTAATTTTTACTTATCACCATTGCCCAACAATGAAAGTATTTTGTCTACATCTAATTTTGATAGTTCTTTTTCGATATATTTGAACTCTTAATATAATTATCACATTCTTTTTACCTGCATATTTTTATTTAACTAAATAAATTGAATAGTATATTAGGTTCTGTGAATCACATATGCTCCTTTATATATTCTAATTAAGTTCATTTTAATGAGATCCTTATTAATGCTTGAAATTAAAAATGGCTTGTTTTATGACAACAGTATAGACTTTTTTTTTATTCTAAATCTTTTCCTCTTCTACTATGTGTTTTCCATTCAACTTATACGCATAATTTCTCTCTTACTTCATTTCTTTTAATTCATTTGTCATCGAGTAATTTAATTATTGTAAATATAATTTTTTAATATATATAGATCAGGTAATTAGTATTTCATTACTTCAGTAAATTTAATTTGAATCTTCTTTACCGTGTACTTAAAACAAATATTTTACTGTTTTACTCTTTTGCCATTAAGAGATTGCGATCTTTTAATAGATTGATTTCTTCTTTGAAATCAACAGTATACTTTTAAAGTATTTCCATTTTTAGTATATCTTTAACAAATTCTTAAAACTATTTCGATTGTCTAGGGTTTGAAAATCACATTGTTAAATTAAGGAAGCTAAATTTGTATCTCGCAGATTAAGTTTAAATTCAATATCATTAAAATTCCGATAATGATAGCAGAATGGTAAAGGAAAATAAAAAAAATCCTTTCTTCACTGACTTTAAATGAATTGTCAAATTCATTGATTATGATGATGTTTATTATTTGTCAGAAGAATTCATAATATTTGATTTGTTCTTTAAAAAATTTAAGAACTTTGCAGAATTTTATATTGCTTAACCTTTATATAGTTAACAGTGTAATTATCCTGCAATTAGTTATCATAGTTTTGCGGCATCAATTAAAAACATTGATTCTTATGTGCGATTATTATTGAATGTCAAATTCTTCTATCTCTCAAATTTCATTCTCTTAAAGAACTGAATGATATTGCTTTGAGTTTAATCTAAATCAAGATAAGAGTGAGGCAATTTCCTAGACAGGATGTCTTTTACTTAATTAATTATCTTATGACTCTTAAATTAGGGTACTATTTTATAAAATATATTAATTATCAAATGTCCTTTTTCTTTTGACTTTTTTGCCTTGCCAATAATCTATCCTGAATTGACCTTGATTAGTTTTGCAATTGAGAATCTACTACATTTTATTTATTTAATTGCTCTTCTTAATGAAGTAATAATTTAGGAATGGGTGTTTCATTATTTTCATTTCTGAATTCAATTTTAGGTGATCTCTTCTTAGAAGATGACTCGTCAAACTTTTACACTTATTTAATTTCATTTATTTGAGTTTATGGAGATTCGTGATTTTTTATTGAGATATCTTGATTATCTTTATTCCTTTAACCTTCTTCAAGAAAAGTTTGAAGTTGAATGACAAGTTTCTTGTTATCTATTTATTAATATTGATCTTCATTTTTAGGGGTTGCATATTCTGTTGGTTTATCCATTCTATCATTAAAATCCTGGAAATCCTTGAAGTAACTAACATCATTATTGATAATTTAAATAGGTTATTGACTAATCAATAATATTCATAGATTACATCTTCTTTTCGGAAGACTATAATGATCGTGGTTCTCTTTATGTAAACTTATCAGCCTATTAAACAATATTCCTAATTTTGTCTAAGAAATAATATTTAATAGGGTCCATGAGAGTATCATATTATTAAATGCATTCCTAATACATTCCAACCAATTAATCCACCATATTAATTTATTTGATTGGAGACAAATTGAATTTATTCTCCATTGTAGCCATGGTTACAAAAAATTGTTTCGTTAAATTTATTTTCTTTTATGTTCCTTACTAAACTTCTTTGTTATTTTATTTGTACAGAAACTCTGGAGTCATAAACTATTCCTCAATATAAAAAGCTCCTTTAGAACCAGGTTTATTCTCTTCCTCCCCTTTCTTCCCTTGAATACTCTCGAATGCCTATTTGAATATTCTCATTAAATTTATTAAATATATTATAAATTCATTTCTTTTTGATCTCTACATCCTTGGCAGCAGCATACTCACTCCAACTTCCATCATATAATGAGATATTTTTCAACCCTATTCTTTGTAAAGCAAGATAAATCACTGATGCTGTTACACCTGATCCACATGAACACACTATGTTTTTATTCGTATCAACATTGAGACTGTTGAGTATCTCTTTAATTTCCTCAGACTAATTCATTAATGAAATATGATACAGTCTTCATCAATCCAGTTTTTTAATCAATTAATTGGCTGAAAGGCAATGAAGTTGAATATGGCATATGACCACTAGACAATCCTGGTCTAGGTTCAGGCACTTCTCCATTAAATCTTGGAGCTGGTCTAGCATCCAAAACCTAATCTCCTTTCTTTCCTTTATTTTAATTCTCTATATTTTTAAGAATGAAATTGAGGTCTCTCAACATATGAGGTTAAGGAGTAGCTTTGTATTTGGCCTCCCTGATTAATGGTGGAGCATCAGAGACTGCACAATTTTCCCTAACCCAAGCTGGGAAACCACCATCTAGAACAGCTATATCTTTATGTCCAAAGTATTTGAATTACCAATAGACTCTTGCAGACGAAAAGATATTCATCCCGTCATAAACTACTATTTGATCGCTATTACTAATTCCCATATCAGATACGGATCTTAATTAGATACATCATGTACCTTTCGAAGTCTTCCGTTTTTGGAAGCATATGTGGCAAAGTTGTTTCTTAGAGGCTGTTTGCATCAATATCAAAACGAATTGCTCCAGGAATGTGTGATTTTTTATATTCTTATTCTGCATTACGATTCATTTGGGGAAGGTACCATGAACAATCTATTTTCAGTCTTTATTTTACCTAAGACTTTGACTTTATTGAGATTTTATTTCAGATATTGCACTGAAACTAAAGGTGAAGGGAATGATGAAAAGGCATATCTAGCAGATCTGAGAAACATTTTTTTAATGATAATATGTAATTTTTACAATTCTTATTTCGATTTTTATATTGAAATATTCTATATTCAAATCAAATACGAATAAATGTAATAATCAGATAAATATTAGATTGTGAGAGTAATTGTGATAATTTTATGCCTTTTGTCAATGATAGGATGTTCTCTAATTTTGTGGACATTATTCAAAACACCAAGATTAAGTAAAAACCCAGGGAGTATTATTTAAAGAATGGCCATAGCTTAAATTGTATTGAAAAGAATGTTATTAGATTATTACATTTTTGATGCTATTTGCTCAATTTTACATTGACCATGTTAGTAATAATGATGTTAGTGCAGCTTTTATAATTTCAACCAATTTTTGCTCATTTATAGGGTTTATTGAGATATTTTTCTCCTCTGAATATATACTCTATAATGTTTATTTTCCTATCAATCTATACTTTTCACTCAAAACTCAGAACTATAACTTCACTAAATATTTTACCTTAATGGAGATAATTTTTTTGATGTTTTCCTTTATTTTCACTTTAACAATGGTTTTCGTCAAAGATGTTAAAATAAAGTATGTTTATAAATGTAAATAGTTTTGTTGGAGTATGTGGTTTATTATTATAAGATATGTCTAAGGTTTTTGGTAGCATCTTGGCAATAATCACAATAGGTGTTTTGATATTGCTAATTCTTATAGCCTTGGAAAAATCATCATTCAAGACTACTATATACAATAAGGATTCAGAGAAATTTCATAGAAAATATCACAAAGAATTCAAAATCGTTAATATATTGTATACTACAGTATTTCTAGTTTCTTACATGATTCCAACATGTCTGATGTTTTGGAATCAATTAAACACTTCTCAAAGCGAACATTATTATATATTCCCAATTATCTATCCCCTAGGGGGTATTTTACTTTTCTTGATCAGAATAAATGACCCGATTGTTAAAAAGTATTTGTATAATGTGTTAATTGGAAAGAAGAAAAATTAAAATTAAAAATTAAAGGACAAACTGTTACAAAATTAGGATGTATTAAATTAAATTATAATAGTTCAATATAATTGACTAGATTAGTATTGAATCAGGACTTGAGATTAGTGTTTGCAACAATAAGAAACTTAGATACACAGTTAAACAAGTGCTCAGTGAAAAATAGATATAATCAGATATCACTCTCTCTTCACCCTTTGGTAGTGGATTTTAGCCAAAATTGATTAAGGGTAATTAAGACTTATTCATTATCTTACTGTCTATCAAGAATGCCATCAATTAATGTATTGGATAAACGTCATATTCCCTAAAAAATTTAAAACCATTTCATTTCAATCATATCACTAAATACTAATTGTTTTTGTAAGATGACTCTAAAGAAATGGATCAGAAGTACAAAAATTTTAATGTATTATTATTGAATAATTAGAATCTATGTCTGAAGGATTATGTTAATGAAATATGTTATAAAAGAGTAATCAATTGTTACAGTTATGCAAGCAACACACTGATTCATCTTTTTAGTTAAATCTTAAATATTCATTTGGATTAACTAAGAACCAGTTTAAGGATTGAATAAAACACTAAAAAAATAGTCAACACTAAATTACCTACCTCCTATGGACCTATCTTTTTGACTTATGATAATTATTTTTCGATTGAAATAATTTCAAAATAGCATAAGCTACTCTTAACCAAGGGAGGAGGGTTGATGAATATTTGTAAACGTTATCAAACTGAATATAGTAAGTCAAAAAATGGTAATACTTTATTGCCTGCTATTCTGGGATTATACACAATTTAAATTGAAGAAGATAAATTTATCAATGTTGTACTAAAGTTAAATTAATTAAAAATAAACTATCCTTTATAAATAAATTAAATTAGCATTCCTGAAGAATAAGATCACTTAATTTAATAAGATGTTTTCGGTTGGATATAATTGAGTTTAGAAAAAGGATAGTTTAAATTGTTTATAGCAGAAAAGCTATTTGACGATAGATTTTAGATTAGAATTGAGGATAACGATTTTAAGTTATCCAAAAGTGCAGCCTAAGATCTATTGACTACCTTAAGCAAGGATATTGAGGAGTTCTGCTTTTTCAGAAATCTAACACTGTCTTTGGTTTACTTTAAATTACCAACGAATAGATTAGATTCGATGTGCAAACATGAGAACTCACTATCTTATCATTACTAATTGATCAAGAATAGTCAATAAATGACACCATTGCAAATGAATGAGTACTTTAAAGGCTTAGGATAATTTGAATTGGATAGCAAAATAGGGTTTGTTAGGATTTACATTGATAACTTTTGGCAAGAATGGGAGTATATATAGGAGAATGAGAGATGTCTTTATTTTGATAAGCTAACGGAATAGTTATCAGAAATGATTTGATTCTTTATTTGATAACAATTAATTAAAATTAATACGAATTTATTCAATTTCCTAATTCCATGGATTATCTTCTTGTAAATATTTCTACTTTCTTATTTTTATTATCTCCTTAATCTTTAAAGTCTTTTTTCCTTGACTTCTTCTTCTTGTCACTGTCAACTACATAATATAATTGATTATTTACTTCTCTCTATTTGAATTTCTTAAAAGATTTCAAATATTCTTATATAAGGGAATATTTATGTGTTATTAGAGTAGGAGAATAATCTCAAAAATAGGAAATCATATTGTTCAAGAGTTAAATCGATATCCATATATTCAAATGTTTCAATTATTTATTTTCTCTCTAGTAATCCTTCATATTTACTTGGTAGTTAATCGAAATATTATTTCAAACTATTTTTATATTTGCTAATAACCTAATAATCTAAACATATATCTATACTTGAGTTATTTCCTTTGTTTTCTAAGTTTCAATATCAGCTGTCATGATTTCAAAGTTCCCAACCAACTTTGACAAAATGCTTCTTACGATTGTTGTAGATTAGGCCAATTAATCATTGTAAACGACGAATTCTTAAGAATTATCTTCAGTGAGATATCGAGCAACCAATAAAGCAGAATCTTCATCAATTAATAAAAAAGGCTCTCTTTATAATCTTTCCGAGATCTCTTTTAATTTAATCTCTCCAGTCTTTTTGTTTTTATTATCAAATAAATATCTTTCAATTGCATCAGGTAATGTTATCTTTTTAGTTCTTAATCTATAATTTAATTCTAGTCCTAAATGATCTACATCATCTTTTTTTATAACCTTAAACTTTTGTTATTATTAATTTTTGTCTTAATTGATACTATCTGGAGTATTATTTTAATTTAATGGTCTCTAAGTCTTTATATTAAGAGTAGCAGCTGTTGGAGCCAACTTATGCTAAATGGATGGTGCAGTCTCTTTTAACCTAGACTAAGCATTGATGAGTAACAAATGTTTGTATTTCTCATCCAGTTCTTCATAAGCTAACTTAAGTTTTTTCAATTCTTCTTATAATTAATCTTTAATTTTTGCCTCCATTGATGATTTTTCATTTAATTTTTATTTCAACTCTGTTGTTGTTTTATCTAAGTATTCAATATCTCTCGTTTTCTATTATAATTCCTTTCTTAATTCCTATTCTATTTTTACTAATCCTATAATTCTTAATTGATTGTTATCTAACTTATTTGCTTTCTAAATTAGATTCTAATTTGTATCTTTATACGCATCTAATTCCTGTTAGAGTCCATCAATATAAGCTAATTTGTCTTTCAGAGTCTATTAAAGATCATCAATCACTTGTTTTTATTTATTAAGAACTTTTTGATCTGTGTCTATTTAATTTTGGAGCTTAAACTTTTCTTCCTATTCAATTGAGATTTAACCTTAATAAAATGAGTTTTCCTGCTTTAGAGAATTAATGATTTGCATTTAGATGTAGAATTTCTCCTCAAATTAATTAAAATCATGAGTCATCTAAATGATCTGTTCATTTCTTTAGGATTATTCTAATAATGTCCTTAATCTCAGAGTCTCCTCCTAAAATACATTAATTTCTTTTTCTAATTCTTAAATTTTGGTATATTTAATATCATGTTTCAGATTTTATATTTCTTCATTCTACTATTTAATCAAAGTTCTTAATTCTTTGATTTGCTTCTTCAATGTTATAGTTAGCAAATTCTATAAGAATTTAATTTATAATTGATACTTCACTGATTCCCAATTTAGTCATCAAGGCTAAATCCTACTTGTCAGCAACGTATTTTTATTGCAAATATCCTCCCACATTTTACACAACAGTTTACATTCGCTCGGTATTTTTATTTAAAAACCTCATTTTTGCTTTTAGATCATAGTTTTCTTAAGTTAACTTGTTTATAATATCTTTCAAATAGACAGTTTCTGCATATAAATCATCCTAGTCTGATAAATCAATTTATTTACTTTATCCTTAGCCATGTTAATTGGTATTTTTTTGCTCAAGTCTTACACAACGGGTGAATTTCTAAATGAATAGTTTGAAATAATACTTTACAATCTCTGTATGATTAGTTTTACTTTGCGTAACTGAACTATCATTAATTATATTAGTTTTTCTTGTAGATAGTGTTCTAAATTTATTAGGAGATGGTTTCAATACAAATTTATCTAAATCATTCTATTCTCCTCCTCCTGGAATTACCATCTTTAAACCATTAGGAGACACCTTTTCAAGTTTTTTAGTATCATATATAATCCCTGATTAAGGACGACTTCTAATATGACTGAAAGTCTTAGACGCAATCCTTTTGTTAATTAATTTCTATACATTATAAAGCCTTTTGGATGTTATATGTTTTATAAAATAAAAATAAATACTAAAAATTATTCATTTGGCATTCCTCGAAGATATTTTTTATGTAGTTAATCAATCTAACCTGTATCCTACTTCTCTCAAAATACGTTAATGGGAATAAATTTTACTTATTTTATAACTCAGGTAGGTTTCAACTCTTATGATTCTTAGTATTTTAATCAATCAGATTGTACCATTCTTAAAGCGCTTTGTTTAGAATAATTAATAGAAAAGAAAAAATGTTTTAATTATAATTATAACAATTGATGTTTATTAATGTGGCAAAAATTTAATTCATATTTTAAATAAATCTAATTCATGATTATTCTGATTTTGATCCTATTTTTTAAGCTGTAACTATATATTTTTGTATTTATTTAGTGTTCAGCATATTCTCTAAACTTTAATAATATTAAATAAATTCTTATATTTAATCGTTGGTTTATATCCTTTAGTAGATAAATATAGAGTGAATCCCATTTTTCAGCATATTAATAGAATTAAAAGAATAATAGTGATCAGAATATAGAAGTTGCTATAAATAATTTCAGGCATATTTATGAAATCAATTCAACAATAAATTTTGGGAAAAGTACTCAAATCAGATATTCTTTTTACGACTTTCTGAAATTCATTTATAGTATAAATCTAACCTTGGAGAGAGGAATAGTAGAGTAGGAAAATCAATTCAATATCATCCCAAGACTTAGATGAAAAATAATAACAATCTGAAAAAAATAATATCATTAAGCAAGGTGGTTAACTTTTTCAAGGGAAAATTTAAATTTACAAATATAAGATAGATATTAAAAGTTAAAAATAATTGAAAATTTTAAAAGTTTGTTATTCACTTTTAAATCATAAGTCCCAGGCTGATATTAGAAATGAAATCAATGGATAATGACGGAAATGAACTTTATGTTTTTTATCAAAAATAAAAATATTTAGTTTTAATTATTATGATGTTATTAATACCTATATGATTATAATTGATAAACTTGCAAGATTCTTACTCATTGTACTAAGTTATTGAAAATTAGAAATGTTTAGTGTTTATTATTTGAGACATGCTTGCAAATGCTACAATCATCATATCCAAGTTTATTACTAATGATGACCTTTATAAAATAATAGAGATGTTATTTATTAAATTTAATGGTTTTTAGTTAATACGCATTTAATTATAGAAAGAGTTCAAATTCAAGATTTGATAATTAATTGAGTCAATCATCATAAGTGCTGAATTTTGAATATCTTTGAACCTATAAAATTTATTTTTTTAATCTAGCTATGGATTAAAGCGCATTCTTATACGATAATTTACCCCAACCTTTAGAGAATAATGACCTGAATTCAGAAGAATGTCATCGATACCTATCTAAATTGAATTTAAATAAAACCTTATTTAGAATTCATAGTCCTGAACCTTCCATTCAAGATGACTTCTTCTAAAATGAAATTGACTAATCTTTTGATGTAGATTGCATGTATGTAAATGATAAGAATAAATGTGATTCTGATTCTGATGAAGACATTTAATCTTCTAAAAAGATTTAAAAAGCCAGAAAGTTAAAGAAGAAGAGTCAACACAGAAGAGGACCTCTCTCTGAGAAGGAATTTATAGATATAATCAAAAAATTGGAATAGTGCCAGTAAGTTATGAATATGATTGACAATATGACCCAGATATTAAAAGGATTTAAGCACTAGTTATAGAAACAAAGCACTCCAAGTCTTAACTGAGATAAGTGGATTATTTTGTTTCAATATTTTATATATAATTTGCTGTTGAACAGTTTATTCACTTATGAAAATTAAAGTGATTATTAATTTAAAATTATAAATGATAAAAAAAATATGTCAAATGAGCATGAAAATTAAACTTACTACAATGTATGTTAGAATTGACACAATTAGCAGATTCACAGGCGAAGCTAACTTTCTAGGCCATTAGGTTGATGGATAATCACTCTTTTCTAAACCTCGAATTTTATCTAGTCCTAAGCTTAAATACCACATAATCACTAAGAAGTAATAAAACTCATAATCTCTCAAAGGTGCTTTCCATTCATTAATTTAACTAATATTTTATTAATAATAATTACATTTTCGTTCTAGATAACCTTCCAGTACTTTTGGAGGGACTTTAATTTCTTATGGGCATTACTTTTATAGTGGAGATTGGAATGTTAAATTGTTAACCTAAAAAAAACACAATTTTATCATTTTTAATCTTCTTTTGCTGCTAGAATTGCATCAATTGAATAATGATTTGTTGAATCAATTTCTCAATATTCTCACATTATTTTATCAAAAAATCTTCCTCTTTGTTGTCTTAGATGTATATATCACAGAAGTTCTTGACTTCAGAGAATGCAGGAATTTGGTAAGGCTAATTTTTCTAGAACTTCAATAAATCACAAAAGAAGGAATTCTAATCCTAAGAATATATAAATGTAAATAAATGCATTATTCCTTGATATTCTGATTCACTAATGTAGTTTAAATTATTGATGGATTTAAAAATAGTAATTAATAGTTTAGTAAAGAATGGGTAATATACCCTTAGAAGATTTTTCATATGATTTTTATGTTAATCTAATTCTCTAAAATGAAAATCTAATTAATATTGATGTCCATTAAATTTAGTATCCATGCATTGAAATAAATTTGAAGGTCTAAATTCTTTAAACAGTATCGCTTAAGGAGATTAACCAAATTTGTTTTTACATATTTAATATATAGGTTGCAATTCACTTAAGATAAATCGAGTAATTGGATTATTACTTTTGAATTAAAAATTTTATTGTTTAGTAAGATAATTTAATATAGTATTTTGTGATATTAGGCAAGATATAAGGGCTTAATCAAATATCAAAACCTAATTATATATTTAATTTTCATAGACTGCAAATTATTATCTAAGAAATAAAACATATGTGGATAAATGGGAAAGTAATGAAATTTGATTGCATTATCTTTCAGTGTGATAGATCTCAAAGGCATTCTATAAAAATTTATATAATCCTTATTAGTATGTGATTAACTGTTTTTGTCTTCCGCATTCATAAAAGAATCCCCTGTTTTAATAGAATATTTAGCTTTGTTTATTGAAGATATCAGTATTCCTTACAAAATGTTTAAATTATGTATATGTGGCTTCTAAGTCTTATCCAAATCTATTATTAAAGAATATAGTTAGATATATTAACATCATTTGAGTATCTAATATAACACTACTTGGTTTGATTTTATAAAATAACTTTTATTATTCAGTTGTTAGATTTAAATCAATTAATTTTGATACATATAAATGTTCATACATAGAATATTCTTATAATAAGATTATCATTTATTGAAATGTGAAAATAGTAACTTACTTATTTTAATTATTTTAAAGAGGATTATTTGGTTTGATCTACGCAACCATATATTCAATGATTCTTCTAACCAAGATTAAGTAAGGATTAAAAGTTAGTTATTTTAATAAAAAGTCTTTGGTACTACTTTTATTTTTGCACTTACTAAATGCACAATCTAGAATTTTTTAGCTGTTTTCTGTAGTATGTAATGCGCTTTCTTTAAAATTTACAGCTCCATTTAATAAATAAATCCAAAACATCATTTTAGCGCTAACACAGAATTTAAGTTGATTTTTTTCTACTAAAATGTTGTCCTAAAATATTTCTTAGAAAGTTTAAAATTATGAATTCATGTTAACAATAGAAGAATCCTTAAAATATAATTGTAAATGAGCAGGTAAAATATCAATTTGAACTGGATTAAAGGGATATTCAGAGGGTAATGAGTGATAGAATGATGATTCATTAGGAGAGAGGATATTAAGAATTTTAATAAAAAATAGAGTATCCTCTATAGATCCAAATCTCATTTAGGTTGTTCTAAAACTACTATTCAATATGCCATCTTATTTGAAAATTAGTTCATACACCAAATGTTAATTTTTCAAAAACTCTTAACTATAGGAATATTCTTTCTATTTAATTAGTTCAAAGCTTAGATTCTGTAACCAATTCAAAAACTCATTTCCATTAGCTTTTTGCGCGTATTTCAAATCATCTTCAAATTTGTTCATAAATTATTTTATATATAATAAAAGTCATATTTAAAGCTATCAAATTTATTTGATTAATTGGACAAATTTCTAGATGTTTAATTTAATTGATAACTACTCACACGAGAAACTAAAATAAAAGACAACTAAATAACCTAGAAATTTTGGTAAGTGAAAAAATGCATTAATAATTTGTGTCTAATTACAATTTGTTATAAAAAAATTATTAATAAAATATAATAAAACCTTTGTAATGAAAAGATCTAAATTGTAGTCCTCAGACATCTTAGATTGGTATAAGAAGAGGTAAATTGTGCATTCGAAATAGATTTCCTCAAAATGTAAAGCCAAATTATTTGTATTTGCCTGAAGAAATCAAATAATAAGTGAGAGCATAAGTTATATTTGAGAATTTGGATAAGAAGAAAGAAAGTATTGTAAATTAGAAAGTATTAATAGATAAATTAGCAATTGATAAATTATATGATATTTGTGTGAAGAGTGGAATGAGCATTAATAGAAATTAAGTGAGAATGCTTTTTGAAAAGATTGATGAAGATAAGAGCAGTATAAAAGTATTATTAAAATAGAATGGATTGATTTGGAGGAATTTCAAAAATCAGTTCTTGATTAAGAAGTAGGAGAATGTAAATTTTAATTGAATATATAGAATTCACATAGGTTGCTATGAAAGTGAGAAAGAACCTAGATGAAGGATATCTACCAATATATTATAAGAGTCTAATATCGCATTTAAGTTTTGTGTCTAATAGAGAAGAACTGATACAGTAGATAAATGATCAGAGTAGAAACAAAATAGAGAGATTCGAGAGGATTAAGGAAATAATGAAATTACCATATGATGACATAGAAAATGACAATAACCTATAAGTTTAATAAGCAAGGAGGAAGTTGAGTGAATTAAAATAAGATTATGAAGGAGTTTAAAAGGTTGATGCAGAAACATAAGGTTTTATTACATCGATGAATCAGAGATTAGAAGATACCAAGAAGAAAGGAGATGATGATTCAATATTGCTAAAAAAGCGAATGAAAAGAAAATCCTTACCTCACAATAGTTCCTTGATGTCTTTACCGAAAATAGATCAAAACCCTATAAAATGGCATAAGAATTTAAGTTTGATTGATAATCAAGTTCGTTAAAAGATCTTTGGTGAAGTGTAAAGTAAGAATAACAAAATAAATCAATTGCTCTCTCCAAGAAGCAAAAAGCACAAGGATTTAGCATAATTAAAAATTCAATAATCAAAATTTATAAAAAAAGCAAAAAAATAATTCGATATTCAATTTGATCCCACCAATGAGAATCAATAATCAATTGATTATACTGGTGGCAGAAGTTTCGAAGAAGGTATATTAAGTTTATTCCAATAATAACAATAACAAGGTGGTTTGTGTAACTTCACTAATATCTCGACAATAAAGAATGATAAGAATGACAGAGATGAAATTTTGGATTAATCTGGAGATCATCTGCCAAAATCTATTTTGAGGAAAATTTAGTAATATAAAAATGTCACAAGAGATTCTACTTAAATCTTGTTAGACAAGTCAATCTTATCCAGTTAATAATCGAAGCAATCTGGAAAATTGACTCCAATTTACTACCAAAGAATGATTCATCAAACTCATACAAATACGGATTCTCTAAACTCAAATGATATGCCTACTCATCCCAAAAGAAGAACATATTCATAACAAGATTTAAAATATTAAACTGTATTATATTTAATTATATTATTTAGCCTCATTTTAAACAATCAGAATTTCAACTTCCGTATTTATGAAATTATTTAATGATTATTATACATTAAATTTTGTTTTGATTGTTACAACTTTAATCAGTGAATATTTTTTTCAATTAATTTAATATAATTTTATGGGGTTTTAGTGTTCTAAATGCTAAATTAATAATGAGAATGAACTCATACATGCAAACAATGTAGTTACAGAACATAAGCATTGGATCTATATGGAAAATCTTGATGATAGTTTTGAAAGAGATCCAAGTATAATAAAATCAGTATATTATCGTTTTAGATTATCCACCTTCTACTACATTAAACAAGACTTTGGAAGAAAAAACCATTCAATTTTCTAAACCTTAAAAAGAAAGCCAACATACAACTATGCCATCAGAAAGCTACAAATCCGAGGAGTTATAAATAGACGAGGATTCCAAATTTTTCGGATAAATCAAAGATGGTTAAGCTAATGGAAGTGGAAAATTATGGTTAAAAAACGGGGATTATTATGAAGGTGATTTCTTGAATAATTATATGCACGGTAAAGGTATATATAACTATAAAAATGGACCGATTTTCGAAGGTCAATTTTTATATAATAAACCAGATGGATTTGGTATTGAGTCTTGGCCAGATGGTTCTGTATATGAAGGGTGCTTTAAAGAAGGCAAAAAGAGTGGGAGAGGATGTTATAAATGGTATTAAGGGTGTGTTTATATTGGCGAATGGAAAAATAATAAAATTCATGGCAATGGAAGATACGATTGGCCTGATGGAAGGGTATGTTGATAGATAATAATTCCAGTCTTACTCCGGGAGTTGGGTCAACAATTAAATGCATGGTAGAGGGAAGTACATTTGGTAGGATGGTAAATGCTATGATGGTGAATATTAAAATGATCGTAAACAAGGATTCGGAATATTTTATTGGCCAGATTGCAAACAATATTAAGGTTAATGGAAAGACGGAAAACAACATGGAAAGGGTATAATGTTGTATCCAGATGGAAAAAAAAGGGCTGGACAATGGGAAAACGGGAAACTGATTAAATACACTGAAGACGATAATATTCAAATAATACCAGAAAACTGGTTACAATAGTGATTATAATAACTTTTTAAATATTTATATAAATTTTGGAATTAGTTGTGAATTGATATAGTTAGATAGCTTAAGATAATGTCTGATTAATATATAAATTATGATTCAAGTATGTTAAAAATATATATGTTTAATAAATCATTAGTTGAGCATTTAACCACCGAATTGAGGCAAATTTTAGGAAATGCCAGTTGATATAGGTTATTGGATAACTGTTTGTTGCACCTCTGTAGGAATAACATGATGTTTAATAACCACTCCTTTTCTAGCTTCGATGATTTTGCTTTCATATTTTGATTTTAACTCCTTTAAGTATCTCCTAAATTGTTCTTATTATTGGTTGTTGAAAGATCTACCATCTTCTACCATATATTCTAGTTCTTCGATATCAAATCTGAGTTTATCAGAGATTCTTCTCTCTTTAATAATTTCATTCTCCAATTTATTAGCTCTATCTTCCCAAATGCCAATGATTCTTTGCAATTCTCTGTTTTCAATATTCAACATTTCCAATTCTGCATCATCCCTTACATATCTCTCAACAAATCTATCCACAGGAACTTCTACTATTTTTTCAACTGGCACTTCAACTATCTTCTCAACTGGAACTTCAACTATTTTTTCATATGGAACTTCTACAATTCTTTCATAAGGAACTTCCACTCTCCTTTCTACAGGCACTTCTACATATCTATCTACAGGCCTGTCTATATATCTGTCCATATATCTATCTCTAGGCACCTCCACTATTCGTTCATAAGGCACTTCGACCACTCTTTCATAAGGATAAGGCACTTCATATGGCACAGGTACTTCTACAACTCTGTCAACAGGAACTTCAACTATTCTCTCAACAGGCACTTCGACTCTCCTCTCTACTATTCTATCCACAGGCACTTCAATATAAACAGGAATTTCCTTTATGACCTCATAGGGCACTTCTTTGATGACTTCTTTAATCACCTCATATGGCACTTCCTTGATCACTTCTCTGACAACTTCATAAGGAACTTCTTTAATCACTTCATAAGGAACATCTCTATAATAAGGGACCTCGTAAGGAACTTCAATTCTTTAAACTACAGGCACTTCAATAGTTTGCAATTTGGGAACTTCAATATACTAAGGAACTTGTTGATAAACATATTCAATTTTTGGAATTTCAATAATCTTTTCCACAATTTTAGGTTCTGATGGCACTTCTTTAATCACTTCCTTAATGATTTCAACTGGTTTCACTTCTTACACTTGGTGAGGTTGGTTGACATGGACTGTTTTTATTACTTCTACAGGTTTCTCTACAATCTTTTCAACCACTCTTTCTTAAATCTCAATTTGCTTCTTCTTCTTCTTCTTTCTCAACCTCTCGACTTCATCCTCCAATTGCTTTACATACCCATTTTATCTTTCTAATTAGACTGTTAAGTCAAATACTCTTAAATTATTATAGCAAAATACTTTTTATCAGCCACCTTGAGTAGTGATTCTAATTCCCCTATTCTATCAAACATTTCTTGATTTTCTCTCTCCAACTACTGCTTTATTATTAAGGCTTCATCCCTTTATCTACCTACTTCATAAAGTTCCTTCTCAAGAGATTTAATCTTTTTACACATCTTCTTCAAGCACTTCTTGTTGTCTTCCAAATATAACTCTATCTCTGAGTTGCTTTATTATTTTGGCTATTATTCCATTTATTTTATGATTCTTTCCATCTCTTAAATTTCTCTTTTTATTGTATCTATTTCTGGATCTTACACATGCTATTACGGTCTTTATCTTTTTGGAGTTTCAGCTATTGTCGACACTATTACTTCTTCTTTGCTTTCTTTCAACTTCTTATTCTTTTTTTTCAACTTCTTTATCTCTTTTTCCAAATGTCTTTAATCACTCCCTCCCTAAACCACGTAAGCCTGAGGTGAGCACATTTGTTATTGTTAAAAACCAAATTATGGTTAACAGACAGATTAACACATTGGTTGACACATTGGCTAACATGGTTAGCAATAACTTGGAGCACATGAATGTCCAGGACTTCTTGTTACTGTAGCCACGGATTCATTCAATTAATCTGACACCCTTGAAGATGTTAACTTTTATGCTTGATTATTAAAAGATGTTCTCAACTCTTGAATAGCTGACGTCACTTTGGTTAATTTACTTGACCCTGTACTAGTAGTATTTGTATTTACAGGCTATAAAATTTTATGGCCTTCATTGAATCTCACAGATTTTGAAGACTAGTTATTCATTATTTAAATTAATAACTGATAATGTATTAAAATATTTTATAAATAAAAATTATTTTTTTTTATCAAATCAATAGAAATATTTAAGATTTGTTTGTTAAAGGAGTGTCATCTCTATAGAGATATTTAAGAATTCATAAACTTTAGAAAAAAAATAATTTTCTTAGGATTTATGCATTCAATTATAGATAATTAATTATAGAAATATTAATTTATGTGTATTTATAATTTTTGATACTTATGATATAATAATCACAATCCTCTCATTGCTTCTTTTCCTCTTCGAAGGTTGGGAAATCAGTGTATCCCTTTTCATCTCCTCCAAAATAAGTCTTGAAGTCAAAATTAGTATTGAGTTAGAAACCATTTCTTACTCTGTATACTAGATCTGGATTGTTTATATATAATTGTCCAAAGGAAACTGCATCGTACAAGCCATCTTTGATATCCTGATTAGCTCTTTCAGGAGTAATAGAATGGTTTGCAAACAATATTCCTTTGTAATGTGGTCTCAATGATTTGTAAAGGTTTTGAATCTGCTTATCAGAAGCTGGATAGCCATGTCCATCAGCATTTTCTTAGCTCTTGTCTTCGACCAAAGTGACATAAGCCAAATTGAGTTTGGATAATTGTTGTAACAGATAGGTGTACAGTTGAATTGGATTGCTATCATTCATGTCTCCCGTGTGACCAATAGGTGTTAGTTTGATACTAACTCTTCCTGGGAAGATGGTGTTCAACTTTTGTATAAGTTGAATTACAAATTTGCATCTATTTTCAACACTTCCTCCCCATTGATCTGTTCTTTTATTAGCACTATCTCTAAGGAATTGATCAGGAAGATGTCCATTACCACCATTGATTTCTACTCCATCGAATCCAGCAGTCTTAGCTCTTTTAGCAGCATCTACAAATTCTTGTAATGTAAATTGAATTTCAGCTTCAGTCATCTCGTGTGGTTTTTCAAATGGTTTGTTTTAAGCACTATAGCAATTTCCTCTGATTGCAATGGCAGATGGTGCCCATGGTTCTAATCCATTCTACAATGAGGAATGAGTTTTTCTTCCTCCATGAAATAGTTGCAAGAACAATCTACCTCCCTTATCATGTACAGCTTTTGTTACTAAAGCCCAGCCTTTAGCTTGATCATCATTATAAATGCAAGGTGATCCTGGATATGACATGGATCTTTGACTTACTGGAGTGGCTTCACAAACAATTAGCCCAGCTGTTGCTCTCTAAGCATAATATTTAACATTTAATTCAGTTGGAATGTATGGAGCAGGAGTTCTGACTCTATCCATTGGAGACATGGTGATTCTATTTGGTAAAAACAAGTCATTGATCTTCAATGGGTTCATCAGTTCAGTTAGGATATTAGATGGCACTTGATATTTAGGGTAGTCAGTGTATCCCTTTTAATCTCCATAGAAAGCAGTTCCCCAATCAATACTTCTGTTTAATTAATAGCCATTTCTAGCTCTATCAACAAGATCTGGGTTGGATATGAAAAGTTGACCAAAGGCAACAAAGTCGAATTTACCTGTTCTGATTCCTTCATCAGCTTCCTCTAAGGTGATTCCTCCATTAGCCACTATAGCTCCAGTGAAATAGTTTCTGAATGCTGAATAGACACAAGGTATTTGTTTCTTTGATGCTGGATATCCGAAGTCTTAGAAGTTTTCTGGATCACTTTCATTCTTTAGTACAACATAGGCAATTTTGAGATTGCTCAAAGCTCTCAACAAAGTTTAATATAACTCCAAAGGATTTGAATCATTCATATCACCATGATGTGTAACTGGAGTTAGTTTGACTCCAACTCTACCAGCTCCAAAGACATCAACTAATTATTAAACAACTTCTAATAAGAATTTGCATCTATTTTAAGCACTTCCTCCATAAGAATCAGTTCTTTTATTAGCACTATCTCTCAAGAATTAATCTGGTAAATGTCCATGTCCTGCATTCAACTCTACTCCATCAAATCCAGCTTTCCTTGCTCTTTCAGCTGCCTCTTTGTATTACTTCACCACTAAATTAATATCTTAAATTGTCATTTCTTAAGGAACTTCGAAGTCCTTCTTAACAATTTGATTCTAGCCTCTAATTCTGACGGCTGATGGTGCCAAAGGAGTTTAGCCATTTTATAAGCTAGAATGAGTCTATCTACCACAATGAAGTAATTGGATGAAGATATTTCCCTTTACGGAATGTACCTTGTCTACAACCTTTTTCCATCCTTCAGTATGTGCATCATTGAATATTCCTGGTGCTCCACCATAAGCCAATGAACGATCACTTATTGAGGCTGATTCTGTTACTGTAAATCCACCAGCTGCTCTTTGGGCATAGTATTCGGCATGGTGATTTGTAGGGACTAAGTCTTGACCACATCTGCCTCTTGTCATGGCAGATAGAGTAATTCTGTTCTTGCACTCCAATCCAGGGGACACCACTGTTGTAGAAAAGCAGCCTGTTCTTTCGATCAGACCTAATTTGTAAGGTTAGAATAAGGCCTAATAAGGTGTATTTGATTTCTCCATTTTTTCTTAATTAATTGATTACTTTCATTTCCAAATTCCTAAAATACCCAAAAATACTGCGTACTATTTTTAGAAAAATTTAAAAAAATTTCACAAACATGATTTAAATTTATTATTATAAATAATTATTTATATCAATTTAAAAAGAATTTGTGATCCAAGGCTTAAGAACAACTTATTCTTTTATGAGGATCAATTTCTAGCATCTTGACTAATAAATCTCTAAGCAAAGGGTCAAGTATCATTTCCCTTAGACTCTGCTGTTTCTTCACCTTTAGTACACTTTCCTTTGTAGTTGTTCCCTATGGCCATATATAGTACTTTCCATTAGTGGCATTTTTGACGTTGAAACAATGTTTTAAGCACCCCTTCACATTACTTGCCATCCAATGAGGAAAACTCTATTCAGTTACCTTCTCAACCAAAGCCATATGTTCGAATTCATTCTTCCTTGTTTAAAATAGTAAATGTCCTAGCATATAAAATTTATTGGTACCTGTGTACATTTCAAAGATGATGCAAGCTATTCCCCACACGTCACTTTTCTAATCCCATCTACAACACTACAACTGAACCTCAGGAGCTCTATATTGACGTGTATTAATTATACAATTATGGTCTTCATCATCGAATTCAGCTCCACCAAGGTCGATAATCTTGATCCTGTGATCTGCTGGGAGATACCTAAATGAGAATTTAAATATTATCATACAAGTCATTCTGTTTCTACAACTGACGAATTCTACTAAATAGAATGTTCTCTGGTTTTAGATCTGTGTGAGTCAATTTTATTTCATGTAAGTGCCCAATGCTTTTAATTAATTATCTGCTGATGCTTCTAATCAAATGCATAGGAATCCCACGATTTTGATTCAGTCTTAGCATATCATTTAAACTTGGTCCAAGCTAAAAATCAATATAATTTAAACAATACTCTCTCAAACACCATACAATAATATCCTCTATGATAGAAGCTTTCAATTATTTCAACAAAATATCTATTTAAATCTTTCTTTTTCAAATAAAATAGTATGTCTGCTTCTTACTACGCACTTTCAGCATGATTGCTTCTCACTATCTTCATGGCATAGGGATTTAGAAATTTCCTTCTTCTCACTTTCAAAAACTCTTCCAAAAGTCCCATCGGAAATATGTCTTCTTATTTTATAATCCTTGATGTGTTCACCCTTTCGATATCTATAATGTTTGTAGTCATCACTAGAAGAACTTCCATTTGATCCTTCATCAGTGACATTCGATGTACTTGTAGAACTACGATTCGATATGTATTTATACTATTTAGCTTTTCTATACGATCTTCGATTTGATCTTCTATGAGATTCTTTTGAGGACATTGGTTTCTACTTAATATCTTAATTATTAAATGTCATATTAATTTGGGATCAATCAATTATAGAGCACAACAGTTCCAAATGCAAAGTACAAAACCATCCTTTGTCGACATTATCAAGGTATTCTAATTCTAATTATCAAAAATAGCAACTAAATAATGTGCCATCGGTTCGAAATGTTAATTCGCTCATGGAATTGAAGAATAAAGACAAATGAATGGTAATGGATAAAACTATAATTCAAAGATCCCCTGCCTGCTTCAGCACTTTCATCGATAGCTACTGCGCCTCAAACCACAAACATTGAATAACAATAAAAAAATTAATAACCTTTGTTTAAAAGTAAGAATAATCAAATAAATAAGTACCTTGCAAGTACCATCAACTCAATTTTTGTAAGAATGGTTCAGGATGCCAATATGTCCATGGTATGTATATATTATTCTTAATCATATAGATTCTGACTCATAAACACAATCAACACCATAGCAATAATAATAACAATAACAATAATAACAACAACAATCATAACAATAACAATAACAAATCTAATTATCATAACAATAGTAATAATAGTAATTCTCATAATAATAACAACAATAACAACAACCAGTCGATGCGATGTCCGTAACCTTGTCGCATATCTTGATGGAAATGTAACAAATCTTCAATCAGGAAGTAGGTTAATTTAATTTTACATAGGATTTACTTTAAAAGGTAAGATTTGCCATTGAATAAGTGAGATAAGGAAATTTAACATTAGCGTGTGACTAGATCAGATCCATTATTAACTCATCAGAGAGGACTGCAGATGAAATTCAATCATATACATTGTTATATAATTAATCAGTAGCATATTACAAATAACTATTATAACAATGATCATTTATATATATGTATTTCTATAAAAATTTTATCTATTCATTGTCTTAAACCCTGCTTATATTTATTTTTCATAGCAATCCCTATAAATCACTCTGATTAATGCCAAAGAGAAGAATGCTCCAACGAAAGGCAAAATCGAATATATCCACAAATTCCAAAATCTTGCCCAATGTCCATCCTTACAACACTCAAAGAACACCAAACTAATCACTATCATATATATCAATTACCCAAATGCAATCGCTGGATTCAAACTGCTCTTAGCCACATAACTAAGTGTTCTTCCGACCCCATATAAAGCACTAATTATTATGCTATGTTCTAATCTATCAGATGAAAAATCCATTAATTCGTCATATTAAAATAGGAATCCTGCACAAAGAATAAGAGAACCCAATATTTCACCAATCATCACTGCGAAGTATTCTTCGATATTGGTCTACGATATATATGGAACATCATTCACACTATTGTTTGTAGTCTATAATATTTACTAATTCTTAAAGCACAGAAAGCCAAACAAACTTGCAATAAAGGCTCCTCCAAATTAACTTACCTATAGCCACTGACACCCACAATCCTTTATCGTTTCCAGATAACACAGTTGTGATCGCAGGATTGAATGTGCATTTCTAGTTTTAAGCCACCAAGATTAACATTCCATAGGCACAAGCAAAAACAAAGGGATTATTACTTAGTTATATTGGGACATGAATACTTGCTAGCATAGATGCAGAAAGTGAGCATGAATGTTCCTATGAATTCAAACCAAAATATATAGATTGCTTCCTTTTTCCTTTGACCAACCTTTGTTTGAGGCATGTTGTCCACTTCCCATTTAATAGGTTTATTTTACGTTATTTCTTGATTCACCAAATCACTATAATTTTATTGTTTTTATTCTTCTTCCATTTTATGATTATTATTAATAATAGTAATGTTAGCAATATTCTTATGTACGTAAGTTTATTATCTCAAATTGTAGTTATTATTTTAGCGAACTCTAACAATGCTATGGATCTCAGCAAGAGGGAAACCCAAAAATATCAATAATAGGTGAATCGCATTGAAAAACGATAAATTGGATCTTTGATTATTTCAATGATATAATTAGATTAGCCAAAGATAAAATAATTGATCGAATAATCCATAGAGGATTTTGAATCAGAATATTCAACTTTGCAGGATTTTCATATTAGTAGGAAGACATAAATTTATTAATCTATGTAGCAATTGAAAGCATAGCTCTTGGATTTAAATATGTTACAATCCTCCTTTATTGATGGACCTCAAGAGAAAGAGAGAGAGTTTCATGAATAGAAAATAGCAAGACTCAATTAACTGATCAATCAAAATTACAAAACCATAGACTAAAAGGAAGTTCAATTGATAAAAATGTAAAACAGGTATAACTCCTATTTTTTGATTAGTTAGTTTAAGTTCTTTAATTGATGAATATGATCTAAATATCAATTACATAGATCAAATACTGTAAACGATCGATTCTATTTTGTATGATGAAGAGAAAGTTGGCATGAAATTCTTCTAGAAGCGAGGAAGAGTCAATGAAATAATTGAAAATCTAGGAAAATCAACCATAAAAAATATCAAACTAGATTTACCCATGCTCAAACAGATAATATAGATTGGAATTAAAAGCAATTTCGCAGATAAGTCAACTTATAAATAAGTAAATATGTGTAATCATAATTAGACTCAAGAACTCTTGATTACCTTAAGGAAAATATTAGTTGGAGAACTAAATAAACTTAATACCGACAAGATTGATTAACTTGAAATTAGTATCAATTAATTAAAGAGCGAAACCCTCAGATTGAAAAGTCAATTGTTAGAATCCAGTTAGAAGTTGCAAATTGAAAATAGAGACATTAGTGCGATCACAGAATCTAAGAAGAGAATTGAACAAGAATTAGTAATTCTTGATGAGGACTTGAGATTGGAGAATGAATTGTTTAATTAGAAGGAGGCCTTTTTGATAGAGGAGGTTAATGAATTGATGGAGATTGAGGAACTTTTGAAAAATAGAGAATTGATTTAATACATCCAAGAATAATAATGATAATATAAATTAATATAAAATTTGATGGATCCTCAAATGTAACAAAAGGAGTTTTTGAAAAGACTGTATTAGTAGATGAAGTCTGCAGTGACTCTGTAATCGAAGATTCAAAATGTGAATTATTTGCTGTCATTCACATCTGATTTTTTAGATACGTATTCTTTATTATTTAATTGAGGTTTGCATAATCTAATTCAATGAAAATAATTACATAGTACTTAAAGGACGCTTTGAAATCCATTCAAGTTAATGAAGAATTGATTGATAAAATTTTTGCTTTATTATTGAGGATGAATTTAAGCGAAGAAATACTCAAAGAATCAGAGATTGCTTAGCCTCTATTAAAAATTAAAGATAAAAAGCTTTTTGATAACATAAGATCGAATCTGATTGAACAAATATAATAGAAGTGGTCTAGATGCTATATAAAATTCAAACCATTGCTTGAAGAGTGGAAAAGAAACAACAATTAGAAGGATAAATAAGAGGATCGAAAAAAGAAAGGGAAAAGAAACCAATCATCAAGTTCTAGTGAATCCTCCAATAAGAAAAAGAAGAGCAGAAAGAAATTTGTCAGGTAATATTTCAGAGTATTATTGAACAGATTTCAAAGAGATGATCTCTTGCTTAATTTTAAATATTTTAAGCGAGAGGATGAACCAAATCAAAGAGGAATGACCATGGAAGAAGTTGTTTAATTCTAGAAACAATATGCTGGCGAGTTAAAACGTTTGGATCAAATAAATGGAGCCTATAATATAAAACATCGAGAATCATTGATGGAAGGCAAAGAACATAAACTGCAATTAGACATTATTCAATAGATGTTAGAATAAATACCATTTATTAAACCTACAAGTTATACTTTATTTATAATCTTAGAACTATTTTTGTAATCATAAGTATCCTACGACACCAATTACATTGAAACTGCAATCTAATAAAAAAGAACGGAATCTAAAATGTCTGCATTTTACAATAGAGATGTATTTAATACCATTAAGCAATCTTTAGAACATACCAGAATAGCCTGGATATAATGAGATTTCTAATACTCAATCAGGCTTATAACCTAAAATAATCCATTTAGATCCTCCAAAAAGAGAGGACCTTATGTATATGGTCTAAGTCATTTGCAACAGAGGTCTTAAAGAATTGGAAGAGAAGAACAAAAATGCCAATAAGAAACAAATTAAGGGAATTCTTAAAAAACAACCTGATGAATAAATGAAATAAAAGGATGTACTCAATCAAGCCAAGCAAGACTTACAACCAAAAATGTAATAATTAGTCCAAATGGTCGAGTAGAAACATTAACATAGCCAGGAAAGCATTCGTATTAATATTTCATTATTTAAGTAACTTTATTACATGATATTATATAAAAATTAAAGGATATTGGTGAGGAAAAATATATAAAAAATTTTAAATCTATCCTTGAAACAAAACTGAACGACAAGCAAACAATAATGAGTGAAATTGATCGCATTAAAGTACAATAAGATTAACAGAGACTTCGACTTGAGTAGTTATAAACTATCAATCCTGCTCAAGCCCTACGATTAAAAGCTTACAAAACCAAGCATTGTCACAATTTTCATTCGCCCATAGGTTGTGCAAGAGGAGATAATTGCAATTTCATACATGACTCTCGTTATCCAGGAAGACCAGCCCCAGTACTTTAACATCCCAATTTCCTGAACAAAACTCTATATCCCTAATCCAATGTGCCTGTAATAGTTCCACCTCTGCTTCAATAACTCAACCCTTTGATTCTGCTTGGAAGACAGAAAAAGTATGAAAGTCTATGAGTCAAAAATTATTATAAATTATAATATTATAAGAATGTAAGTTAAAACAGTAACCTTGAAATCATTAAATATATTACTTAAATTTTCTTCATTTCAATATTAATGTTTCCTTTAATTTTCAAATTATTAACAATACATTAAATAAAGCAAAATAAATTGTTTCAAACTATAAATATTTACTCATTACTCTATCTTTAAAAGCTTAGAATTAAAAAACGTACAAATGCCATTTTAATAATTTTATAATTAATAAAAATGTCCTTGTTTTCTTAACTAATAATTAATCTTGTTTTTGGAATTTCGAAAGATTCAATCTGAAAATTTCTAATTATTATTAAATGTTTACTAAATTATAGCTAAAATATTAGTATTTTTTGTATTTTCTTAATGCAATTCAGACAATCCCATATTTGTTGAATTGATATTTTTTTAATAACTCTAAAATAGTAGAATTAATGATAGAATACAAAGAAGTCCTTAATAAATCTCAAATAGTACAATAGATTCCCTTTCAAATCTTTATTTAAACTAATTATTTTACAAAATAGCTTCAATTTAATTACTATCCTATTCCTCTTTTTATTTCGAAGTATAAAGATTTGGGTATGAATAAAGTGTAATACTAATTATTTTTCAATTAGTTCACAAATAACTACTCTATTATAGGCTTACAACATTCAATTTGTTTTGGAGACTGCTTTACTTAATTATATTTTTAGTTATAATAATAACGATATTCAAAAATTGAGTAATCCTAATATATTTGATTAGAAACTCAATATGAAGTTTATTCTCTTCGTTTTCTTTCATCTTCTGAGTTTACTAAATATTCTTGATATTTTTATTCTTTTTAACTTTACGTATGTTGAGTTAATTTCTAAATTAAAATTTATATGGGATGCATTTGTGGAACAGTGCCAAGGAAAAACTAAATTATGTCTATGAAGACGAGAAATAGGGATGAAGTGTTTACTTCAACAGAAGATATTCAAAAAATCTATATTTTTGGTAAAGTTCTTGGAGTTGGTTCTTTTGGAAAAGTGGTAGCAGCAAAAATGAAGAGCAATCCTTTGAAAAGATATGCTATAAAAATTATAGAAAAGAGAAAAGTTAAAGGAAGAGAGGATATTTTAGCAAATGAAATTTACATACTATAGAAGTTAGATCATCCTAATATTATAAAATTCCATGAAGTCTATTAAAATAGGTTGAACTTTTATATTTGTATGGATTACTGTTAAGGAGGAGAATTAGTTGATTGGATTCCTAAAAAATATAAGAATTTTCATGAAAGCAATATTTAGGAAATAATGAGGAAAGTATTATTATCTTTATAAATAGATCATATCAGCAGTAGCATATGTTCATGACGAAGGAATAGTGCACAGAGATATTAAGGCTGAAAATATTATGATAACTAATAAAAATGAAGACGCAGAACCTAAATTAATTGATTTTGGATTAGCAAATAAATTTGATAGCACGAAGTTAAGAAGATTGAAATCTTTTGTTGGAACACCAATGTACATGGCACCAGAAGTTATTTAGGGGAAATACGATGAAAAATGTGATATATGGTCTTTGGGTGTTCTACTTTTTACATTACTTTCAGGTCATATGCCATTTCATGGTGAAACCAAAGAAGAATTGTATGATAATATTCAAAGATCAAATGTAACTAAATTACAATGTTTTTAGATTGGATTTACTTCAAATGCATGGAAATTTGTGAGTAGTGAAGCCAAGGACATAATCAGAAGAATGTTATAAAAGAGTCCCTAATTAAGACCCTCAGCTAGGATGTTATTAAAACACGATTGGTTTAAGAAAAAGTTATAATCTAATGAAAAAATAGCATAGGATTAACTTTAATAATTTAAAAACTAGCTTTCATCATCACCTTCTATATTGGATAATAGATCCGTCTACGAGATGTTATAATAAAATGCTTAAAAAGGTGGAAGTAAATTCAGAAAAGAAGTGATGACTTTACTGGTTAAATAGCTTAACGAATAAGAATTACACAATTTGATAGAAAAATTTAAATAAATTGATACAGACAATTCAGGCACTATCACCATTTTTGAGTTACGTTAAGCCTTAATAGCAGAAGTAAAAATTTAGTATTATGGAAGGGTTCATCTGTAAGTCATGAAGAAGTAGAAAAACTTTTACAAAATATTACTCCCAAACATAATTAAACTTAGGATGGAAATAAAAAATCAAGGCCTTCTCTAGAATTAAAATATAGTGAATTTTTAGCATCTTGCATAGATGAAAGGAAGTTTCTTACTAGAGAAAAAGTAAGTTTATAAATTAAGTTAGTTATGGTCTTTATTTAAGTTTTTTGATACAGATAATTCGAATTTCATTACAAAAGATGATATTAAAGAAGCTTTTGCAAGAAATTCAAAGTCTTTCACAGATGATTAAATTGATGAAATGATAGCTGAAATTGATCCAAATCATGATAATAAAATTAGTTTTGAAGAATTTTGTTAAATGTTTGACAATGCAGGAATTTATTAAAACTTGGCTGATGATGATGAAATAATGGAATGATGTAAAAATTATAATGATACTAATTAAAATAAAAGAGTTCATTTTTCTAATTACAACCTAAGCGAAGCTATTTCTTCTTAGTACTTTTTGATTATTTTTTGTATTTCAGGTTCAAGACCAAGAACTGTCAATTATCGTATTTCCTAGGTTTTATTTTTCTCCCATTACATCCTTGATGCTTTTTCCTTCTATGCAATTTATTATTTTTCTTACTAGAATAGAACTTATAATTTTTCAATCTCTTACGAATGAGATTACTATAACGTCTTGATCTCGTTGGTTAAATTAAGTTGTTCTTATTACAACTCTTTCTTATCTAAAATTAGCTATTCTATTATTGTCAATTATCTTTATATAGTAATTTCATATTGATCATATGCTTATTTTGATAATGATTATTCAGTCTATTTTATAAAATTTATTTTTTCAGACATTTTTTGTGTGATTTCTTCTACTTATTCCTTTAAATGCAAGATCTCTTATTTTAAGGAAATGTTTTCTTCAATAATTTTCTGATACTTAAATTTGTGTTTTTAGAATAACTCCTCTTATTTCATCTAGTCATACATTGTTTATAAATAATATTATTAATCAATATAATCACATTGCATAAATTATTGCTCCCATCACACCCATAAATAAAACAAACATAATGGACATCAAAATCAAATACCAAAAGACCACATATCGTAATAAATTGCATGGTTCATTTTTACAATATTGAATAATCAGATAAATATTGCTAATGACAAACCCAACAAGCAATATACCTGATACATAAAGTTTGATCCTTGAATTTGATGAGGATCTCCATTAAATCATAATACTAGTTATAAATATAATAACAAATTTACCCAATTATAATGACATATACAGTGTATAGAAAGAATAAAAAATATGCACATTGTCTTAATGCAATGCACTCATCTCCTCCATACAGTTCTGGCTTGGATGTGAATTAGTAGAACAAAAAGCTAACTAATGAGAGGGAAACAACAGTGAATAGAGAAACTTTATCAAAAGCTTATTGATCTTCTGACTCTAATTGCATGGATTTCAATTTATGTACTTATTATTTATAGTTTATTTATAAATTAATTTAACTTAATTTGGAAATACTAAATGTTATTATGAGTTTCATGCATACATACTTCCATCTTCATTAAAGTTTTTATTAACCCCTCCTACATTATCAAACATTAAACAAAACTCCTCAAAACTTATTTTATTATCATGATTTGGATCAATTTCAGCTATCATTTCATCAATTTGTTTATCTGAAATCTATTTTCCATTTCTTGCAAATGCTTCTTTAATATTTTATTTGGTAATGAAATTTGAATTGTCAGTATCAAATATTTTAAATAAGGCAGATAACTATTAATTAGGGTAACTTTTACTTTTTCTTTGGTTATGAACTTCCTTTCATCAATGCAAGAAGCCAAGAACTCACTGTATTTTATGATAAACTCTTTTTTCCTTTTTCCGACTTCCTCTTGTGTTTGAGGAGGAGCAACATTGTTTATCAATTTCTCTATGTCTTCATAAGTAGCTGGAGATCCCTAGAATTACAATAAATTTGAAGTGATACTTCAGCCTTCAAAGCTTCTTTCAATTCTTGAAATGTAATAGTACCAGAATTATCAACATCTATCTTCTTAAAGATTTCTTTCAATGAATTTAATTCTGTCTCATTTAATTGATTGATTAAAAGAGTTTTAACTTCTTTTTTAAACTTAGCCCCACCTTAATTTTATTTAAGTAGTGAATATATAGATCTATTTTCAAAAACGCTAGAATTAAGAGAATTGTTTAATCCTGATGAATTTTTTTCATCATTCTTAAAGTGTTTTTTGAACCAATTATGCTTAACTAATTCCTTTGATGTCAATCTTTATGCTGGTTGTTTAGAAAGCATTCTTTTAATAATGTCCTTTGCCTCACCGCTTATATGCGACCAAATTGCTGAATCAAATGAAATCTATCTTGAAAGGAGAATGATACATTGGCTGTTTATATGTTGTCATATAATTCCTCTTTTGTTTCTCCATGAAATGGCAAATGGCCAGAAAGTAAAGTAAAAAGCAATACCCCCAGAGACCAAATGTCACATTTTTCATCATATGATCCCTTAATTACTTCAGGTGCCATATACATAGGTGTTCCTGCAAATGATTTTAGACGTCTTAATTTAATATAAATGATACTTAAGATGAGAGGTATCAAACTTATTGGCCAATCCAAAATCAATTAATTTAGGTTCGCCATCTTCTTTTTTTGAAGTGACCATAATATTTTCAGCCTTGATATCTCTATGCACTATGCCTTGGTCATGAATGTAGCATACAGCAGAGGCAATCTAAATTTACATTAAATATTTGATATAACCTTCTTCATTATCCCTTGAATATGCTATTCATGAAAGCTTTTGTATTTTTTAGGAATCCATTCCACCAGTTCTCCTCCTTTACAATAGTCCATACAAATGTAAAAATTTTAATTGTTTTAGTAAACTTCATGAAATTTGATTATGTTGGGGTGATCTAACCTTTGTAGCATATAAATTTCATTTGCCAATACATCTTCACGACCTTTAACCTTTGCTCTCTCAATTATTTTGATTGCATATTGCTTTTCCAGATTCTTAATCATCCTAGCAGTAACGACTTTTCCAAATGAACCAACTCCAAGCACTTTACCAAACTAATAAATTTTAGAGATATCCTCAGTGGATGTGAAGACTACATCCTAGTTTCTTGTTTTCATCTAAATTATAGAATTCTGTTTTATTTCAGCCCCTGAGGTACATCCCATTATTATATAATTTAATAGGATATAATTAAATAATTTGATTTGTTTTGATTGAAAAAATTATGAATATTATGGGATAGATGTTAACGAGTATTCTTTGCTAATAAAGAATGCTTAGAACTTAGACATTATAGTTAAAAAGATTTAGTTATATTGCTCATTTGATGCAAAAAATAATTGTGGATCCTTACTTTTTCATTGACTTTAATAGCTTCTTATCATCATGCCAGACCCTTAGACTAATAAACTAATTGAAATTAAGTTTTTATGAAAATAATAGATACATTATGGTAATCAATTTAATGGATAATATGTATTTTACTTCTCTAATAATGTCAAAGAGGGCTTGAAAGTACTCCTTAATTTTTCTATTTTTAAATACTTGTTTGTTCATTAATAGATAAATTTAGATTAGAGTGGTATTTAATTTCAAGATCTCTTCAATTTTTAATCTGATACCTAAATATTTTTAATTAGTTTGTACTCCTTTGAGTTAAGCTATTCTTATAGAATTAATCTCACTAAATTAGATTATAGTTTGCCTATGTCTTAAATTTGATTGACAGAACTTTCAAATATAATCCTTTTAATATAGATATAAGTATTATTCTGCTTAGTTTAAGGATTTAAGCGTAAAATAGAAAGTCCTATTATCCTTTCTTCAAATTGTAATGAATCAGAATTACTTGAGGATTTCCTTTTAAATTTATTGAATTTTTATATTTGTGTTAGTATTCTATTATAAGATTTCGATTAATTTAGATTTTGAAAGATTTAAATGGACTTTAGATATACCATTTATTTATTCATTTAGTTACCAATAATTTTATATCTCTAATTTATAAAGGAATAGGATATAAACCCCAATGTCCTTTTCAACATAATTTATTTGTGTGTAAGTTAATAAACATTTTTCAAAGTCTTTATAAATTTTAACAGTAATTTATTGTAGTAATTTCTTCTAATAAGAGTTAAATCATTCCAATACTAACGAATTATGTTTTAAAATTTATGATAATAAGAATTATTAATGTATTAATAATGTAAGTTATTATATTTATATATAAATTAAGAATGATATCATAACACATTATCAATATGATAATTAGTTGCAATGAGATTTAATATTATTTTATGAATGTAATCAACTTTAAATTTCCACTTCTTTAACTTCATCCCTAATATTCATAGTTTGTTCAATGCCAGCTACTCCCATCATTTAAATGAATTCATCAAAGCTTATTTTATTATCATGATTAGGATCAATTTCATAAATCATCTAATCGATTTTCTCATCTGACATCTATCTTCCATGTCTTGCTAAGGCTTCCTTAATATCTTCTTTAGTTATATAATTGACATCTAAAGTGTCGAAATACTTAAACAGAGACCATAACTAAATTAATGGACAAGAATACCTTTTCCCTTGTTAATACTTTTCTTTCATCAATACATGCAGCCAAAAAGTCTGTATATTTGATGACAAGAGGGGAGGGTTCTTTGTCCATTTCTAAGTTGTTATTCTCTTCATCATCTTCCAAGACTATAGTCTATATAATTTATTCTATTTCTTCTAATGACGCAGGAGATCCCTAATGTAATTAGCTTTAAATACCTCTTATTAAAGTGCTTCTCTTAATTCTTCAATAGTTATAGTACCAGAATTGTCTACATCTATTTTTTGGAAGACCTGCTTAAGATGATGTAATTCTTTCTCATTCATTTAATTGATGAGAACTTTGGTGACTTCTTTTTTGAATTTGGCTCCTCCTCTAAACATTTTGAGCATTTAATAAATAGTTCTATTATCCTCATGAGTCTAAATTAATTGTTATTAACTCTTTTCTCTGTTTACTTTTATATTCTGAAATTGTATTTCAAACCAAGGATGTTTAAGACATTCTCTGGCTGACAATCTCTTTTTAGGAGTTTTCATAAGCATCTTTTATATTAGATCCTTAGCTTATTCACTGATGTTCCTCCAATGACGTCTATCGAATATAAGCTACAATCGTATTTATCCAAAATTACAGTTTGTGTTTTGATGTTTTCATATAATTAGGCTCTGTTTTTGCCATAGAAAGGTGGGTAGCCACATAACAAACTAAATAGCATAACTCCTAAACTCCATACATCACATTTTTCATCATATTCCCCATCAATCACTTCAGGAGGTAAGTAGAGGGGAGTTCCAACAAATGTTTTCAATCGTCTTAGAATATTCTTGATTCAAATACTTAATGTGAGTAGTGTCGTACTTATTTGCCAACCCAAAATCAATCAACTTTGGTTCCGAATATACATCCTTCTCGCTAAACATAATGTTCTCAGGCTTGATATCACGATGTACCAATCCTAAATCATGAATGTAAACAATGGCTGAACAGATCTATAAATGAAAAACTCAATACCTTTTGTATGATGGTTTATACTTAACCTTCAGATAGAGTCGATTATTATTTGGCTATTCTTTCAACAAGTTCACCCCCTTAACAATAATCCATACAAATATAGAAATATAAAGGACTCTAATAAACTTCATAAAATTTGATAATATTAGGATGATCAAGCTATTGTAACACAAAAATTTCATTAGCAAGTAATGCCTCTTTACCTTTAACTCTCCTTTTATCAATTACTTTAATAGCGTATTGTTTTTCAGAGTTCTGTTTCATTTTTGCTAATAACACTTTTCCAAATGAGCCAACTCCAAGCACTTTCCCAAAGTTATATAATTGATGGATATCAGCTGTTGATGTGAATACTTAATCTTTGTTCATAGTTTACATAGCCACAATTCTATTTCTTTTTTTTGATTCGAAACATCCCATGGTTTATGAATATTAATGAGTGATTAAAATATTTTGATGTATAAAATTTTATATCTAATTCAGGTATTCATAAAATTAAAAGGCTCTCAATTTACATATAACTAATTCCTTTTCACAAAATCTACTCTATTACTTTCATATCCTAACAATTAGACAATCTTTTTTTGGATCCTTTTCGTATTAACTAAAATCATAGTCCACATTTTGCCCCAATCTATTGAATATCCCAAAACATTTACTATCATCATTTTAAGTATGTCAAAATAATTCAAAGGTTTTCGATTGTAAATAAATAACCTTAAACAATCATATTTAAAATCCAAAAATCTAAAATTTTAATATAAATACTTCTCCAATACTGTAGATTCTGATTTTTGAGAAACATTAAATTCTTAACCTTTTTCTAACTATTTTACATAACTGAAGCCAGTAACATCTCAAAATTTCAAGAAAAATAATACTATTTCAAGAAAATAAAATAAGATTTTACTCATTTTGGAACGATGATTAATTAAAACAATTTGATTATTGGTTTTAAAAGGCAACCCTAATTTTAAATGTTTTTAAGAGTAATATTGGAAATAGAATATTGTATAATATTATCTAAAAAATATCAAGCATGTAAAAATATTCTACAAGGCAACCTTTAATCCCAAGTTATCAAAAAGCGAGTAGATCTTAATATGAATATGACAATGACAAAATCATCTAAATCTAAATAGATGCAAATCTTAGGTAAGATTTGTCTCCTACTCTTTCAATTATAAAAACACATAATATATCTCTGTTAGCTTAAAATGCAATTAGAGAGCTTGAAGATAATACATATCATTTACTAAAAGAATAATATTCAAAATAGTCCATCATGATCTTTAATGGTTTTCACTAAAACTCTTTAAACTCCTGTTTGTGCTTAGCAATTAAACAACTAGTATAAAATACTCCTTATTTTCAATTATAATAAATTATTAGTGATTTGCTAAGGCTTCTAGAGGAAGTCTAAAAATTAGTAATTATAACATTTAATTTAAAAGTAATAAAATTAACAGATCACTAATGTTTTAGTAATTTAATGCTTCCAAAAAGATTTTCAGAATGAGATTTTTCAAGCAACACAATTGTATAGCCTTTATTCCCAACAAAGTAAATGATAAGCTTAATATTTATAGTATTGAATAGAAATGATAATTATCTATTTATCAATTTCTCTGGTCTTAACACTATTGAATAGGATATTAAGATGATGAAGGAACTTAGTTTACTCAAAAAAAGGAATATGGAAATGTATTATTTGTCATTTCACAAAAGAGAGTTTTAAAAAAAATAAAAAAAACACTTTAATTCTACTGAATCGTTTGAATAATATTTTCTGGAAAGTTAATAGAATCATCCAATCACTTGGCCTTAACTAAAAGCTTACTTAAAACCTATATTAAAAAGAAAGATTAAATTATTTAATCCTAAAGTCTGTGTATTATAATTATTTGTGTCTTTAAATAACTTGGAGGATGAGGAAGGTCTAATATTTGAAAACGATTGTATTTTGAAAATTGTTCACTTTTTTAAGAAGTTTTCTTAAGATAAACTAATAATAAATTTATTAATCAAGGATCAAGATTCATCTGCCCCTGTTTCTGTATCAGAGTCGATTGAAATCAACAGCATTAATCATTAAGATGAAAAAAATTCTTAACTGGCAAGAAAGAAGTTATGCTTAAAATAGGTTATAAACGCAATTGAGTAGGGTGTATTTGGACATATGGATGTGGATATAGTTGACAAAAGAAGTTATGATTAAACCCTAATTGAATTTAAATGCCAACTAAACTAATTAAAAAATTAAGAATATTAACAAGTGGTTTAAAGGTCTTTGAATAATTTAATTTGTTAACAGGCAAATCAAATTAGAAATAGTTCTGAACCAGAGAATTTAGGATTTCATTACATACCCTTTATTGATAACAACAGATCTCTGCTATTTTTTGAATTTTATTATAATAACGATAAAATCTTGGTAAATAATTCTACTTAAGTTTACTTGAAGCAGAAGGAAAAAATTGTAATAATATTTTAAGTCTAAGAATTTAAGCTTTATTATTGCAAAATTCAGTGTAAATGCGTTAAAAAAGATTGGTAATTTTTAAATTATATTTTAAAGTAATTTCCTTAATTTATAGGAGTATCTCAATTTTGATTAAATAAAAAATAATGAGTTCATAAAGGCTCCAATAATAGCAGTTATCGAAGACAAAATATTCTTAAATTATGGTTACTTAGGAGATTAAATCTTAGAATTCAGCATAATTGACTAGAAGGTCATATTTAAGAATAGAATGAAGTTATCAAATTTTCCAAAATTATTAGATGTAGAAGAATAATAAAAATAATACATTTTAGAACGAGAAGGCGCTAGCGTTTTCTATAATTTATTAGAAAATAAGGAGGAGAATCATTATTTTATTGCGGGAGGTGAACTTGGTTAAAATAGCCCAGTGTGCAATATCATCGAAAGAGTAGTGCCAGAAAAAGAGGGTTTTTCTTCAGGATTTGTGTCTAAAAGCCTATTTAAAGTAAGTTTGAAGCCATTTCAACATTCTTTAATTTTGGAGGATAATTAGTCTGTAATTTTTCTTCCTGGAGATTTTAATAAAAAACGATTTAAATACTCTTAAATAATAAATCATTAGCACTACCAATAGGCGTAGAGATTAAGTTTAGTAAGAAATAATTGGGTGTTAGAAAATATAAAGATTGTGTATGAGAATGAAGAACTTGGAAGACTTTATCCAATTCATTTAATGCCAAAAAATTAATAGATTGTTTATAATGTTGAAAACGATCATTGGATAGCTTGCTTTTTTGGATTATAAATTCAATCTGTAGGGTCAACTAAACTATCTTCTTAACAGATCTACATAGATGAGATCAATTAGTTTCATTATGAATCATCCAATAGCGGAAATGAGGGCAACTTAAGTAATGTAATTATAAAAATGGAATTCAAATTCGATCAAAATTAACTGATTACTTCAATAACTCCATTTTAATTCAGAAAGAACAGAACAATAATAGAAAATACTGTCCAATTAAAAACAGAGTAAAATGCATTATGAAAATTTTGTTAATATCTATATTATTATTATATATATTATATACATTTTTTAAATGAGGAACAGAAATTCATTTTAAGATCAACAAAATTATTTCTCCAGATCTACTATTAACTAATTAAAGCCTCAGATTGACCAAATCTTTGATATTAATCTAAGGGAGCCACCGATATTAAAAAAGTAATCAAAAAGTCAAAGCAACATTTTTAAAATGACCGATTAAGATAAAAAGAAAAATAAACTATTTAATTTCCTTAGGTTAATATGATAATATTTATGAAATAAAAAATCCATTGTACAATTTCATTTATAATGTCAAATTGCCAGATTAATTGATTAGGAAATGGAGCATAAGAAGAATAAGCTTTAGCAAAGATAAATTGATAATTGATGTTTTTCAAGGACAACATATGCAAAAACATAAAGATATTAACACAAAATATGAATAGTTTTTATACCCTGCAATAATTGGAACTCAAAAGTGATTGCATTATAATTTTAGGTTAGAGCAAGATCAATTACACTTGAATAGTATATTAAATGGATTCATGGTTGAAGGGAAAGCCCAAAAATAACTAGATGTAAATTTAAAATCAATTTAAGTATCCCCTGAGAGATAAACATGCAAATTAATATCTTTGGAGTGCCTTATTTTTTTTTTTGAAGTTTATGTATAGATTTTATCAGCTAGAGACTAAATGAGCTATTAATATATATAATTATTTTAATGGATAATAATTTTTTTGGAGACAACTTTGTCAATAAAAATGGCCCATGCAAAATCAAATTGTCAGACATGAAAGTTGTAGTTCTATACTTTTGTGCAAGTATATAAATTGTTAATCCAAGGTTGGTGCCCTCCTTGTGTGAACTTTACACCTACTCTTGTTGAGTTTTATAATGATGTGAATTTGGAAACCAAATAGCTAGAAATTATTTGGATATCTTATGAGGAATCAGAAGGTCAATTCAAAAAGTATCTAGAAGAGGTACAGACATTAAATAATTTAAAGATGCCTTGGCCAGCCATCCCTTATAATGATAAGAGAATCTAGTAACTGGTAGATAAATATGAAATTAAAGGAATTCCTACAGTGACCGTATTAAGGAAAAATGGAGACATAGCAAAGAAGAATGGGAAATAGGATATTCTAAAAGAAGGTGAAGGGGCTTATAATTTATGGGAATAAATAGTGAATAGTGAGTGAACTCAAATTTTTATTATAATTATTTATAAAATATTAATAATATATATATAATGTCTGCTGGAATATTCATTGGCACTATCATATTTATAGGTATTGGAATTGGGGTTACAGTATGGCTAAAGGGTGTTGTTACTAAGGCAACCAAAAATTTAAGCGATCTCAATGATAATCTATTGTAATGCAACAATCATAAATCTAGGCTAATGTATGTTTCAGTCATTTCAGGCACTATTCAATTTTGGCTTCTTTGGTTTTGTATGTATATGCATTAACTCAATCCGATAATATCCCCGATAAGAGGGCATGAATGAGTTATTAATAAATCGAATTAAAATTTAATTTATAGATCATTCATTAGATATTCTTATTCTAAAAATTACATAGCATTTTTGTTACAGGCATGCATTTGTTTTCTTTTGAACAAAATAATTCTTCTATTTTACAGGTAGAAATTTGATAAATTTAGGAATCTATAAATTTACTAGAATAAATCTAATACTTAAAAATGAAAATTTGTGAAGTTAAATTCAAAAATCAATTTGTATTTATAAATAAACTAAAATTAAGAGATTATCAATATCAATACTCAATTTAAGTTTATTTGCTTGATTAAATATTTGACTCAATTTCTTGATCAATGTTATGAATAAAATTCTTACTTCTCTTCTTTTATAGTCATCTGTTGACATTATTTATTGCATAATTAAATAAATTAGAAATCAGCTCCTTTATTATAATAAAATTACTTTGAAGGATTTATTAATATACTTATGCTATTTATCCATTAATTTGGTTTTTTTTAAGCTGAGATTACGACATTAATGTGCTATTATTTGAAATCATAGTAGATGAATTACTAACATGTTATATATTATTTTGAATCATAAAGAATAAGTTCTTAAAATGTTAATCTTTGTTAATTTGGTATTTTAATGAAGAAGTAGACTTGATTAATAAAAGTGATAGGAGTTTATATGAATGAGGTTGATGACAATAAAAGAGATATATTTATATATTTTTATTAAAGAGAATATATAATGTAATCTGTTTTTTCATACTTATTTTTTAATAATAAATGATCTACCTTTGCTTGAGGCAGTCCTGGGTGGAGGATACATAGTTTTGTTAAAATATAATGAATATTCTCTTGAAACCCAATTAATAAGTTTGTCAGTTTCTTCAAATCTCCTTTTTTGATCCTTTGCTCCTATCAACACTACTATTATTGAGCCTAATACACTCTCATAGGAGACAGCAAGACAAGCACCAGCATTAGGTGTAATTCCAGTTTTAATTCCATTATAATTTTCAAAATGCAACAATTAATTTGTATTAAACCATTCATAATTTCTACAAGAGAAGGATTTGCTATTGCAAATTTATTTTAAAACGGGAATTTTTAAATAAGCTGAACTCATTCTACACATATCTGATGCTGTTGATTTATTAGCCTATATTTAATCTAATATGAATAATTTACTTTTGAACTGAGACCATGTGGATTTGAAAATTAGGAGTCTCTCATACCTAATTTCATTGCATTTTCATTCATTTATCTTACAAACCTATTCATGTTACTCATTTATGTATCATCATAGAATCCTTAGATGGTGTCACATGTGATGTAACTGGCAATCTTTTATTTCCTTTAAGTATTTAGAATAGATCCAAAATGCAGTGCAATGGATATTGCAGCATCATTTCCAGATGGTAACATCAATGCATATAACAATTCTACTAAGGATAATATGTCATCTCTTCTTAAAAAAGCAGATGTGCCTCCAATCTATGTCGCAATTCTAGGAATACGAATATTTATTTCATTCTAAAATTAGATTAAAATGCTTGAGTTACATAATCAAGGTTTAAATCTTCGCACAATTGTATGGCTGTATAAGCTGTCATTATTTTGGTGAGACTTGCCACTTCTAGCTTCAAAGAAGGAGATTTGCTAACTAGTTCATCTCCAATTTAAGTTACAATGCACCAAGATAAAGCTGTTGTTTATGGAGGGTTTACTATATTAATAAAAATAATTCATACATAATGATAATGCCGACTATCTTTTGGTGTGCAAAGATTTATTCTCATTCATTTGAAATAAATAATAATTTAAGAAATTAATAGCTTATTATCAATACTCATTAACACTAATTATATTGCTCTATTATTTTTTATAGTTCAATTCTCTTCAATTCAACCTACTATTTTAACAGCTGATTTTCTTCGATTAATGCCTTCATAAATTATGAATCATCGCTGATCATATTGCTAGGTAGATTATTTCCTCTTTGAGTAAAGTCATCCCTTGAAGTAAAGGACACTGTGTAAGCATTTGGTTTGTGTAAGACTGGAGTGATTGACCTCTATTATTGCACTCTGGGAATTTATTATTAAGCAATATATTAAGTTTGTACAAAAATTGGTTACCTCTGAAATGGCTATGTTATTGATTATTGGTACATAATTATTTTAATTATTAATAACTTGAAAAGTAGATATATTTCATCGATTCAAATTAAAGTATTATTAAACATGATTTCCCTTAATTTAATTATTTATTTTATGAATCGAAAACTTGAACTAAAATTATTAAGCCATTTTTAGAGTTTAGAAGGAAAATTATCTTTATTGTTCTTGCACATCTCAGACAATTCAGCTGGTTTCCAACATGTAGGCAGTCAAAAGGAATAGTTTACAGCCTTTTACAATATATGCATACAAAAGTAAAGAACATTTTTTATTTTATAAAGAATCACCAAAATAGTATTTCTCAAAAATGGTACTTAAAATCAACCCTTTGAATAGTCATGTATATTTTGTGCAAAATTAAAAACTCACTCCAGTTAATAATTAATTTTGCATTTACTCCTTTTTCACAAAATAAAGTATAGCTATAAATTCACTTACTATCAAAATGAGAAGGTTTTGCATATTGCTTATTTCCGACAATAACCCAAGATACTACCTAATGTATTTAGACATTATAAGGCCATCAATCAAAATCAATTAGATTGCTTTATGTTCTTAACTTTGTTTTCTTAATCCAATTCGGAATTTTACTAAAAAAATAGTAATAATTATAAAAATTACAATTAGCTCTTCCACTTGAACAAGATTAGTAAATCTCAAATTTGATGAGTTAAAAATAATTCTATTGTGGACCTGCCAAGAATTTTAAGCCAGTCCAAAGAATTGAAGAATTCAAAGAGTTAGAAGCATTGGACTTTGAAGCATACAAATAAAATGAATTACTTTGTCTAACCAAATCCTCACCAGAGTTTAAAGGGTCTCCAATTCAACAATTCATGATGCTCTATAATACAAGAGTCTTAGAAGAAAGACCATAATAATTAAAAGATTTTTTAAAGTAATTTACTAAATTGTAGGGAGAGTTGGCAATTTGTTTTTAGAATCATTTATTTACATTACTTTGTTACAGTATGATAGATTAGTAAACATTTGTAGAATTATCTCTTATGATATAAAAATGAATTTGAGACAATTTACATTATTAGTATAAACTTTAATTTTTAATCATAATATCAATTTCAATTTAATATTGTTCTTAAACAATTTTCATTTAATAATATTGATGATTATTCATAATCAATAAATAGAATCGTTGATATGCTTATAAATTTATTAAGAAATATAATTACCAATACACAAAATTATAATTCGTTTTGTGAAACAATTTATTAGATAGTTAATCTTCAAAATGGAATAATAATTTAATTGTTATCATTATTATTATATTTTACATGCTGGTTGGCAGCAATTACTTATGTAAAATTATTTACCATTCACTCAAGATCACTTACTATATTATAATAGTAAACTTCCTTTTTTTATAAGAGTATGGAATTAAAATTTAGGAATTTAAATATTGATTTATTATTGAGATTTGAATTCTGATAGAGATCTAGTGTCAAATAGTCTAAACTAGAATTTACATCTTCCTAAATTTAATAAAAAATTTTCATTTAACCAAATCAAATATATTTTTAATATGTAAAATACACATAGTTGTTAATTACAAACCTTGGGATTTGTAAAAAACTATTAGCCAGACTCCAATTCAAATAATATCATTAATCACACTCTTTATCATAAATATGCATCCTCTCAAAATTATTATTATACTAGAGAAATTAACGAGATTTTAAGTAAGCAACGAACTTCATCTGTAATTTTGTTTTAAGTATCAAAGCGATCTAATAATAGGATTATCTGCATTATGATGATGAGGATGAATATCTTAGAAGATTCTATTTATAAGAGGTATATGCTAATAAAATGAAATTGCTTAAAGAGTTTTATAAATATCACAAAGATCTTCCAAGATTTACATTGACTTAAAAAATACTCTAAACTCTAAATTATTACTATGATAAGCGTAGAAAATTAGATTATTATAGAATCTAGAGATAAATAGAGTTTGAAAATAAATAAAATCCCTAATTACCCTAAAAAGGAATAGTTGGAGACAAGCCTATGGAATCTGAAAGCACTCCAAGATCAGCAAGTAGTTCAACCTCAAATGCGAATGCTAATATTGAAAATATACTTAAGGACATTACCAGATAGGAATCAAAGCAATAAATAGAGATCAGCAAAATAACCTAGATCTAAGAGGAATAACAAAGTGAGATCATTAAAATAATCAACATGATTAGCACACCGCAAATCAAGAATTATTAGGTTTTTAAGAAATCTAAAAACAATTTCAAGAAGCAGTTGAAACTTGACGAATTAGGTCTATCACTATCGTCAAGAATACAACAGAACCCACAAGAAGCCAAAATGCCTCTCTCAGCGAGATATCCTTCTTATTCACTAAGCAGAGTTAACTACAAACATTAATCATTATCGAAGGAGAAGACTGCTGATACTCATTTAATAAAGGATAATTTATTATAATTATTTAACAAATGTCCAACTACAAAAAAGATGAAAGTTGAAAATAAAAGCAGTTCAAGAAATATTCAACTTGATTAAAAAAAATTAATACCTGAAATAAAGTAATTAGAATTGAAAATAATAAAATCACTCTAAGAAATAGAGAAAAATAAGAATACTTAAAAAATAGTGTCCTTAGATAGCAAAGCTTTGCACTAGATACTCAGTAAATTTAGTAAGCCTCAATCTTAAAGACACATTTAATAAGTTGACTCATTCAAAAGCACTTCTAACCAGTCTATTAAAATAACCAATAGCAAAATTGCAATGCAAAAGGCTTACACTCCAAGAAATAAATTCATGCACTCCAAACCTAATGAGACTAATCAATAACACCCTAAGAAATCTATAGAAAAAAAATAGTAATAATTAGTTAAAGCACTTGACCTCAAGAAGTTGATGGTCTATAAATCTGAGAAATCTGCAAAGACAGAAAGAGTAAAGAAAAATGTTCCTGCTTTGAATTTAAACGCAGTTTAGATCAACAATTAGTCTTCACTTACATCCAGAAATTAAAGTGGTAATCCGAGCTTCATCTAATTATTAACTCCAAAACCACAAACTAGTCGATCCAAAGTTAATAATCTTATTCATTGGTAAGTCAAGGCAATTTAAGCTGCATAAAGAGATTATAAATTATAGTTAAAAACTTAATAAATGAAAATAGAACAATTAATTTGATATATTATATGAACTCATTTTAAATAGAAATTATAAATTAATAATCATTAAAAAAATTAACTTCAATGTCAATCATAAATTAAGAGCTTTTACAAAAAGCTATACAGCTAATAAACAGTTAACCCTCCATTTATCAGCAATTGAATACAACTGAACTTGATAAGGGGATAGATCTCATTGATATCTATTCTGTTTATGGAGATGTAGATTAAAATATATATGAAGAACCAGGCGAAATTCAGTTCAATTTTGAAATGGAATAAGAGTAGCCATATGAAGAAGTCAAGGAAAGCATTCCTCCATAGAATCTAAAAAAATCACAAATCACTTTGGATTACATAAAGAATTATGATAAATGCGATTAAGTATATAGAACAATAGCAGAAACGTAAGGTGAACTTGAGGTATTTCTGGATCGGAATCAAGATATCTACCGGTCTTTTAAAATCTGGAGCGATTAATTAAATTATGGAGAGCTATATTCAAAGGACCCAAAGTACATTGAGAAAATTAAATTTACATTGATACTTGTAATCATAATTATGTAATAATTAGTTATCCGAATGGTTGATTGCTGTGTGTTATAAGTCATAAGTGAAAAAGAGGATTTTAATATAAACTTAAACTTAACCAAGAGTATAATATAAAGCCAATATTTTCTTGGAATATATTTATGAGCCTAAGAAATCGAATGAAAGCAGAAGAACAAGTGAAGTGAGACGATAAACAGTGCACGAAATTTTACTAGCCGCAACTCCAGATATGGCATATGTTCTGTCTGAAGGGTTTATAATTTAGAAATTAACTAATTAATTGATTGCTCCTATTCAAGGAGGCTATTGTAAAATAAAAGATTGGCTCATAGCAGTTAGGGGAGTCACAAATCTAAATATGAAGGAATTTTAAGAATTGCTTAAAATTAGTCGAGAATATTTTTCTGAACAGAGTACTATTTGATTTTTTATATAAATTGTTTAAAGATATTTAATATTAATAAAGATCTCTATTATACTAACAATTGATCTTTCAATTGTATTTAGTTAGGTTCGAAAAACAATAACTGTTACGGAACTTTTTACATATAATATTGAAATTTAAATTAAATTAAAAAATGTTCCTAAAATATAGAATAGAAATAAAAATTCCAGAAGATGCAAAAAAAGAGTTTCTTAATTAAAAGGAATTCACAATAATCAAATTTGAATAATATCTTATTTTTGTATTTAATATAATTATTAATTCATTTGATGACTAAATTGAAGTAATTACAATTATTATATAAAGTCTATATATTCATATTCATTATTGATAAGATTGTTTTTTAACAGATAAAAATCCATTTCCATTTTTGGTTCTCACTGTTGTTGATTATTCTACATTCTCTTTTGAGATTAGTTTTTGATTTTTAATTTTTTATTAACTATTCAGTTTTAACACTTAAGTGTAAATAGACTCACCGGGATGACTACATAATTCTTTTAAAATTCTTTCCTTTAAAGTATCTTCATTTGAAGCATGTTAACTAGTTTATGATGTATATTATTAAGAATTTATATTTGCTAGTATAAATTACCGTTTGCCATCTATGTGATCAAACGAAGGCTACTTAACTTTAGAATTGGATCTTTTATTTTAATGGTTATCAGTCTTTTAATATTATTATTATTGTTGATTTATTCTAGCCAAAGGTTCTTAGTGAAGTGGAGTTAAGGATTTTTGATTAGGCAAAGAATCATAATTAATTTTTTAGAATTCTTTCTAACTTTTTTGTTCAAGCAGATTGCTGTTCACTTAAGGATATTAGTATTAAGCTTAGATATGATAAAATAGTTTTACATCTTTAGCTAGCATGATTTGTAATGAGTTTAAAGGTTTAAGGACCTGCTGCTGTCATATTTTTTTAATGTTTGGGTGTTAATTATTATCTATCTTCAAAGCTTTTCCTTTCTGTATCTTTAGTATCTTTTTACATATACAATTAACTTAGATTTTTAATCAATGGCTAATTAGATTAATCATTAATTTTATCCAATTCAGAGGAAGTCTTTTATTTGTCATTTTGCTACGCATAATACTTTTCATTCAGATCCAATTATTTGTTTAAGCATTTTTATGAATTCACTTATTCTCCCACACTAATATTATGTTTGTAGCTTTCTCTTTCATTAGGGGTTATTAATGGATTATTCTTTTGAATGTAAGTATTTTAATGCCAGCTCTCAGGAGTATTTGCTCTACTCTCTCTTCTAGAGTATTGTATGGTTGAAGTGGGATTAGAGTAGGCATTTGAATTGGTTTTAGATATTTAAATCTATTGTTATTGTAATTTATGCATTGTAATTGGAGATTGAGTATGATCTTTGATAGGATTAGAGCAAGTGCTTTAATAAATATCTTCTGCCTCTAAGATCTCAAATACCTTCATATCCAATGGAGAACTATTAGTATTCTGTCTAATCTTTGGACTGTTTTCTAATTTGATTTATAATGAATGCCTATCAGATGTTGATGAATCATCACTTTTTAATAACAGAAGATTGTAACACATTTTATTCATATCTGCCAAAATTTAACTTTGTTCAAATTTAATGGGTTTAAGCTGAAATTCTTAACTACATTCCTATAACTATTCTTTTGTCTACAGAACTCTCTTTTCATAGCGACTCATGATATCCTCAAAAGGTTTCATGTCCATTTTCTTCACTATATTTTCATGGTTTTTCTCAATGTCAATTTAGAATTATTTTATTTGTGCATCTATTTATTTAATTTAAGTAGCTTTAACTTGAATAGAATTAAGTAGCATATGATGATCATTTTAGAACTTCTACAAATAAGTTTATTTTAATTAATTTGCAGTCTATATAACAGAATCAAAAAACTATTAGCAACTTTCTTGATGTTCCAGTAGTTATTTGGCTGATATTTTCTCTATGTTGTTAAATTCCATAGATTTAGATGTACATTAATCCATTACCTATTATAGTAGTTCTTAAAATCGATTTATCCGTTGTTCTCTTTGGATTTCATGTTGATTTTCTTGTGTCTCTTCTATTTTCAATCCTTTCAATGCCAAAGTCAATGCACATTTAGAACAAAATTATTTGCTTTTATCACATTATACATAATATTTTGCCTTAGTTAATTTATTGCATTTACTTTCTTATTTGGATGTTTGGCACATTTGTTATTACTTTATTCTTTTCGTTTAAATATGTTTGAACTCTTTAAAATTCGTTCTTATTCAGTTAATGCAAACGATGTTTCTTCTGAGTCTGAAGATGAAATTGATCCACTCATTATCGGTTAAAAATTATTAAAAAATAATAAAAGAAATTTAATGAAGCCATCATCTAATGCTTCTCAATAAGCGAATCAGTGGGCATTGAAAAAGAAGGAGCAAATGGAAAAGGCTGCTCAGATGAGAGCAGAACGAAAACTAGCTGCAACTGGAGAAATGGCTTTGGGTACTAAAACAAATTATGGTACTTATATTAAGTATCCAAAGATTATGATAAACCTCCAAGTTAGAATTCTTAAAAATAATATTACTAATCTGATTTAGGTAATAATAACGTACGATAACAATAATATGGTCAGTAGTAATTTTAAATGAATGATATTGGTTTTCAAAATGTTTAGCCTAACCGGCAATCATCCTTAGGAAAACAACAACCCTAACCCTCTTATGATAAGTATGGATATAACTAAAATCCTCAATTTACAAATAATAAACCACCTAGTTAAGAAGGCTAAAGAAGAGTTTAACAGGGAATCCAATAGAAACCATAAATGAATTAAGGACAACAGAACAGATAATAATATGGCAAAATTGATGATGACTACGATTATCAAAATAGATAATATGGACAAATCAAACAATAATAATAATAACCATATAATGCTAAATAACCTCCACCAGTTTAAAAACAATAATAATACAGACCACCTTCAGGAACATATGATTAATCTAATTCATATAATAAGCCTTCTAATTAAGCAATAAAACCCCCTGTTCAATCAACCAAGCAATCAACAAATAATAAGTAATAAAGTAATCTTAGAAATAATTAACAACCCTCTTAATAACCCTAATAATAATACTACAATCCTATTGATGAAATTCCAATTAAAAAATCTGATAATTAACCTAACATTAATATTCAAAATCCTGAACCCTTATATGAATGTTCAAAAGGATGTGGCAGATCTTTTGCAAAACTTGCTTTATAAAAACACGAAAAGATTTGTGTGAAAGTTTTTTAAAAATAGAGAAAATAATTCGATGCTCAGAAGCACAGAATTATTAGCAATGAATAAATTAATCACATTAAAAACCAAGATAAAATTGAATAAAAATATGAAAAAGCTTTAGGTTTTTATTTATTTTATTATTTCAGCTAAAAAACAAAATTGGAAAAATCAATCTGAAGCATTTAGAGCTGCCATTATCGCTGCTAAAGGCGGAAAGCTAACAAACGATCAAAAGGTTCAAATTAATAATAATATAGAATGCAATACAAGTAGCAAGCAAATCAAATTTAACACAATGCAACTATTGTGGAAGAAGCTTTAATCAATAAGCAGCTGAAAGACATATTCCATTTTGTGCTTAAAAAGCAAAGATTCCTCCTAAGCAACCTTAAAAAAGGAGATGATCATTAATAATTCAGATTTATATATTAATCGATTAATTAAATCTATCATTATGTATTTTCTAATAAAGCTATAATATTCGGTCTTTTCAATTAAAATAATCTATATTATCATCACATAAAGTTAAGATTTCTTATATTGCATTTTCATCAATTGATATTCTTGATTAATAACTTGAAATAGTGCTTTTAAACTTTCTTTCAATATCTATTTATCATAAAAACATAAAGGCAGACCTAAATTTAGTCTAATCTATTTGCTAGATCCACTTTTATCTAATTGATAGCCAAATTAAGTAATAAGTTTTTCTTATATTAAAATTAAGAATTGTTTATTTCAATTGTGTTTTTTCTTTTAGAACCAACACTACCATCAAAATTAATTAAGGCTTTGCCGAGATTGTAACTGAAAGGAGTTAAAATTTTCTAGAATTATAACTGCAATTTGACATGCAAATGACTAAATTCTTAAATGTTAATTTTTAATCATAACTTAAACCCTTTTTTACATAATTGAATCTAGAATTTATAAATAAAGGATTTTTTAATATTAAAAAGTAGATGTTTAGATTTTTTAATTGTTTTTAAAATTTTGATTAAATATTAATTTTTATTTTATGTATGAAATAATGTTCATTTTTTTGAAATTTTATTATAATTTAATACTTATACCCTAATAGCGTCCTTTAAATGGTAATGATATGATTGAACAAAATTGATTAATTAAAATATATCTCATTCAAAATGTTACACATACCTGATGTTGCACTTGGCATTGAGAGAGCCGATCATAAACATTTTGATGACATCTAAGAGACTTCAAAGCTAGAACAACCTGTTAAAATTAGCGTGGTCAAGATATAATACAATAAAGATCATATCATCGGAATCAAACTTAAGTACAAGGGAAATAATGGAAAATAAGTTAAAGGAAATTGCTCCATGAAGTTCAAACTTCTTGGAGGAGTATTTTCTGGAACAAAGAAAGAGAAGTACAATATTGATGATGGTAATTATTTCAGCAATATTCTTAGATGATTATATCAAAGAGATACATGGATTTGTGGGCACAGAAATAAATCTTTTTGGATTTACTACCTATAAAGGAGTATCTCATTAATGTGGAGTAACTAAAGGTGTAGCATTTTCACATCACTTCCCACTTCACACATTCACATCAGCCAGAGGATCATATGATAAATTCTTAGAATTCATTGCCTTTAGAGTATCCCCACTTAGTCCAGAATAGATCAAAAAATTAGTAATGAATATCCTAATGATTTTAGGGATTGAGTTAACAATAAGGCAATGTCAACGTCACAACTCACACTGTTTAACCTCCACCCCCAGCACAAAATTTGCCTTATGGATAAATGCCACCTCCTGGATAATAATACCCACCTCAAGGATAATAATACCCGCCTCAAGGACAATATCCACCACAAGGACAATACCCACCTCAAGGATAATATCCACCTCCCGGATAGTACCCACCTCAAGGATAATATCCACCCCAAGGATAATATCCTCCTCAAGGATAATATCCACCTCAAGGATAATATCCACCCCAAGGGCAATATCCACCCCAAGGGCAATATCCACCTTAACCAAACCCAGGATAATACCCACCCTAACCAGCTTACGCATAATATCCACCACAACCTCCATAGAATACAACTGTTATCATAGAATAGTAAGCTCCACCTCCCGCACAAAAAAGTGGTGTGAGCGGCGGTGTCGTTGCAGGTGCCATGGTGGGAGGTGCTTTGGTTGGAGCTGCTTTAGCAACCAATCATCATCATAATCACCATCACGGTCCAGATGTCGTTGTTGTGAAGAAAGATCATTGAAAGATATATTCAATAATTACATCATAAATTTTAATAATGTACAAAAAAAGTTCTCATTTGGAAAGAAAAATCAATCCAATTGATTCATTCATATGGATACACGAATAAAAGTGTTTTAAGTGAAAAGAAACACAATAAATTACTTAATATTAGAAACTAAAATGTTTGCTATTCATTTTTTAAGGTGAAGTTGTTAGTAATAAGCTCTTATAAAGACTGCAAATATATTATTGAAATGCCCTATCGATGCTAATTATAAGACTTTACTATTCTTCAGATTTAGTAAAATCAAAATCTTTGATTATTTATCTTCTTGGCCAATTTTACATGAATCAACTTCATAATTTTTCATATATACTCACTACATTAAGAAAAAGCAATCTCTATTCAATCTTTAAATTTTATAGAATCTTTATTACTTTATACATTTACCATAAAGTGTTAATCAAATTACTATATATACCTGTCTCATGACAAATCATTAATGCTTGTATCTGTCTCTGTCTCTCAATTAAAAAACAGCGACCAAACATTAAAATTTTGAATATCTGAAAGAAAGTAATGTAGAGAATTTAGAAAATTGTTCTCTATAATTAGAGTATATAAAATAAAAAAGAGAGAACAGCTTGAAAGGTATAATTAAAAAGGGAGCAAAATTAGAACCCAAAATTATTCTTATCATTATTCTGAAGGAAATACTTCATATAATAGAATGCGATAAAACTTGTTTGCTAAATTTATAATATCTTGACTTATAAAATTATTTAATTGCAAGGACTATAAAATATGTATACGTTGAAAGACCTTCAAATTATAGATCTTCGTGTGATTATAGTTTTTTCCAAAAATAATACATTATTAATTAATTTTATATAAATTTTAAGTTTAGAATCCTGAAATCAGAACAAAATATGTCAAATTAGTTTTTAAAGAATTCTTAATAAAAATATAATAATGAAACTTATAAATCAAATATAATATTCAGCTCTAGTAAATATATACGGAGTGATAAGCTAGGTTAATGAACTGTAATTTTCTATTAATTTAAACTAGTATTAGTAAATGGAATTTGGCGTATCTCTCATGAGATGATACAATTAAGCTTTTTATCAATAAGGGCTAATAAAACAGTGTTTTAAATTTATTTGATATATTTCATTAATAATTAAATGAACTCTCCGCCGCCCAATAGCAAATCAACTGATGCTCAATTCAAATTGGGATTGTTGAAAGTATTAAGGAGCAATTACTTTGCAGAAGTGGATAGGATGACAGAGGCACATAATTAAGGATTATTTGTAAAAATCAAAAATAGAAATAGGAATCAATTATTGATGAGAAAGAATGGTTGAATTGCGGTAAACCTATAGTGGATAAACGACCTGTGCATGAAGCGAAGAGAGCTAATGAAAAAGAAGTTTAAGATGAAGGAGAGGAACAGAGAAAATAGAGATTGGAGAATTTGAATTTGTATTTGATGGATGGTGTTTTCAAGGCAGGTGAAGAGATGGGATTACAAGAGTGGAATAAAAGAAGATTGGAAAAATCTCTGATTTCAGAATAAAAATTTTATTATTTCGATGATGATGGAAATCTGGTTGCAGATAGGGAATTTTTTGAGGAAAAAATTTAAAGATTATTTCTAATTGATTTCGATGAAAACCTGGCATTGTAAACACACCAGAGACCTGCTTCAAGATGTGCAAGAGAAAACCAAAATAAACAGTTACCATTCAGATTAGACATCTTTATTGGAGTATTACAATTCTCTTACCATCCTCAATTTTCAAGAGAAGATTAGTATGTTGCAGATCTCAAATATCTGATTAAGAAATATCGAAAGAGGGCAGATTTGGCTCTGATTCCACATTACTAAAAGACATTAAACATTTTAGAAAAAGAGACAACAGAGTTGTAAAGTAGACCAGATGATACCAAGATGGAGATGGAAATGATTTAGTTGGAGAAAGAAAGATTAAGAGAGGAGTTAAGAAAAGAGATAGACAATTTACAGAAATTGATGGAATAGATATATGCAAAGTGGGATACCATAAAGGAGGAAAGAAAGACAGTTGGGGCAACTTCGTCTCCTTATAAGTTAGGAGTCAGATTTTACAATTCAACTGATAATACAAAGGAAGTGGATTTTATATTATAATAAATAGAAATACATAAGGAAAGTAATAAGGATTAGATAATAAGTAAGGCAGAGGAGGCTAGAAGGTAGACAATTAGAAGTTTTAGAGTTCAATTAGAAATTGTAATAAACAATCAAGTGGTTGCATAAACAAGAAAGGTTAATTTGGATTGGCCATCTTTTGAGGCTAGAATTATGGAGAAACTTTAGGTGTATGTGTTTACAAAGCCAACAAGTGTTAAACTGAGGATATGGAAAGTGCAATTGATTAATAAGTTAATAGATGAGATTGAGATAGAATTGCCAGGTGAGAAATCCTTTGCCATAACTAGTACTGGATTTGTTTTGAAGGAAGCATATTTTGCATAAGGTAGAAAGACAATAAGAGACACTCGTTATTAGGACTTGATTAGTTAAAACAATAAAGCTTTGAATTACAAATCGACAGAGGAGGAATTTGAAGGGTTTATCTCATTCAGAACAGAATGGCCGGATTTTGGTCCCAAAATGCCACCTGAAAGTCTTGATATGCAGTATCATTAATTGGAGACTAAATATGAAGATGAATTGGGAGATGCTGATGATATTGAAAAGATGATTGTAGATGAGAAATACTTTGATATTAATGATCCTAGAAATGAGGAACTATTTGAAAAATTGACTAAGAAACAAGATAAGCAGACTGAAGTAGTTTCAGGTGAATGTGTCGTTCCGTATTCTAATATTAAGAGTAAGAGACAGCAATTATTGAAACTCAAATTTGTTTAACCTCAACTGAGCAAGTACAAGATTCCTTTGTTGGAGCAATAAATAGAAAGAGATGGAGAATTAACCTAGTTTTTGGGTGAGGATGATGATTAAATGGATTATGAGAAGGAGTTGAGGAATTAAAATAAGGAAGATCAATTCCAGATTTTAGGAGATTATATCAATGATGAGGCAACTAAATAAAGATTATTGTCTATCTAAAAGACTCTATAAGCTAGAAAGATAGAAGCCAAATTGAAGAGAGCCAAGAATTAGAGTGGTTTAATCTCAATTGAAAATGTAGTGAATGAATTTCATTTTGAAGCTGCTGCATCTCTATTGGCAGAATGCATCAAATCTATATTTACAAAGAGAAGAAAGTTAGGACCTTAAAAAAGAACTAATTTGGATAAGAAAAACCCTACTTAATTGTCTGAAGTTTAAATAAGTGCATTAGTTATTCAGGGAAATAATGTCCCTATCAGATCATCTGATGTAAGTAAACTATTGGAAGTAAAATAAAAATTAAATCAATATAATTCAGTCAAAGAAACAATAGAATTATTGGGGAAAATCAAAAAGGTTAGTCCCATCATTTAAGTTTCATTAGACATCCAATCAGAGAATGTGAAGATCATTAGGAACATTGATGTCCTCAAGAAGAAATAGAAGCCTCAATTGCCAGGTTAATTGTAAGCATTTGGTTAGTAGGAGGATGAGGAATATGAAGCTGACATTGAAAGGTTAATCATTGGATAAAAAGATGATTAATTGACATCTGAAGTTGAAGGAGTCAACCCAGAATGGAATGAACTTATTGATTTTCGAATTGGAAGAGAATTTAAATAGTAGTAATTTGATCCTGAAGATTTGATTAATTCAAGAAATAAGGTCACTTTCACCCTATTTGATCAAATTGGTTGGTTCAAATAGAAAGGTATGAATACCTAGGAACATACACTCACAATCACAAGAAGATATATAGGTTCAGTGACCATACCATTATTAAATCTATTTTAATAAGAAAAAATGAGTGGAAGATTTAGGATCAATAGACCATTGTTCTTGTTAAATTATCGAACTTTGAATGTTGAGAACTTCTTGATGGACCAAAGGAATCAGACATCATAATAAAATGAATTATAGAGTATATTCAATTAAAGTATATTTAGATTTGCATAATAATTTCGATATTATAGATCCTCATATCCCAACCACAATAGAATTAACAATGACATTGGAGCCTTCAATAAAAGTCAATGAGGATTTAAGTGCCACTACCTATTTTCCAGGAGCTGAGAGTACAAACCTGTTCTTATACGGAATTAGACAATTGAATAGATACAGAGAATAGTTTAAAGATCGTTACATTAAATTCTGGGCTGAGAATCTAAAAGGTGAATCAGTATTCTTGCCAAGATTCATAACTCCTTTGAAACCACCCGAGATAGATTTCACTGCAAATTCAATAGAAAAGGCAGCGAGATATGTTTCATTGATTCCGTTTAGAAATGACACTGAAGTCTTTAGAGATTTACCTGACATCTATTGTAACAGCCAAGAATTCATAGATTTAAGAGCAGGAGATTTTGAAGAACATGCCCTGTTATTGTGCAATTTCTTTATGTATATTGACGAAAAGATACTAAAAAGAGATGATATCAAAAATTATGTGGTAATGGGAAGGGGATTGCCCGAAGGCAAAACTTAGTATGTTATGAGAAGATTCACTAAGTCAAATTTTGTGGAATTGTGGAATCCATAGACTGGTGAAGTGTTTGTCTTTCAGAATTAAGAATACGTTAAAACATTATTCTGCTTTACAGTTTCAAAAGGATATAAAAATTTAAATGATGTGGATGATGATGCATGTCCATTAACAAATATTGGATGCATTTTTGATAATTAGAACATTTATATTAACATTCAAAACACAGAGGCTCCAAGTGAAATGAATTTTAATATAGAAGACACTCACTTTTGGGAACCCCTCTTGAATAAAGATCAAATAAAAGCATTCTTCCCAAAAGGTATATTACCAATATCAAACGAACTTGTATTTGATGTTCCAAGTGTGGAAAGATCAATTCTTGTCCAAGATGAATTGGATAAGTTCTTGAAGAATAAAATCAAAGACTATAGATTTGAGGATCTAGGATAGAAGAAGGCTCACTTTACAACGACTTTCAACAATCAAAGATATGCATAATTGACTGAATTTATAAGAGATAGAGTGTTGTTTGATCTGGAATCATTCAAGTTTAGAATTAGAACTACTGGATTAGCAGTATACATCCATTATTATTTTAGAGTGAATATGGGGCCAAAAAGAATAATGACTAACAATAATAAGATCAATAGAATCATGAAGAGCAAGAACCAATAAATCATGAGAGCAATCAATAGTGGACATATTAGAAATCTTTGGATTACTTAAAGAAATTGTAGGAGATGTTGATTCGACAATAAGTAAGAATTGTACAATATTTAAGGAAAAACATGTGAGAGGAAGTAAAGAGATGTATGGATTTCCTCTGAACTTCTCCTTTGTTGATTACGAAAGAGCATGGGATGAGATCAAAGCCACAGGAATTGCAGATATTATGAGTGATGATATTGAATTTCTTTGCATTACTAGATGCTTCCCTTATCCTCACTATGTCTTGTCAACATGGGTATTTATAGCAGTCCTCTATAAATCGAAACCAGCTGATATGTGATGACAACATTTTTATTAATTTTATTCATTACCATCTTAATCATTAATTATTTCATTATAATGAATTAGCAATTATAAGGAATTCCAGAAACCATTGATTTGAAACTAGAATTCTTTAATGAACGCAAACAATAAGAACTACATAAAAGAGCCAGAATGCTAAGATTCACACAGTTAAAAACTAAAGGTTATACCTTTGGTTTGGGTAGATATGTAACTTTATTTTTCTACATTCTAGCCATTGGAGAGGTAATTAGAAACTCCAGGGCCTGGTCACTATTCTACCCAATAACCAGAAACTCTGATCAGTTACAGTATGGGAGTGAGACTAAATTAAAAAGGTATTTATGATAAAATTTTGGTAAGTTCATAAATTTGAGGTTCCGCCTTTGGGTACGTATGAAATTAAAGGATTAGATAAATATGGTTACTATTCCAATTCGAAATTTAAAAATGCTTGCGCAGCTCTCTTTAGTCCCCTGAAAAACAGTAGTGCTAAATAAGTACTGTGAATACATTAAAAAGTCAATTGCATCTCCTGGTCCTGGTGATTATGAATTGCCAGGTAGTATTAATTCAAAAGGGAAGCATTTCGTTTCTAATTTTAAAACGAATTAAGGTTGGGCACTTGGCAAAAAGTCACTCTTTCAAAGAAAACCTTATTATTGAAATAAGTAGATTTAAATTTTCTAAAATATTTATTAAATGTAAAATTGTCCTACAATTATATAAATGTTTATATATCTTAAGTTTATAATGGTTAAAAGGTGATTTTACATTCGGATAAAATATGAAATTATTATGGGACAAATAAAATTGATTTTGAATATCATTAGAGAAATCATTTATTTTATATATAGATCCATAATATTATAAGGATTGTTTGTTAACACAATTTAATCTTCATAAATATCTATAAATTTCAGAGCAATTAATGAATTGCATTCAAATATTGCAAAACAGGTTTATAGTACCATCTTTTTGGATGCAGCACTCCTTCAAACCATGATATATGTCCACCAACTTGGGTCATTAAGGAAATTAGATTTGGATTCTTTAATATAGCGTCTCTTGGATAGACTGCCCTATTATTTATTACTGGATCATCGAAAGAACCCAAAAAAAATACAGGGATTTTGACAAACTCCATATAGTTAGCACATTGAATTGATAAATAATGGAAGTCTACAGAAGGCGCACCAAATATTGGTTTAGTGAAGTAGGTATCAAATTCTAAGGAAGTCTTGGCTTACTACACCTTATTCAAGTCCAAATTGATGTGCTTAGGTATCGGCAAGTATTGATCTATCTTTCTTACTATTAAATTCATAAGATTACTCCCTCGCTATTCTTTATCTATGTTTTCTTATATAAGAATCAGACAAACTATCTTCTAAATATCGCATGCCAAGTTAAAAGTCATAAGGATTTCCAACACTGACAGCTACCTTAATCAATGGGTCAGTTCCATTGCTTCCACACATTCCCAAATACTTTAGAAGTGTATTGGAACCGAAACTATGGCCTATAGCATATATAGTGCTTTTATTATGTTGCTTTGCAATATATTCCAAAACCCTTCTAAAATCCTCTACATGATGAAAGTTTCCTATCTATGGCAGTATTTATCTTTTTGGATCCAAATAGATCCTATTATTAAATAGTCTATCATTATATAATACAATCCTCCAATCAGATTAATTCTGGCAAAATTTAGAGAAAAAGTTAGTTATATAAGGTTCAACCCTTGAAGCAGTCAAACCACTTAAAACAACGACCAAAGGCTTACCTTCTGTTATTTTTGCTTCCTTCTCACTTATTTTCCCTTCGTAACTTCCCCAATCCAATGCGAAACAACCAAAATCCTTTCCGAAATCTACATATTCCCTCACGAATTTTAGTTTCGGATCCACATCTTATACTTTAGAAGCAATAATGGCTTATAACAATCCTGTGAATAAATATGGCGTATAGTAAAACATTTTCTATTTCGATTAAATGGATAGGCATACATTTTTAATAATACTGCATCTATTAATGATTGAAGTGTTAAGGTCATTAGTCACATAATCCAATTAACATCTGCAAGTCCAAAAGTAATACAATATCAAGGCTAGCAAAATTACGAGAATAATATAATACATATATTAATTGTTTTAAAAATAACTTAATCAAGCTCTTTTCTTATCTTTAACTGAATTCATCCTTTGAGGTTATGCAGAGATATGGCAATTCATAAACAACTCCATTTTTACTTTGTTTATGTGTAAAATGAGTAAATATCAGTTACATATCTCTCAAATAACTTTATATAAGAATAAATGCAATTTAAAGATAGACATTGATTTGAATCGATAATTCTTACCTTTTTCTTATGTAGTTCTACAGACAAATTAATTTTGTAATTTATTTTGTTATCAATACTTTATTAAATGAGATGATTTTATAGAATACCAGTTAATCTTAGTTCTTTGTTTACGATATCTATATGATAATACTTTCAGTGTAGATACTAACATTGAATAAATGCTTTATAAAATTTTAAAAATCATTAAATAAATATAAAATGAAAACCTCTCCATAATCATTTTAAAGGGAAATGGAGGAAACCGTTTGGCACACTAGAAAATAAAGATAAGAGACGGAGAAGGATATTCAATTAATGAAGAATCGTCTTAAGTTATTAAAGCGAGGGGATGCTCAGTTATCTAAGAGAATTGATGAAACTAAAAAGAAAACTTAATCCATGATTGACTTAAAAACGAATCATCATTAACAGATTGAATAGGTAATGAAGTATATATATGTTTTATTAGAAAAAGCTAAATCAAAAAAATGGTGAGGCATAATTGAAGGAGAAATAGTAATTAAATTACGATCAAAAAAAACAATAAGAAGAACAACTAGAAATGATTAAAAAAGCAATGGAATAAATTAAATTAGAGGAATATAAAAAAATTAAGTATCAATCTAAAATTATTAAATAGAGAGTTATCAATAAGAAATGCTGAGATGATTAATAAATAAAAATAAGATTTCATGGTTAAGAATAGGGAAAAGAGAGAACACATCAAAGAGATTATGCATAAATCCAAATCCAATATTTCTCTTTATTGGAATGAAAAATTATCTCACATATAAAAAGAAAATGAAAAGTATTTATATCTAATAATATACAATAGAGCAAAAGTAGAAAATAAAAAAGCATGTGAATAAAATAAAGCCTATTAAGAAAAGATGGAAATGGAAGAATCCTATATGATGTAGAAATTAATGAGATCCCAAGAAGTGTAAAAAAAATTAGCAATTAAATTGGAAAAAGCAAAGAATTTACCTCATGATGAATTTAATTAGATGATTAGAGAGGAGGAAGAAAACTCTAATAATTTGAGAGTAAATAAAAGTGCCGAAATTCCAAGATGGCTACCAACTCCAGAGAAAGACTCTGCAATTATCCAAGATTTAGACACCGAACCAAAACAAGATTCAGATCAATAGAAAAATGAAGATAATTAACAATAACAAGAATGATCTAAATATAAATATCTAAATTTAATTAGATTAAATGATAATCTTTAAATAAATCTTATCAAAATACACTATAAAGATTTGTTTTCTTTAGTTGTAAGAATAGATTTAAATAATTAATTTTAACATGATTCTATTTAATAAATATAATATAATTATGATTTTAAACCAAACCTTCCACAAACGAAATATAATGTTAAAAATATCATTAAATATATTACTGATGATCTATTCATTAATAATAGAGATCTGTAAAGTTCTTACTCTTAATATTAAAGAACTATGAAAGAATAGAGACTACTTTTTATTAGTATTCATTAGATATTAAAATAACATATAAAATTTATGTAAATTAATGGCCGTTTAACTTCAGGTGATAAATACCCTGAAGCCAATATAGAAAAAGAGGCGGCTGAAATGGCATCGAGAATTATGGAGAGAGTTCGTTAAAAATCAAATGTCAAATCTGCTTAAAGGATAATAGTGAAACCAGAAAATTTTAGATCAAGTGATTATAAACCTAGACCTTCTGATATTCAAATCGGTAGGGAAGGAACCACATCTATTACTGATCGTAATGAACTCAATTTTGAACCTAATTTCAATCAATTCAATCCCCTCAAAAATGGCTTTACATCAAAAAACAATTTAATCGAAACCATTAAAATACCTTAAAGATCATAGTTCAAATCGGCATCTACAGGTATGTAAGACATCTTTTAAAAAACTGTTAAATTAAACAATAACAATTATTACGTACCTGAATTTTAATCATAATCTACTACTGATAAACCAGATAGCACTAAATTAATTAAACTAACGTATACAATCTTATTAATAATAATAGTGATAGTGTAAGTAGTCTGGTAAATCAGAAATACGATCTATAAGCTAAACATAGAAGAGTAGAAAGTAATACACAATTTAAGCCCATTTTAAATACAAAACCGTATCAATTACACACTCCTGTTAAGTAGAATAAAGAAGACATAGTTTCATAATTATTAGGAAGTTTACGAAATCAGAAGAAATACTCAGACTATAAAAATTCAGCTGAAAAATGAACTACTATATAAAAATTTAATTTACTCTAAAATAAATAAGTACAAGATAAATCTAATTAAATCCATTTTCATGTAATAATTAAGTAAATTCACATAATTAAATCACATATAATAATTTATCTGATATTTTTTTAAATTTACTTTTTTTTATCATTAGGTAATTTGTTTAAAAAATAAATTTTAATACATCAATTATTAGGTTTAAATAAATTATCATAATAATATATATAAATTTTATTAGAATAAGTATTTCTTGAATTAAAGCATTGGTTAATAATATTTGATTAAATTGTAATATTAGTAGTCATTACTTTGCGTGAGTTGTATATTTAATATCTATTAGACTAAATATATTATTCTAAAAATAGTTATTCATGAAATTTACACTAAAATTCCATGCTAATATTGACGTATGTAGGAAATATATTCATCACTTTTTAAAATTTAATATTTTTATTCCTTATATCAAAAATGTTTATTAACTCCTCTTATAACGTTTCGAAAAAAAAAATTATCATAAAAAATTTTTAGACAACCCCCATAAATTTCCATATTTGATTTGAATTATAATACTAAGACAAAAGGCATCGATTTTTATCGAATTGATTTTTGAATTCATCAACAATTTATTGTCTTTAATTTATGTAATTTCTTTTTATTGAGGAATATAATATTAAATATCTTTAATTATATGAAAAAATTCTTAATTAACTTTGATCATAAGTCATGAATATTTTATATGCTTAAGACTTCATATAAAAATTCAAGGTGAAAAGATAGAATTTGAAATTTAAAAATTAAATAACCATTAATTTTTTTAGGAAAACTTGAATAGTAATAAATTCAAACAATTAAATTTAATTTAATCGATTTTAAAGCTTCTTGTATATCTATTAAATTCAAATTGACTTTGAATAAGTAAATACTTCTATTATTCTTAATATTAATCGAGCTATTTAATTTGTTTGAGGCTTTTCTTAGAGCTGTAAACAAGGTCATGTTCAATTTTTTATCAGAAATTATGAATTTGTATCATTAGGAAAAATTCAAGATATTAAGAAAGCATTTGTACCTTCTGTAATATATTTAAAAATCTATATGGGGGGGATCATTTTGATTTGAGATGTAAGTTATATTTATGTAAGTATTAATTTTGAATGTTGCGTTTGAGGTATCAACAAGACAAAATATAAATAAATAACATATAAGGTTTATTGATTTTAAAAATATAAATTAATCGAAACATTATGATAAAAAAATATAGCATTTAATTTGCTTCACAAGAAATAGAGTAAATATACAGGTCATCTCTATTGATTGGGATAAAATATCGACGGGAATATACATATGGAATATTATGTATCTATCTAGGACTGATTATAATAAAGTATAATTTATAACACGTTTTGCTACCTCAAATATTTGCAGCTGTTGGAATAACATTAGAATTGGCACTGTTTTTTTTTATGAAGAAATATTGGTAATAGAAAGAAATATTGATTACTCTGAATATGATTTTTATGGCTGCGATCTGTGAAAGCTTGAGATTATTTGGACTTGAGGATTATCAATGGTATTATGGTTAACATTCCACTTCGCTTAAATTAAGTAAGATATCAATCTTAAGCTTAGTAATTTATTTGTAGGGAAGTTAGTTTTTAATTTAAT